CTCACCCAAGGATGTGTTATAACTAACCCCCCCTAAAGAGCCCCTCTGTGATACTCTTGCAGAGGATTTAATTTGTTTCTTTAGCGCTAAACAAATGTGGGTACTTAGTATAAAACTCCAGCAGAAAAGCAAGTAAGGTACAGGATTTTAAGCAAAAGGTGTTACAACCCTCCCCAGCCTCCCCTATTTAGCTGTTAGCGGGGTAATAACAAGCAGGATAATGTACAATTAGCTGAGGGTTATGCCAATTAGAATCCTCACAGGGAGAGATAATCAGCTAACTTTAGCCTGTATTATTCCTTACTACATGACTGATCAGATAACCTTGTGTAATAAAGTGAATGAAGAAAGTACATGATACATCCCTTAAAGGGAATTTCAAGATCAAAAAAGTTGAAAAGTAATACCACAAGTACTTAATGAGCATGCATTATAATATTACAGGCTATTTTTGTGTCATGGCAAGTTCTATGATCCCCATGAGACTAGAAAAAAAACATATTCATGCAAGTTTAACAATGTTTTGTGTTTACAACAATCTTGATCTCATTAAGCCCTGCTGAGTCATTAGGAAACCAAGATTCCTGATGTTACCAACACAACACAACACAGCACTTCATTTTGTGCAAAACCAGCTGAAGAGACAATGGTTTTAGCAGATCTCAGGGACATAAATATGAAGAGTTTATGCTGCTATGGGGTAGTGAGGGCTCCAGCAGAGCTTATTCTGCAGGATATTACTGTAAATATACAGAAACATGTCTTTGCTAGCTGTTTTAACATACATGTTTCATGTGAGTCTATGTTCTTGCATTGCCTCTCTGAGATCAATTTGATGCATTAAACATGAGCTGGTAGAGTAGAGGACATTTGAATACCAGTAATGATTTCATGAAAGATGTGTATTTATTCTAAAGGGACCATAAAAACCTTAATGTGTGTGGTGCATTTTATGATGTAAGAAGTTAACTGACTTCCTTAACCAAGACTTTTTGGTGATATATGTAGAAAGCTGTCAATATAAAACAGCAAACAAAGCAGGCTCACAGGACTGCTTATGCAGAGACTGCTTGATTTTTTTCTTTTCATGTGTGTTCGTCATAAGAGACCAAAGGCTGTGGAAAATGTTGATGGCCATGTTTTTCTGCTGACTGTCTCCCAGAAGGGACAGCAGGACTGGATTAAGCTAATCAGGGCCTCCAGGGAAAAAACAGGAGTGAGCCCTGATTCACACCCCATCATGTGCTCTCCACCTTTGAGCTCAAAACTAAAACTGAACATGTAGAGAAAGGTGAGGGCCTTTGACGTGCTCGCTCCAGAGCAAAAGACGTTGGTACCTGCCGTGAAAAAAAAATCAGGATAACTTTTTTTTTTTTTTTTTTTTTAAATCACACATTGTTGCAGTAAAGTCTGGATTTCAAAACTTAATAAAGGACAACAGATACTTCATTGATGTTCAATAACAACTGATAACCATTTAGGTCATGAAATAGCAAAGGTTTTTGTCTGGGGAGAGTCCATGGCTTGTTGGCTCAGTACCCATAATGCCTGGTTGGTATTCTAGCCTTGTTCAAAAGACTTCTTTCAGCTCAAAGTTGACCAGAGGAAGAAAAGAGAGACTTACAAACAACATATGCCACAACATATGCAACTAACTATATCTTAATGATGATGAGGTAAATGTTAGATTTTTAAGCTCTCTCATTTCTGATCTGTAACAATACTACTGTGTCATATTTCTATTTGTAGCTTTTCCTCTAAACATTGTTAGCCTTTATGGCCTGCTATATCCCCTTTCTACAGCAGAGGGCGCTGTGCATGCACAACTGTTGTTTGAATGTTCCCACATGACTGCTCTCCACGTGGATTCAGATGTAGCCTCTCACGATGCCGATAACAGACGGGACTTTCCCAGGGTGTGCAGCTGCAAGGAAATTTATGATCAAGAGTATGTCCGACAGGGAAAACAAATTATTTCCTGATCAAACTATAAATCATATCTCTGGTTGTTAGTGTCATTCAAAGTCTAAGGCCCAAGGTCCAGTCAGTGAAGGTATGTCATATTATTTTGCCAAATCATTTACCAATATTAAATATGTACACAAGTTAAAACATGCAGAGATGAGGCGTCATGGCTGAATTGTTAATGTTTTAGCCTCAGTCTGCTGCCTTATACTATTGTTGGTGTAGATGAACTGACCTTGACCCCAAAGGATGTGTGTTTGTTTGCATGCTCTTATCTAAAAATATATATATTTTCCTCCACATGTCCACCAAGAGATAAGGCCAAGTTCAAGAGAAAACACACTTTGACCAACTTACTTAAAGTCTGTGTGATCCTTGGAAAGTCCATGAAGGGCTCTGTGTGTTGTATATGGTTAGTGGTAGGTTCAGGGAGGCTGACATCAAACTTTAGTTTAGATTTGGTGAAAGAAATCTACATCAGACTCAGGACTCAGGATTGAGAGAGTTCATCTTAAACTATGTTAGTGACAAAAGTGTGTGTTTGTGTCTGTGTGTAGACCTTGGCTGTCTGCCCCAACACCACAGACAAACTGAAACAAACAGAGGAAGTCTGGTATCACTGACCCCCAGGTTTTGGTCGAGTCGCCCGTATTGACAGACGACATCTGTGGTTTCATTTGCGTAATGCCAACAGCAGCGAAAGTTTGGAGCTGATGACTTCAAGGTATTACCACTTCAGCTGAGCGTGACACAAAGTGTGTCCCATGTTTCCATTATGTTATTAAAAGGCATTGTGTTAATAATAGCTTTGTTAGCTTTCTTAAATATTTAGAGGAAAAGCTGGCAACACAAAAACTGAATCTACAGGTTTCAAGGTGGAGTAATAAGATTCAGTTTCATGAGGATGTGCTCTTAATATGAATCCTGATGACAAAAACATGGACATTTACTAATGCAGATTTATTCCTTTTTGTTCTATCAGATGAAAAGTTGCCCTCTTGTGTTCACAGAGACAACAAAAAACTTTATTCAAACAGTGATCCCGATTATATTAATTGATGTTCCTCTGTGTAAAACAAAACATTAAAACCATTTTAGTCTGGCTTGGACTGTAACCAAATTTCATTTCATTTACTTATCATGTAATACTGTTCTTATTTATTTTTCTGTAATTTTATTCTGTTTTAATGTTCTTCTACCAAAGTCATTTTTATTATTTTATTTACTTACCTGTTATCTTTATTGTGGCTCTTTTTCCACTATCATATCTAGAGTTTTAACATTTCATTCTTCCTCTAGTGTTTACTCATTTATATCTTGTGTTTTCCCAGTTTTGTCAGCCCCTGTTTTTATTCAGTCTTTTATTTACAACATGTTCTTCAAGCTCCTGTGAAGAACTTTTATTTTATGTTAATTTTTTGCCCCTTTTGGACACAGCATTCTTTACTTAACTTGTCCTCTACACACTGAGGAAGTGACTTTTGACCAAAATCTCATCCTGCTGACTGTCAACGGTCATATGGATTATTTATTGTCACTAAGAATAAGTTTATTAATCTCCGAAGGGGAATTCAATATCGTCTCATGTGAAAATAGTAAAAACAGGGCTGTTTGTCTAGCTGCTCGGATGACACATACCTCCTTACTCTAGTTTCAGGCAGTAAACCTGTGAGATATAAATCATTAATCCTGTTGCTAATAGTCTTTTTTCCTTTTGGATATCATGAATGAGGCATCTGTATGAATATCAGTGTATGCATAAACATGAAAAAACTCCTTATAGTGGCTTTAACTTCACATGTTGTAGGGGTAAGAGGATAGTGGTGTTGGCAGGATGGTGATCCCTCTTTATTATTTCTTTTCTTTTAATGTACATCACTTTGTGCTGCATTACAGTTGTATTTAAAGAGATTCTCACAAAGTCTGAGGTGAAAATACTGACTCAGACTGCTGACTTATAAACAGGTAGGACTGCTATTCGGATAAAGAGGGGTGGTTCATAATTCAATTCTTTAAAATTGATTCATTTTTTAATACTTTTAATTGCATGCAGCAACAAATCACAGCTCTATTTGAGGACACCTGATTTTATCCATAAATCCCAGACTGCAAACATCATGGGATTACTGAAGCATGATAATAATACGAACTTAATAAAGAGGGTGCAGCTAGTGTTTACAACAAGATTGCATTAACTGTAAGTGATTCAAATAAGACACACCCAGCCCCGGCAGACAGCAATCATCAATAGACAGGTTAGTCACCTGCACATGAATCGAAAACAGTTATAAAGAATTATTATCACCAATTACTCACAGGCATGTGAGAGACATTTACAGCTCACAGTGACACTCCTCTGATGTGGCTCCACTGGGCGGAGCAGATACAAATGACTGCTGGCTTGTGAAGTGTGTCAACAACCTGTTGACGGAAAACACCCGTGAAATAAATATCCTGATTCCTTCCTGCACATGAGGTGTTGAGATTTCAGGTTTCATTCAAAGCTAACGGGACTTCCTGGAGTAAAAGATGAAAAGAAGTGGGCTAACAGCTAAGCAGAGACCATCAGGTTGATCACTCTGAAACTTTGAATAAACAAAAAACAGAGAACCACTTCATTTTCCTTCAATTTAAATTCAAATCTTTTTTTTTTTTTTTTCGTATTTGAGGGGCAATTTATTTATTAAAGTGCCTGTGCAAATATATCAAAATACCACATACAATAAGTATGGGAGCTGTTCATAGATACATAGTGTGCAGATTATTATCATTAAATTGGCTTAAACTCTATTCAAAAAAGAAGAATCAGTCCAGTTTCTCAGGCTAATAAACCCAAACGTGATACGAGAGCCTATCAGGACCGTTAAACTATGACCCAAATTATACATTTGAAATTATTATTACTTGATCACGTCAGTCAGAAACTGCTTTTTTACTTCTTTGTAGTGTTGGACTATGATTGAGATGAGGAAGAAGTGCCCGGAAAAGAAGGAGGGGAAAAAGATAAATGCAGTGATGTCAGTCCGTCCCACTCCTATTCAGTACAAATGCAGCAGAGCAGGGCTGAGCGTGCATACCACTGCTGCTGACGACTGACCTGATCCCACACAAACACAGACACAAAGGCACACTACACTCGCTCACGTCACACACACTCTCATACTCTCATACCACACTCACAGAGACGCTGAAACTCAGAGCAGAGCTTGGAGATGCTACCGGCTGGCAACTTTTGAGTAAGTCCACTCCCCCCACTCTCTCTCTCTGTGCTCCTCTTCCTCTGTGTCTTGTTGTTCTTGTGATTCTTCAGCCGTCTAAGTTCATTTATCTCTCACACTCTCCTCTGTTACGGTGAAACGGCCAGTGTTTCCTCAGATTGAGGGACTTTTCAAACTTTGCTATCAGTATGCCGTGCACATACCTTACTCCACTCTCCCGGCTTTTCTCCCTTTTCTCTGCATGTGAGTGGAGGCAGCTGAAAATCCCTGACCTATTTGCATGTTGGCTCAGGGCCAGACCTGGATGTTTTTCTTTTATATTTGAATGACAGAGCTGGCACTGCTTTGATTTACTATATTTTTGTAATGTCCTTGCGTGGTTTATGTTTTCTGAAATGTCTGTGCAGATGATTGTCTGGATGAGTTTCTGCTCTGATTTGGGTGTTTTCTTTGTGTTGCTGTTGCTGAGTTTAGTTAATTACAGGAGCTGTCATGCAGGTATAAAACTTTAGAGATCTCCACTGAATTAGTGCGGGGAGAAATCCTAGATTTAGTCCAGACTAAACTCACTTCATCAACATTTTTAGACATCTGACTATTTATTCTGAATAAATCCAGTAAAGCGGTCCTGTAGTTTCGCTAAATTATTTATGTAGAAATGAGATCCAAAGCAAAACACGGAGGGGGTCTGTGTATTGTTTGACTTAAAGCAGAGGTTTAGCTTCTTCATACTTGGACGCTTGCAGTTCATGTGAACAGTAAACAATCACATTTTAAGAGATAATTCAAAGTAACAACCAGGAGAAGCTGGTAAAACATACAGACTACAAGCTGGTAACAAAATAATTTTTACAATGGTGTTTCATGTTTTGGTCCCGCAACCAATGCAATAAGATTATAACCAATACTAGAGGTGCCCACTCTACCTATACCAGAAATGTCAAAGATTTTTTCCTTTGTCTTTTCGGTGACACAGTAAGAGAGACTTTGACATGCTGGTGGTATTTCTTCCTCTACTTAAAGGATGTTAAAAAGCCTGTTTTACCCTGCACTGACCTGTCATAGCAGACAAAAGCTCCTCTGGGGTGAAACCAAAGATGATTTGTGCACTTCTATGATTTGACATGTGATATCCAACATAGTAACCTAGAGGGTGGCAGATCCCTCTTCCATTGTCTACTATTCTGTAAAATATGAGAGCTCCCTCGGGTGCAGATTGATACATTTATCATTTTCTGCTGTTTGTTTCACTATTTTTAGACTTGTCGGTGGCTGTATATGGGGTGAATCCCTTTTTTTCCCTTCTGTTCTTGAACAAGTCAAACCTTCCTGAGTCTTGTTTGTACCTCTCTGCCATCTGTGTTGATCATGTGCTAAAAAATAGTCAGAGTGGTGTGTGCGTAGATGTGAGCAGAGTTTCTGTCTATGAAGGAAACAGAGCGACTGATAATATAAACAAAAAGTGAAGTCCTTCCTCTTTTTTACTCTTTATCTGGGTCTGTTGCCCTCAGATAGCATGCAGCAATTAATGCCTTACGTGTGTGTGTGTGTGTGTGCGTGTGTGTGCGCGCCCCTGTTTGCCTGGCAGTGTTTGAAAGCACAGCAGCATTCTCGCTGCCTACTGTATGCAGAGTAAACACTGAAGGCACACACAAATAAACTCTATATTTGGCATTTTGGCTTATTTGCTTAAGGCCTTTTGTGTTTTGCTGGTCAGAACAGGATTGAATGGAGGGTTAAAAAAAACAATGCAGTAGATTTAATCCCTCTCTCTCTCTCTCTCTCTCTCTCTCTCTCTCTCTCTTTCTCATCCTGTTAAAAAGTCATAACAGCAGCCTTCAGAGCACAGTTGATCCACACTCGTGCCTTCACCACCTGAGAGCCTTACTCGTTCCTGCTGCACCACAGGGGAGAGTCTCCAACAAAGTGACCTCCAGCAGTCAGACTGCACCTGATCCCGCATCCAAAGAAAAGGGAACCTGACTCTGAAGCAGGGAAAAGGGGTGATCATACCTCAACGCTGAAACACGACCCACTTGACCGAGAGAAAAAGAGCCGGGCAGACATCTTCAGCAGCTGAAGGAAAGAGGCAGGATGTTGGCTAAAATCCTGGAGGACATGTGGGTGGAGCCAGAGGTGCTTGAGGCCCTCAGCGAGGAGCAGAAGAGGATCCTCTTCTTGAAGATGAGAGAGGAGCAGGTACGCCGCTGGAGAGAGCGGGAGGAGAGAGAAGAGAGGGAAGGAAGAGACATCAGCAACACCAGGCCAAAGAAAGGTAGAGTACAACAGTCCACATAGAAACACAGTAACATGGCTCTGCTGCAGGAAAACAAGATTTCTGTGGATGTGACCTTTACTATCAGCAACTGAAAACAAACACATTCACTCTTGGTCACCTGTGTCCTAGATATAACCCTCTCAGACATGTATGCACATGATGTGTAACAAGCAGGAGATGGTAAATGTGCTTCTCTTTGCAATCCTGCTCAGGATCTCAAGCAAAATTGACAAAACTCTCATATACTGTATGTCCAAAATCTTGCAGTAAGCTTAGCTTGAAGACAGGAACAACTACTTCCTCCTTCAATCACTTTACAGCCCAGTTATAAATGTGTTTTATTTGTTTATTCATCCTTTACGAGGAATACCTGTCATGATAAACTGAGTTCAGTTCATTTATTTGGAAACTGTTTCATGGTCGGTTCAGTGACTCCCTGGGCCTCTGTGATAAAGCCGTGCAGACTGTTTAACTGTTTTTAGTGTTTATACAAAGCTCAGATAACCAGATAACTCAAATAACTAGCTTTATATTTCATGTACTTTTAATTTAAGGTAACAGTTCAGTTTGTGACAAATGCTCATGTCACATAAGGAGATTAATGCAGCTGTCTTGAGTTTAACCTCTCCACATGTAAACCTATACAAAGTGTTTGATATTTTAGGGTCAACACATGCGCAGTTCTGTGTCCAAATCCCCATTTTAATTCATTTTTATCAACCAAAATTCTTTAAAGCCTCAAGCAAATGACACTGGAGCTGTAGAGTAACGTCCTCTCAGGTAACTAGTCTGACACATGTGTTCAGATTAAACCCAGGCTAATCTTTTCTGTGCTTTGTGAGTCACCTAAATGTTCCCCTGCTTCTCCTAGATTTAGATTCTTTTTGAGGCCCTGTCTCCTCTCTCAGTGCTCCGACACCAGCAGAGAGAGTATTTGTATGTAAAACTAATTTTGTGTATGCGCCTGTGTTTGCGTAACTAAAACCTGTATCACCACCTGCTGAATCATTCCACAGGCTGAAAGCTGAATACGATTAAGTAAGACCTGTGGTGTGGGGCGCTGTCATGCTTTAAACCAAATATTAAGTTACCATCTTTGTGTACCTAATCTTTGCCATGTCACCGGAGAGGTGACTGACTGTGTGTGTCTGCCTTACACAACAAAAGATCCAGTTAGTTGTCTTTCTGCCTTTGTGTTTGGCTGTGGCCAAAGTCAGTCATTACATGTACATGCAGGCCTGTAAATGCCACTTAAAAGTGTTTGACTTCACCTGAGAGTAATGATCTCTATTCTGTCCTGTAGTGCCGGCTGTATGGAGGTGTGGTGAATGTAAATACAGAAATGTTCTGTATGTCTTCTTGGCCCATTATAACTCACCGCTGTGACAGTATGAACATAAAGGAGTGCTGCATAGAGTCCATGAATCATATCAGAGGGGGTCTATACAATACACACTCACAAAGCAAGTGACTTCATTTGAGCACAGGTCATTCATGAGACTGTTGACAGAAACAGAGCTGGTCACTGATTAATCTGTTCAGTGATTTACCCTCTGATAGGGATCTGTCTTTGTCTCTGTGATCTTCTGTTGGCAGATCACCGTCACTGACTGTTGTTGTGATTTGAAATTTTAAGCCACTCCCCAACCTGTGAGGTCACTGCAAGTTTTCCACTTCAGGAGATATTGTACTGTCATGGAAAACACCTGTTATCACACCTGAGGGAGCGGGTCTGTTATCTGCTTTCTGTGTAAAGATGAGATCATCCTGAAACAACCAAAAAAACAACACTAAGCTAACCCTTAAAATACAGTCTAATTAATTCAAATGTTCTGACATTTATATGTACATGACACCATGAAAAATGGCTAACATAATACATGACACTAACTTATGGTTGTGAGTTACGATGTCACTTTGTTATTACAGAATTAAAGTCACTTTTATTTATCCTCTCTTCTTCCTTTGTATTGCTCAGTACTCCACTGTGAACATTTTTTTAGTGTGACACTGTAAATAACTGAGTCACAAGAAAGACAGAAAAAAAGACCCCCCCCCAAAAAAAAAAAAAAAAAAAGAAAAGAGAGAGAGAGAACAGTAAGCGTGAAGAGAGGACAGTCCATCCCTGTTGAGTTGGTGTCCCTCTTTACTGATAGGACAGCACCACCTCCTGGATAAAAGCCAGAATAACAACTCATAACGTGACTGCTTTTCTGAGAAACTGTCTGAGAGATAAAAATATATCTGCAGAGAGCTTACTGGTCCTGTTTTTGTCTGTCATTTTTTCTCTTCATCTCAGCTTACTGTAAACATGTGAGCTGGCTGCTGGGTCGGGACGGAGATGTGAGCGTCAGTGTGATTGGAGAGGTGGACGAGTTCAGATCCTCCAAACTCCTGCAGAGCCTCATGAACAACAGGTACAAACGGAAAACACAGAAACACCCGTATAATGCATTATAATGTCATTTACAAAGCCCTATAAATGCATCTATGAGGCTTTATAACAGCACTTAAGAGTGATCATTAGCATTTATAATAGTTTATAGCAATCTTTATGAAGCCCTTTAAGCAGTGAGCACAATGTCTTATACATGGATGGTTTATTAGACATTATAATGCAAAAGAAAAAACAATGCAGTTTAAATTCTGTGTTTAATAACACATCTTAACACTCACAACTTTACCCTGTTATAAAGGTTAATAAAATCTCATTCTATTTATCATTTAAAAAGTTATAATCTGAAGTTGTGGTGCAACGCATTTTGCATAGATAGCTGTTCTTTGAGATTTTGGCTTGCTCTTTTGTAAGCTTTGGATGTAGAACGTTTGAAGGAATAAGTGAAATAAAAACATTTGTTTTGATAAATGTGAAGTATTTATGTCTGACACTTTACTTACAGACACAAAACACTGCTTAGAAGTTCATATAAATATGTTGTAGGATCATATAGTTGTTAATAACCTCATACAGTACCATCACTTTACCGTCTTCTTCTTCTTCATTAAAGTATAATACATTATTATCACACCTTTCCACATGCATCGCTTTAAGTCGTTTTGAATACTTATAGAAAGTGTTATAAACTCTTAAAGATGCATTTGTAAGGCTTTATAATTGTGCTTATGATGCATTATAAAAGGGGGTTGATATGAAATGATACTAAAAGACAAAAAAAAAAAAACAATATTTAAAGTGTCTCATGACTGTTGACTGCATGATTTTGGATTTAAAATGACGACTGAAACATAATAAGGAAATATTAATGCGACAGCAATATGGATCATCAAGCTGTTTATTGTTTGTATTCTTTTATAAGATTCACTTTGTTATGTGGTTTGGGGTTAAGAGAACTGAATGGGGTTGGTGTTTTAAATGGAAGGGGTAGAGTTTGTCTCAGAGAATAAGTAGGAAACTTAAATCTGTAAATAGCAGAGATTTACCAACAAGTCAGCTTGTCATTTAACTTTCTTAATCCATGTGTTTTTCCACCTCCTCTTGCAAAAAAAAAAAAAAAAAAAATACAGGAAATGAAATAACCTAACTGTTGACAGTAAATATCTGTTCTTAATTTTAATAAAACTTAATAAGTTTTTCATATTTTCTTGCTCTTGCTCAAGTCAGCATATCAACCAGAGTACGCACCAATGAAAGCCAGAAAACTCACAGAGGTTTCTGCCTCCGTAACAAGCCCCATTCCTTTTAACTACATAATGACATAACCCTGATTGACTTTGATAAGGAGAACAGTGAACCAAAGAGCTCCACTCACAGAGCTGTCTCCTCGTTCAAATACAATTAAAGAAGTTATTTGCCATATGACTTGCTGGAGGATTGATTCTAAGTTTGGCCTGCTGTCTGGGAGACTGAAAAATGGATGTCTTTGTCTTCCAGGGTCCGCAGTGATGATATGAAGAGAATCCAGAAAGAGGACTCGCTTCCAGGAAGAGAGGCCCAGCAGCTTAGCCTTACAGACGATATCCAGCTGGTGCTCACAGATGTTAGTGTGAGTTAGTGTGTTTGTTCACAGCTCCTCAGCTCAGATAGCAGCAAAAACAGTGTGTGGAATCTATCATCAAATCATGTCCCTCTTACACAGGATGCTTCAGCCTCACCAGACGATCAGTCATCTGAGAAGGACTCTGACTCCTGCAGCACTGATGATTACCTGAGGGACCAAACCCAGGACAGCGACAGCGAGTCAGGGAGCAGCTCGGACAACCCAAGTGACTGGGTCCCTGTCTACAGGCCTCATTTTGGAAGTCATGGCAACCAGCCACCAGCCAGCACCTACCTGACAGAGACGGTGACGACGAGTGAAAACAACAAAGGTAACAAAACAAGAGAGAAGCTATATCTATGTGAATATTTATATGGTTATAATCTGTGAAGTCTGTAAAGAGGTGCTGGGTTGAATCTTTCAAGAGACAGTAACATTTGTTTGATTTGAACCAGAATCAGCTTTATCATGCAAGTATGAACATATGTAAGGACTATGACTCTTGTATAACTTCGCTCTTTTTGCACAAGTATTAAACGGATATTTAAAGTCTATTAAAGTGGGTCCCAGAACTCTGAGGGTTGCCACAGTTTTCCGTCTATATTGTTAAGTATGGCGATTGGCTGGGGCAGGGAAATTAGGTGGGTGGGCTCATCCTGAAGCCCACTGTCATCTCCGCTGTCTTGAGCAGGTTCAGCTCCAGGTGGTTCTGACAGCACCAAAGGACCTGGTTTTCCATTTTTTGTCAGGGTGCATGAATTTTTCCTGTCCCAAATGAAGCTGATGACAGTTCTGTCATTTGCCCGAGGCCCAATCAGTGTTGATCTTAGTCCTCTGTATGTCAGTAATGAGTCTGACAGTCTGACAATTCTGTCCTTTTCACATTTTCAGAGACCGTGTGTTGTGAAGACAAAAACTCCGGATATGGAGGTCGCGTGGCACAGCTCAGAAAGGCGTTCACCAGTGATCCTCACAGCAAACCCGCGATACCTGCTAAACCTGCTTACTTACAAAAAAGAAGCACACCTTTGCTTCACTAGGACTACAGGTGTGTCACCACCTCAAAGAGACACAGCCTGTTTGAATGAGCGTACTGAGCCCTGTGCAGGAAGTGATGGCTCAGTGGGACTCTGATGAAGCACGATGAGGATCTTTACTTGAACCTAAGCGACAAACAGAGACTCACTTTTGATATAATGACCAGCCTACAAGCAAGAGGAGCTGGTGCGAACCAAAGATGGAAAGACTTGAAACTTCTGAACCAAAGTCAACCTGAAAGATAAAATAATGATGACTTGAAATATGCTCACAGTTTCTGTGGCTGACGGACAGACTGACACTGAGAGATGTCCACAGAGGCATGAACTGTTAAGTAAATCTTTTAAAGCACCATGTTTCATATAAAAATGATTATCACTGAAGCTTTAATGTACAGTCATAACAGGTGGACCACATTGAGGCTTATCTGTGCTTTTCCATTGTTTAAACTGTAAATGAAGTCTTTGTAACATGTGGCTGTATCGTTTAATAATTGAATTCATGTTAAAAACAAAATGATAAACAGTCTAGAGCCTTTAATTGTGGATATAAACCTTAAATAATACCTTTATATTTACACTCACACTGATTGATGAACCTCGTTAGAGCCTGATATGTAACAACAATCTGAAATGTAATTTTAAAAAAATGTAATAACTGACTTAAAATGTAACAAGTTGTTATATTTTGGGTCACTTATTACATTAGGGGTTGTATTGTATTTCAGGTCATTGTTACATATCAGGCTCTGACACGCCTGTATTGAGCTCAGCAGCAACAGGTCGGGGTTTGGTGCCTTGCTCAATAATACTTGAACATAATATCAGGAGGAAACTGAACCACCACATTATAATTCAATAATATAAAGATATACAGCCTAATCACCTGAGATGCTATCTCACAGAGCAATGGCTAGTTTTTTTTAGACCTAACTTTAACTGTCTAGATTCTGTATATTTTTAAACAGAATTTCCACTTCAACCCAATATTCTACATAACTGATCTCCAAGTACTTAACCAAAATAATCATAATAGCCGTAGAGCAATATACAGTGTAGACCTCTGTTAGCCAGCTAGTCTAAACTTAGTCTAAATTTCGACGTCTAAGAAACTTTCATTTTTAGACCTGTGGTAGCCTGATTTTAGACCAGTCGTCTAGGCTACATTTAGATAGCCTGGCCGGGCCATCCTGTTGCGTGAATCACATGATGTTCTTGGTGGGAAGGAACATCAAGTGATTCACGCAACAGGATGGCCCGGCCAGGCTAACATTTAGACATCTATTAGACTTCTTTTAGACCAAAAAATGCTCGGTGGGATAACACATACATGCCCCCTGACTTACAAACTGTCCATTTGAACGTATTTTTATGCAAATAAAGTATCATTTCAGCAAAACTACAACTTCAATATAAAGACAGTGAGAAATGATCCTGCAGTGTCACACCAAGCTCACTAACCATAGAATCAGTCAGCTGTCTTTATTTGTGTTTACCTTGAATTTGACTAAAATTAGCTAATTGTTGATGTTTGACCCCTTATTAGAGAAATCCTTTTGACTTGAATAATCCTGACCTTTCCTGCTACACTAAAAACGCTTTGGTTTATTCTGCATCAGTTTTTCTGCTAAGCTAGTTATCAAATAGAAAACTTAACTAGTTCTTCACTAAAATTATAAGTGAAGAATTGAACGAGGTGTACCATCGAAGTAGCCTTCTCACTGTCAGTATATTAGCATGCTGATGTGAGCTTTAAACAGTCAATGTTCAGTCCAGTTATACAGAGATATTGCTGCCATCTTGATGACATGTAAGCAGTGTAATGGTTTAAGATCAATTCAAATTAATCAAGCTTATCTTATTTAAGGCCGTTTTTTGAGCCAGACAAAATAAACAGTCGAAATGCTCTTGTCACAAGATCCTTTGAGCCCACATGGATTTTCCTGTTTCACAACCACCACAATGTGACTGAATCCATATTAAGTCCTTAGATAAAGACTAAAATCACTTCCGTAACGACTAGTAGGCTACAGCTGATACCACAGCATGTGGCTAAAAGTAAACAAATGAGTCATTGGCCATGTGATGGAATTATTTTGCCAGATATCATACCGAAGATTTGGTTAGTTATTCTTTAAATAGAGTTTCTGTGAAGAATTGACGACACACAGACGTCAACAAACTCTTGCATTGTTAGTATCTTCTCTTCATGCTTGTGTTGGGGCCTCTCAGCCCTAGGCTTCTTCAGAAGGCTGTTAAACACATGATCAGTTGGACTGAGGTCAGTTTACAGGGCACGGTCAGGTGACATACTTGGCGTGGCAAAAAAACAGACACTTTTTGGTCCTTAAAAACTGCTAAGTTTAGGGCAACTGACCTGTGTTTTTTGTAGAGCTGGAGGGACGGAGTATAAAAAAGGTTCCTGGTGGGCTAGCAGGGATTTGAACAGCCACTTCTCCATTTTCTAGTCATACTCTAATCTCTTGGTTATGGAGAGAAGTTCCAGGGTGAGAAAGGGAGACAATGAAAAGACAAATTTAAAGACTACACTGGAGTTTCATACAACTGCACAAATAGACTTATTTTTAAACCATATGTTACTGTTAGGGGTGTATCAGTACTTTGAAGGTAGTGAGGGTTGGATCCGCAGCTACTTGACTAATAGGTGACATATTCCCTTTACTTGGTCACTAATCCCTGACTCTGGGTTCCCCCTGAAGCTGTTAAATCTATATCTGTATTGTGCGTGAACAAAATGTGCTACATGTCTGGGCAAAACAGAAATGGAGGCAACAACAAGGTTTATTCTTTATTCAAGACGATGTGGTTTGTATTTAAAGTATGCTCTGTTTGGAGACACATGAAGGGGGAGGGGCAGAGAAGGTGGTGGTCACTTACACATTGATTGTCCGTTTAGAGAAATGCGTCAGATAACAGCTCACCAGCGATCAAAGCGAGAGCACAGAAAGCTAATTAGCATGTGGTTCAGTCTGAGACAGAGGGCGAGACGCTCCGGGAGACAGAGAAAATAGGAGTCAGGTCACGGGAAGCAACACGTCAGAGTCAACTCAATAAAGTTTTTCACATTCCCTCACTGCTCCCGTACCCTCAGCGTGTGTGTGTGTCTCTATCTGAAGAGTGTGTGTGTGTGTGCGTGTGTGTGTGTGTCTGCCCACCCATATATCTTGAATCATGTGACTCAACACGAGCACACGAGCAGTCATGCACAGTGTGAAAAGCCCCACTATATATAGAAGAACAGTGTTGGGTTTCTGAGCAAAGCATTGTAGGAGTCCAGCCGTCTTTGTCCCAGAAGAAAGTGCATGTCATTGACTTGTAATGTTTCCTTAAACTGCAGGTGTTAAGAGTCTCCCAGTGTTGCTGCTGCTGCTGATTTCCTGTGAGGCTGAAAGGGGAAACTGGGACATATGAGCACTTCAGCTTGTGCCCTTCATGTGTTGACTAAAGTGACAGTAAACTTCAAACACAAAACAACATAAAATGTTTGATACTGATAAAAGCATCTCATGGTTAAGAAGGTCATTGACCAGAGGTATTCTGGGTGAAGGGATGAGATGATTAAAGCCTTTTAATCCTAACAGTGCTTTTCACATTTGCACAAACTTCCCAAACAGAAACAGCTAAAATATTCACCCTGACTTTACCCAGCATATACCTGCCCCCCAGTGTAATTCTGAGGTAAAGACAGGGTGAGCCTACATGACAATGCAAAGGAAAATTTTCAGGACAGCTCACAGTGCGTGAGCAGAGGGATGTGACGACATCGGTTTGTGGTATTAATCAATGTTATGAGTCACAAATAGGGGTAAGTGTTCTGTAAGAAGAAAAACAAGCATTTTTGGTCCTCAAGGATGAAACCATCCTTTCAGATTTTAGGAAAAGTGTGTCTCAGTTTACCATTCTCAAATAGTGATCCCAGTAACTACTATGTTATATTACTACTCACTTGCATTCATTGTCAGAGTAAGGTACCATGTTTCAACACTCAGTTACAAAATCCTTCAAAAGGGTTTCAGAGGAAGCTTGAGGGGTTACTCTGGAGAAGCACATCTCAATAAGAAGCACAATTTGATAGAACCAAGAAGAGCAACATGCAACAAGATGACTGAAACATCATAATGTGGGACTCTGCTACTTCCTTCTGCTGTCCTTTATTTTCTATTTCACCTTTGAAATGGTGAAGTAGATGCATGCACTGAGGAGCATCTTATCTTATCTTACAAACACAGTACTGAATTTAAGAACAAACATTTATGGCAGGATGTGAGAGGGAAACAAAAAACAAAGAGGAAAAACTTATCACAAATGACATCTCAAAGAAAGTGGTATAAGATTAAAAACCACAAAGGTTTTGGGGGGGATTTGCCACTCATTCTTGAAAGAATATCCTCAAAATTTCTGAGTATGAAAAAAGTTTGATGTGTCTTCTCCCCAGTGTGAGCTTAATTTTCAAGCTATGAATTATTAAGCCACTTAATAGAACCATGTTATCTCCTGATCAAGTCAAACTGAAATCTCTGTGAGGGGGCAGATGTCAGACCTGATGGTTGACAGTACACTAAAGAAACCGTGCTTTTACTGTTTTGGTGGCAGTTAATCACATGTACAAGACAAAAGCATGTTTTTGTCTGATAACAGTATTTTTACATCTACAAAGCAAGAGATAAGAGGTGTTAGTTTGTCCACAGGGGGCACTAAAATCAACACAAACCCAAAGTTCCTTACAGCAGCTTTGACAATGATCTTAATATTAGCATAGCATGCTGGATAACGAATATAACTACCTCCACTACAGCTACCACTTTTACTATTAATTATCCTGTGTAGAGTACCATACACATGGTATCCTACATTTCCCAGAATGCAATAGATACAAACAAAGATACAAATGGAGTATCATGATCAAAAGTGTATAATAACCTGCATATAAAATAGTTTTGTTATTGTTGTCTAAAAAATGAGCTCTCTATATCTACATAAGAGCGAGCCACTATTTTGCGCTACCACATTTCTACAGTAGCACAAAAGGAACAAACTAGTAACATGCACATTTGTGTATTAAACTATCGGCCATGTGAAATGTACCAGTTGGAAAAAGAGAAAGAGAGCGGATGTTGAAAATTTTACAAATAAAAGGATAATGCTTATACATTACAGGAGCTTTTTGTCCTCAAAGGCCACCGTAGCTTCACTGGTTGGAGGGTTGGGTCAAAGGGAGTGTTTTAGAACCAGACTGCTAGATATCAGTTAATTTCTACACACTGTACCTTTAGGCATTATGTCATGATTTCTAACAGCAGTCTCTGATTAATATCTCAGTGTGAGCACAAGAAATTGGGCTTGAACACCAGTAAAAATAAATTGGTAAATAACCCAAACAAATAAACAAAAACAGCTGAAGTAAAAATCCTGAGACTTCCCACTTGAGATATATTTCTGTACTAACAAAATCAAAGGAAGGCACCAGGTACAACATGACTGTTCTACATGTTTTTCTGTTGATGGAAATGTCAGTGTCCTAAAGCTTTAATGTCTGACAACTTTCACATAAACTGACCATTTTCACTGACTATTAGTTGATTGTATTGAGTGTCTGTGTGTATGAGTAGTTAGTGTTGAGTTGTCACTGTGAACATCCACCAAAGTCAAATTTACCAGGTAACCTGTCAGCTCCAAACATTACCTGAGGTTTGCAAATATTGGAAAATGTATTGTTGAGATTTCAGTCAACCTTAGCTTTCCTCTGTATTCACTGCTAATAAGTAAATTTAAATGTACTTAAAGACTAAATACTGTTTTAAATTAAGATGTAGTGGCTGCTTAACTTTGGAAGATTTGCATCATGATTTGTATGACAGTGTGTAATAATGATGTATTAGTGTAGCATCATAACACGACTTGAAGTTGGACCTGAGCCTGTTGACTCTGTACTGAGCATTATTGAAAGGGGGTGCAGGTGGAGCCTCATGTCTAAGGCGTGCACCCATACACTGAGGCTGTTGCTCTTTTCACAGTGGTTGCAGGTTCGACTCCCTGCAGCGTGTTTTCCTGCACTCTTCACTCCCCACAGATCTAGTCTCCCCTCAGCTGTCCCGTGAAGGCAAAATTGCCCAAGAGTATGATTTAAAAAAGAATTGGACACAGGAGATCAAATGAGATGAAGAAATGTTTTAATAAATACACACATAGGCACAGCTATAGTAATCAAAGGTCACAACATGTGGAAACTGACAGTCCTGCTCTAGACCTGATGTGCTGCCCTGGTTAAAGGACTTTATCACCATGCTTTGCTTCACTTCCTGGAACCGCCAAGCCTTTTTGAAAACCAGCAGCAAGCTAAAGATTAACAGATTTTTGTGTACACATTACCTCAGAAATGAACAACATGTGAAACCGACCAGGGGTCTAGTGTCTTAATATGTTTGGATTTTAACAGTTGCCACACAGTTTTAATTTCCCAGGGACTGAAGTATGTAAATCTAAGGTTTCAATTGAGTGTTTTAAACCGTCTTCGTGTGTGTGTGTGTTTTGGTTGTGAGGAACCCCAATAGAAACAGAGGGGGCAGTTTAAGGAAGATGGTCTATTCTGAAACCATCTTTAAAAGCTTGAAGGGTCAAAGATCAAGAGTTCCCTTTTGACCCCTGTGTCACCAAAATATAACCTGAGGCCTGATGGGCCGGGGCGTCTCAAGCGGGAACTATTGTGTCTTGTTTTGGAGATCCGTGCTTTCCGTGTGTATGAAAGTGAACACAAATGGATAACAGAGACGTAACGAGGAGTGATCTCAGAAAGATGCTGTTTCTGTAAAGCTGTTACACATTTTCTAACACTGGGGAAACGGCCAATGTGGGGAAGAAAAATTCACAATGAGACACAGTGTCTCCAAGCAGACACAGTGGCCAGATTTTCAGAGGTCTGCCTCATGAGCCAGAGTCCACCCAGCTCCAGCGCAGGTTGCCTTGAGTTGGCAGGTTGTTCCACTGCAGAGCATGCAGGAGGAGTTTTCCTCCAGAGTGGGCAGGGCTGCTGGTTCTAACATATGTAAGCTCCACAGGGGTCGGTGACAGCACACACCCGCTATCTGGACAATGCATCCATCATTAACCCTCATCTCTCCGCATCTCAATGCTTTTCGTTCGGCCTCTGTCAGGCTGCTGGCTCTTGGATCTTGCCCTCATCTCTGCGTCTCTCTTTGTTTGGTCCACGTTATCTTCATCCCCTGCTGTCCATCTCTCCATCCTCCTCCCTGCGTATCTCTTCCTCCCTTTTCTCTCCCTCTGTGGCCTGCTTTTCATCTCTCTCAGTTTCACCCACTCTCTTTTACCCCCCTTACATCCCCCCTCTCTCCTCTCTTCTCCCTCTCTGCCCTTCACCACGCCCCCCCCTTCACCCTCTCCCTAGATCCGCTTTCCACTTCCCCTCCACAGCCCCCACTCCCCCAACTCTCTCTCCCTCTCGCAACCCTTCCCCCTCCTCCTCCTCTCTTCTCTCCCCCCCTCCTGCCCCCCTCCTCCTCCCTTTCTCTCCTGCCATCTTGCAGGCCAGTGAAGCCAGACTGCAGGCGTTCAGGGAGTCACTGGACCTGCTGGGCAGCGGGTGACACAGATTTCCGGTGTGTACGTGTGTCTGTGTGTGTGTGTGTGTGTGTGTGTGTGTGTGTGTGTGTGTGTGTGCGTGTGCATGCGTGACGAGAACAGGGAGGGGGGATTAAGCTCCAAATCACTAGAAAGGCAGTGAGGAGGGGGAGAGAAAGGGAAAAAAAGCTGCAGATCCAAGAATTTGAAATTCCCCCCCTTTGTCTGGGAGATGAAGAAACACTAGACTGTGGACTTAAACTAAAAGACTACGTGTTCCTCTTTCAGTGGGAGCGTTGCACTAGCGTGGTGCTGGAGCTCACTGCTTTTCTCCATGAGTTGGCAGTGTCCTGCCTTGGCTGGCGTGCTGCGCTTTCTCTCTTCCCCTGCCTGACAAACACGCACACACGCATGCACGCACATACACACACTCCCCCACTCCCTCACAGATGCATGCACACACACACACCCACCCACACACACACACTCACACTCACACACACACACACACACACACACACACACACACACACAGTCCCTCTGCGATCCCCCTGACTGAAGGCACACAGGAAGTGCAGCCGTGGCCCAATTATAGCGTGACACCTCGGGCCGGCCGTTGCCATGGTTACGTCTTCCCTGCGGTCCCCTGGAGTGTGGCGCCGAGGAAGAAGGTCTTATCACATCAGCCATCGTTACGGCAACAAGCAAAAACCCACCCTGTAGCCTCAGTCCAGCTGGCTGTGTATTTTGTTTATAATGTGTGTGTGTGTGTGTGCGTGTGCGCATGTGCGTTTATGATCAATTCTTGTTAATAAAAAGGGAAATTGTGTAAGCGTGGAAGGAGAAGAGGGTGTTTGTGATTATGTGTGCATGTCAGGTGAGGTGTGTTTGAGTGGACTTGCCAAGGCGGTGTGTAGGTGTGTTTGTGTGTCTGTGGGGTTGCGATAAGGCTCTCAGCCACACCATTAGGTGACTCATAATCCACACAGCCTCACATACACACACACAACACACACACACACACACACACATGATCTCACATCCACAAATATGAACACGGGTGTACACATGTATGTGAACAATCAGAAACACAGTTGCTGACAGACGCATACACCAAATAAAACATGGACATAAACAAACACACACAAACACACACACACATACACACAGATGTAATTTGAACCCAGCCTCCACAGACGAGTGTACATGGCTAATTTCTTTTATTTCAAAAGGGCAAACAGAGCTATACAGTACAAGTTGCACATGAAATAATTTAGCCTCAGCTGTCTTCATTCATTTCCTACTGATGCAGTGAGTTCAAAACAACAGAAACAAAACTCCCCATTAGAAACAGAACATTTGGCTCCTTTTATGATGAAACACAATACATCCAAACTGGAAAGGGATGTAAAAAAGACATAATGTTTCCAGATATTTACAAACTATTTACAGCAATTTCTGTCATCATCTAAATATTGACACACATTGGTATCCTTCTTTCTCTCCTCTCCGGGCTGATTGTCAAAAGAAAGGATGGGAACAGGTGTGGACATTCTTGGACAGAGCTGCAGCTCTTCACTAAAACACAAGATCTGAGAGTCTTTGAACCACAGTCTGAACGTATTAACACGGTGTCCTTTGTGTTGTCTTTTTCAAACTGCAGCTCCTAAACAATCATCCAACCAAGATCCTCTGACAAATGCTGCCATCTAAGACATCACTATCCATTCAAGGTGCTGTTGCTCCTCTCCTGTGCCAGACCCAAAGTAAAGTCGGAGCCCCTTAGATCAAACCCAGAGACTCTGCTGTCAAACCCAGGACCTCCCGGCTTCCTCTTCAGCTCCTCACACTTTCTGTATTTACAGATCTGGTGTCCCCTCTTGCGGTTGCGGCAGCTGCTGCACTGTTCGCAGTTCGTCTGACGCCTACAAGGTACGCACTCCCCGCACCTTTTTCTCTTCCTTCTCCCGCCGCTGCCCCCGCCAAGAGAGCCGGGAGAGTAGCCCTCAGCCACTAGACCCTCCATCCCCTCAGCTCCCATGGTCGCACTCCTCCAGTGGCCTCCCCCCATCTGGAAGCCGGCCAGGGGGAATAAGGCAGGGCTGAAGGGGAACCAGGCACCCAGAAAAGGTTGGAAGTCAGTTCCACATCCAGGGGAGTCTTCTTCCTCCTCCTCCGGCCCAGATCCACCTCCCTCTCCATCCCCCTTTTCCCCCTTTGCCTCAGTAGCCTCCCTTTTAGCTGGCTGGCTGTTCTGTGCACCCAGGCCGGCCTGCTCTGTGGTAGCTGGGGTCAGAGCCAGCAGCCCGGCGCGCATCAGCAGCTCTGCGGCGTGGGCCAGGTGGAGCCCACTGGGTGACTCCCACATGTCGGGCCAAGAGGGCGTTCGGCGAGGCTTGGTGTGTGCAGGCTGAGTGGCCCGCTGCTGGGCCGGGGAAGGCTGGATAAGGTCCTTGACGTCCATCGCCGGGGAAGGGGTGGAGATGTAATGGGAGAGGCTGTAGGGGTGGTGGGAGCGCTTAAGGCTGGGTCTCAGTGGCTCATTGGGGATTTTAGTGCTGCTGTGGGCCTGATCTGGGGAGGAAGGGCCAGCAATGTCTACCGCGGTGGACATAGCAGTGGCTGTGAGTGGGGATAACGGTGTGTGTGTGCGTGTATGTTTGTGTGTGTGTGTGTGTGTGTGTGTGTGTGTGTGTGTGTGTGTGTGTGTGTGTGTGTGTGTGGAGGCGAGGGAGAAGGGGATTGAAGCCGATGCGTGGTTGACAACCGTCCTGCTGTTACTTCAGCCAAAATGGCAAGCCTTGGCCTGTGTCCTTATTCCCATTCTCTGCAGCAGCCTCAGAGTCCTGGAGAGCTAGAAATGAATAGGGGATGAAGAGAGGAAGGTTAAGAATAGAAATGTTAGAGGGACAAACACAGAAAGAGAGTAAACAGAGAAGATGGACCGAGAACATTTTCTCAACGGACCCACAAAACACTGTCAAGAAACAAGGGTGTGGAGAATCTGTTTAAAGAGGTATATAACATACTGTTTTCAAGATTTAGGCTGGAAACAAGAGCAGTAGAAAAGAGGTGAACACACACAGGTATCAGACACAGAACATGCCTTGACCGTGATTTCCGCATACAGGAGGCAGTATCCCTTTAAGAATTTCACGGTATATCAATGCAATCAATAACAGAGCGACAACAATATGCAAAGATATGCGCATATGCGCAGGTCAAATGTGGAGCGCGCTTTTCAAATACATTTTGACGACTGCTGTTATGTGTGCCAGCCAAAGCTTAAGCTCTGCACTGAGGGACTACATAGTGGACCGTAAAAAAACAGGCTGTCTTTTGTCTGGTATCGACGACGAGAAGCGAGGTGCGCAACGATGCGGTTGCTGTGGATAAAAAAAGACCAGGCTATATTCCATGTCCACATTTGTAGAAAAAAGCTAGTCCGGTGGTTAAATACAGGACACATTTGTTATTCCTGGACAAACATCTAAACCCTCTAATGAGTCGATCAGAAACCTAATCGATCGTTTTACCGTAATTAAGGTTACCTAAGAGGACGGTGCTCGACCAACGCCACGGCGAGCTGACCACAGTCCGAGTGGTCGCTGCGACACGGCGCAGCGCGCAGGAAAAGGCGACAAAAACAGCGAAATTGACAGGAAGTGTTAGTGAAACGTCTGCCCTTACCTTCCAAATATGGCCCAAAGTCTCCTGTCAAAAATAAGATGAAGTCATGAACTAATGGCGAGGTGATTGTAGTGTATATGGACGGCGGAGCTGCCGATTCCTCCTCCACCTCTCCGTCCCGGAGGGTCTGCAAACACTCTGCACGGAATTTGGGGGCGTCGCTCAAAATGCGAAGTGGACTCTGCAACCAAGACCGTGGTCAGAGCGACCCCGTAATAATCACTAAACACCACGACATACATGCGCAGCTGTCACTGTGACTAGACTACAACAGGAGGAATATTACTCATAGAAGAGATCATTTTAGCACTTTGTCCATCAGTCAACAAGGACAGACTGAAAATCTGTGTCCACGACCAACTTTCCTTCTTATGACAGGTAGGCTTCTTTGTGGGCCTATAGGAAAGGTTACAACGACAACAGAAAAATAAACTTAACATAGAATAATAATAATAATAATAATAATAATAATAATAATAATAATAATAATAATAATAATAATAGTAGTAGGTTTTGAAAGTCCAGGCCAATTGTAAAATATCACCCTTCAGACCCAAACTTTGTTAAAAAAAAAAAAAAAAGTCCAAAATTGTTTAACAATAAAAAACAGCAATGTATTGTGGTTTTAGCTATTTGTCTGGGCTTGTAAAAAAGACTGTTATTTTTTATTATAGATGTTCCACAAATGTGTGTGTGTGTGTGTTCTTCTCAGCACGGGAGACAATACGAGGGGAAAAAAAACAAAACAAAAACAATGTCTCCCTTCTGTTTGACCGTAACCGGAAGTGGGCTGCAGTCTGTTACTTGTGATTCTTAAAATCCTGGAATCCTTCCGTTGTGTCTCTAATATGCTGACGTTTATCAAATGCGGTTTTTATTCATAACGGGGATGTCTGGGGGTAAAAAAAAAACAAAAAAACTTTTCGGCCAAAAAGTGAATAAATAGTTGTTGATAACTTCTCGGGCCTCCTTGGTATAACCGTGTTGAAAGTGTTCCGTCACGACTAAAAATGACTCCATGAATGTTTAGTTTCCAGCTGACACGGACTCCCTCTCTGAGCAGTGTGAAGCTGTCAGCTGAAGGTGACTCCTGACAGGAACGCTGCAGTCCACTCCACCTCTTGTGAGAGTCCTCCGTTTCATCTGGCACGCAGCCAGATACCTCGTGCGCGTGTGTAAGTGTGTACGTGTGTGCGTGTGTCACTATGGGAGCAGGGGCCCACCGTACTCGCGTTCACTGTCTGGCCCAGACTATCCGTGTAAACACAGCGTCTTCTAGCGGTAGCCACAAACACTGCCACTTTTTAAAATGGCCACTGGTGTTAGTGGACACTGCAGTAAGGCAGCCCGGCTCCTCTCCAGCCGAGACCACATACACACACACGAACACACACGAAAACACAGCTCCCTCTGCAGTTACCTCACAGGGCTGTCCACTTATAATCACTGTCCACTGTTAATCCATAAACACAGGTGAAATACATTTGATCCTTTGGTGCAGAACAAACAGTTCTGTTGGAGTTCTGTTGCAAAAATAAACAGTGAGGCTTACTGATCAGATCACTCAAGTTTATTCATATTATACAGAAAAATATTGATGAGTCATGTACACCAAACCCCATAGAAAACAAATCTAATGAGCAAGCAAAATATATACTTTAAAAAGCAGACCTTTGAACATTTTACAGATTATACACATTTCCTTAGAGCCAAAAGTAAATTGATACAAACAGAATATTTTAACACTTTTCAAGATTGATGGTTATTATTTCATTTAAGACAAGCGGAGCTTCTCTTCTCTAAGCAGCTCTTAGTGCAAAAATCATACATGTAACCTTCACATGGGTTGGATTTGTGTCAACACTCTGGTCCTGAGATAGGGGTGCCCCGGTCAAGAAATCTCCCCACTGATTTATAAACTTTTGACACAAGTGGCAGTAGAGATTACATTTGACATCGTTACTCAGTATCAGCTGACTTTATGCTGCATTCACATGGATTCAGGCAGTAGGAGAGTGCAACCCAGATATCATTTTAGTGTAAAAGCAATAAGGTAAATCCAGAAAAACAGGAAGAGTTGCCTTGAACAGGAAAGTAACTTAGAGCAGGAGATTTTCAATGTCAGACATTTTCAACAAAAGAAGATACAGCATGCTGATTTTTTTTGCACTGATATTTTACAAACATGTTTAGGTATGACTGCAGCATCAGTAAAAAGAGTAAGGCAATACAGAGGAAAGCAAATAAAGAGTACTTAGCAGCTCACTACTTGCAGTGTCAAAGGTGTCATTACAATGTTCACTGGCTTGCCTTGAATGCTCTTGATAATCATGTGATCGGTTGTACATCAACCTGACATTACATAGCCTTCAGGGAGGCTGGATGTTATTTAAACATGTGGCTCTTCTAGGAAATGTTTTCACGTAATCATGAGTGTATGTAAGAAAGGGCTAAGAGAACTCTGGCCACTGTTATTGTGGACACTGCATCCACCACAACCTCGAAACTTACAGTCTAGCCCACAAAGAGAAAATTGGGTAACAAGAGGCTAACTCTACCTTCCTTTGGTTGGTGCATTTTAAGCCTGTCAGAACAAGATGTTACTCTGCATCTGCCTAAATGGACGTGAATGCAGCAGCGTTCTGCATTAGGTGATGTTAAACGCCTGTTAACATGGTCATTGGTTGCAGCTTCTTTCTAGTTATATAAGTGACCCCTCCTTTGTGCTGTAACTCTGTTACTGCTGCACACTTTCATTTTGCAAATGTAGTTTTTTTGTTGAATAATCTGGATTTAGGAAAAGGGAAAGGACTGTTGGCAAGTAATCAGTACGGGCCTAACCACTGTAGCACCGGTGACACCCACTACCTCAGTAAGCATCGTTTTTGAGAGCTGAGTTTTAATGTAAGGCTTTTGATGAAAAAGATGGGATACTGAAAAGACTGAGGCAAAGTGCTGCCAGTTCAAGTCTGCTCCACAACTGAGACAGACAAGAAGGACGGGGACATGGGTTACATCAGACTTCAGGGTACAATACTGTGCCGTTTAAGTACCACCAAGACTGACCTTATCTCACCTTAAAAAGCCTTTGATCATGAAGCCTGTCAGTTAATCGACGATTCAAACGACGATTCAAACCAGTTTGAAATCAGTAAATCAGAATAGATTGACCAACAACATTTCTAGCACTGCAAGAGTTATTTTGATCCGTCATGAATTTCTGTTGTTTACATTGATGCAAATATGGCCGAATCATACTGTGACTGTCAGTGTGGCGCTGAAATAATGATTGGACGGACTGGGGATGGGTGGTAGAGAAGTGGGGGAGGGAGTTCACAGTTCAGTGATTGGCTCAAGCATCCCTTCTCTTAATGATGAGAGGTCCAACGTTGTCCCCGGTTTCCTCATTGTGTTTGGTATGGGCTCCATCACAGAAAGGGAACTGCAAGGTCAATGCAAAATATTAAAGGAAAATAAACACTCATCAACTATGTGCTCTATAGAATGATGATATAATAAAGACATATCCAATTAAAACATTGTGATTTTCCTTGTTAAGAATGCTGTCAATTGGGTTAATGGTGGACTCGGTTTATCACCCATCCAAGAATACCAAAGACAGACTTTGGTCTATTTCAATACAAGGCCCAACATCTCTTGAGTAATCTCTACACATGTTGTTATTCAGTCAGATTCAGAGGAGAGGTTGGTGTCTCCAAGCATTACTTTCACTCCTGCATAACACTTCAGCCTCTGCACACGCCACCAGAGTGGGATGCAACCAGAAGTGCAACATGAGTGTCAGCAATGGTAGAAACAGGGACCTGAAACTCATTTTTTAACTGCTGAGGTTGTTGTTGGCTCTGAATTCAGATCTGACTTGTTCGCCATATCCCTTTGCTGCTGGGGTTGTTTTTTCTTTTGCTAATTTATTTGTCCTTTAGTTTATTTTTATCTACACACTTAGGAGTATTGAAACAAGTTTGGACAATAACAGGGAAATTGCAGCTTATGCAGCATATCTTAAACACAAAGTATCTAATAAAAGGTTTTTCCAAAAACAGCCTCTGAGGCATTGGATGAAGCCTAACCTTCTTTGACTTCCAGCAGCGGCAGTACACAGCCTTGGTGCCAATGTCCTCCATGTCGAAGCTGTGGACCACTTTGGGACTGTCTTTACTGACTGTTAAGTTCACCTGACCTTTTTTACAGCTTCTCCCACTCAGGTAATGGCTGACTAGGAATCCTCCGACAGCTGCGACCACTGCAACAGGCACTGCTACCACCAAATGCTCTGGAAAGAGACAGTTTTTAGGATTTTATCAATTACACATGCTTCCTTGTAACACCTCCTTGTAAAAATTTGCTGCGGTGACCCACATACACCCACCCTCTCCTGCTCACAACAACACCAAGGTGTTAAAGGGATATTCCGCAAAAATTAATTTAGGATCAAACACACTGTAACACCAATTTAGACACCCCCTCAAGAGATGAATGTTAGTGACTGCTTGCTTCTCTAGTTATACCAACTTAGGTAACGACCGCACAATAGCAATACACGGCCGTCTGAAGAGCCATACACAAACCTCGACCAAAACACCACATTTTAGCCACAAATAATGCTCAGAACAGCACCTAACTTCATCAACAGTACATATAGGGTCCCAGCCATAGTACTAGCCACCAAACATCTTTTTAACTTTGCCTGATTTCTTTAGCAAAGAGATTAAACACAACTCACCTACTCTCTTCCAGCAGCTGTTTGTTTGTAGCGAGACCTCGGGCCGGTCCTTTACGGACTACAGCGGGGTGACACAGCTCAAGGAAGAACATTTATGATTATTTCTTTACATTTTCTTTAAGTAATAATCACCATATTAAATCATTTTGCACTGCAGATGCAGTAGATCTTCTGCCTCAGCATCTCGGTCTGATTGCATTTCCATGAAGAAATGATCATAAATGTTCTTCCTTGAGCTGTGTCACCCCGCTGCAGTCGGTAATGGACTGGCCCAAGGTCTCACTACAAACAAACGGCTGCTGGAAGAGAGTAGGTGAGCTGTGTTTAGTCTCTTTGCTACAAAAATTAGGCAAAGTTAAAAAGATGTTTGGTGGCTAGTACTATGGCTAGGACCCTATATGTACTGTTGATGAAGTTGGGTGCTGTTCTTAGCATTATTTGTGGCTGTAGAGTGGCTTTTTGGTTGATGTTTGTTTATGGCTCCTGGGACCGCTGTGTATTGCTATCGTGCGGTCCTTACTAGAGTTGGTATAACTAGAGAAGCTAGTGGTTGGCAACATTCATCCCTCGAGGGGGTGTCTAACTCGATGTTGTTGTGTGTTTGACCTTAAATTAATTTTCCGCTGGTATATCCCTTTAAGTCTCTGGGATGTACAGTGTCAGCAACACAAACCAACTAAGATACTGTATGTTTATTCTGGACAGTACAGAAAAAATCGTTAACTTCAGTCTTTTAACATTACCAGTACACAGATAATATACAACCAATTTTATTTACTGTTCAGTCCCTCACAGTTTTGTTACCCTGAACACACAATATGACCCATTTAGAGAAAACTAAGAAGCTGTAGTTTGTGTAGCTTCTGATCCTGCACAGAGGTTGTGAAATTGCCCTTTTCCAGCACGGTACTGACGAGGATAATCCAGGTCCACTGGGTATCACATGATGCAGAGTCGCAAGACAAGAGGACCAGGGGCCCTGCTGTCGATCCGAATCAACGTGCTCAGTGATTAGCAGCTTCACAAGAGGGTTTACATGAGGCCACCATACACAGACACAACTCCTGCTGGAAAAGCTTGGATCGACTCCAAGACTCTTTACGGCTTTGGTTGATGAGCCAAAGCTTTTTCAGTGACATGCTGAAGAAGGAAACTCAAAACAAGGAGACATTTGACAGAACGAGCTAGTTGTGCTAAATGCTTCTTAGACAAGCTGCAGATAACGTGCACAGAAATTTGGAGATTTCATGAACACAATCACGTTGAAATGCTTTCAATAGACGCAGTTTTCATAACCCCGTCGCTCAAAATGCCCGTCAGATGTTACTTGGGTGGGGGTGATATCAGGTCGTAGCCAAGTTGAAGTGGCAAACTAAAACCCTCTTCCAATGTTAGCATGCTACACTGTTTAAATAAAATAAACTATCTTATATACGTTACCTTTTGATAACCTGAATCCCGAGTTAGATACTGCTGGCATCTGTGCGATCACAGGTAAACTAGGAGTTGCCATGTTTTCACTGGACGGTGGTTTGTTTGTGAACCGCTATGTAATGCAAGGTCAACCGAAGTCTCAGCTGAACTCTATCCGCTAAGGGAGGGCCGTGCACGGGCTGTACGTCACCAGCGCTGACCAATGAAATCGAAGGAGGAGCAGCGTGACCGTCTGACAAAGCAAGAGACCCTATCCTGGGCCTGTGGCGCACTTCCGGCTTCGCTTTCAATTCAAAGAGACAATAAAAAAGATTTTGAATATTAATAATGTACGTAACTTCTCAATATCAAAACAATGAATGTTTTGCGGACCTGAAGTATATTGTTCCGAAAAGTCAATGTTGACGACGGTGCTTGTCCCCCGGTTTGCTTTGTAGGTGAATCATCTTAGCTTTTATTTCCAATTCACAAAATTTCACTCAAATAAAGTACACGCTAACACAACCACTTATTTCCCCTTTCAAACAAATGTGGTTTAGAGTTTTTTCTTTAAGCGTTCAATTATCTTTGTATAAACACAATATTACCTAATGAATACATCTTAAATTCAAAGCATGCTTCAAGTATTTCTCATTCATACAACACCAGAGGGCGACATACAAATCTGTAAACAACCTCTGGAATCTGAGAACTAAGTTTAAGGTAAGGCTGACAAAAATGATTTAAAATGTCTTAAACGCCTGTAAAAGATCAATAAATTTTAATCCTGTGTTTGTGGTTTAGTATTCTATTAATGGTCAGACGACATACTACAGCAAAGGTGTCAAACTCAAGGACCGGGGGCCAAATCTGGCCCGTGGAACAATTTTATCTGGCCCACAAGATCATATCATATTTGTATTATTATATGCCTACCAGTATGAAGTCTGCAGATTTCCTTCAGTATAGTAATGTAAACTTTAGCACCATTATTTAAAATGTCCTTAATAAGCTGCAAAAATCTGTGCAATTGAAGAGTAAGGAAGATTTGATAAATAGTCAAGAATGAGGGGAAAAAATATTTGTTTTATTTCATGTTTTCAATTTTGCATTTCAAGATTACACATCAAACATGATTGAATTTCTTATTTCATGCTTTGATTTTGTTCAACTCAGTATTTAGACTTGTCATTTTTTATACTTTAGATTCCAATTTTAAATTTTAAGTCATATTTTGACCTTTTAAACCTGATTTCAACTTTCTCATGTATTTGCTCTTTAAAAGCATTATTTTTCTATTTTTAATATCATGCTCAGATCTTTTGAACTAATAAATATAGAATACAAAATTAAAATAAAATAAATGTTTCTTAGATTTCCTTTAAACTTATCTTTTTTTAATTTACAAATGATTTATAATCATGGCTGTTATTGTTACATATTTCTTGAAAAGGTTGACAGTTTTGGTGAAATGTTGACCCTGTTGTGGCCATTGCTGTGGTTGAGTTTGACACCCTTGTACTAGTCATCACACTACCATACAGTTCCAAACCAATTTTTAATCAAGCAAAGTTAAGTAAAGGTCTGATGTTTCCCTCAAAGTGTTTGAGAAATTTAACCATTGGATCGTGGGTCACTAACTGGGTCACTATTGTGTCCAGACTTCTATGTCTCTTTCTTATCTGCGTCCAACAACATGGTTTTCAAATGAGACATCACAGGAGTCAATGGATTTTATTACACAGTTTAATCAACACACAAAGCTCAACGAGCCTCTCAGGTAATTCAATATACAGAGGTTTTGTGCAAGAAGAGTGGGTTCTCCTCGCACCCAGAGCCCAAGCCAGTCCCATAGCCATTTAAGATGTTAGCCTCTAATTTGACAATAGCGAAAAAAAAACCAAAAACAAAATAAAATAAAAACAAAAAGGAAACGAAACAGAAAAGAAAAATAATGTAACCTAAAGAGTTATGGGGGGAGGAGGAAGGGGGGAGGGAGGGGATGAAACACAGGTTAAACTAAGAAAATTAAAAAGCTTAAATACCTGGTCCAGAACCTTCACTTTGTGAATAAAGAAAAGTTGGTGATAGTGGTGGTGAGGGGGTGACATAGGGTTACATTTGTGCGTGAATGTGTGTCTATGTGTGTGTTTAAAGGGGTTAATTTGGGTAAGGTGGGGTGGGAGGGAGGAGTCAGGAGCAGGAAATGTGGGGATAAATTCAAGTCCTTTCATAGAATCCAACAGAAGACCAAAGTAGGCCATGCGATTTGTTTCTCCTTTTTATATAGCTTGCAGTTATTTCTTTGATGTATTTATTGTATAAAATACAGAGTGCCCTTCGACTCGCTTGCGAAAACTGTTTTTCTTGAATCGTCACCTCTACAGATGGGAAATACAAGGACAACAAAACAAGAAAAAGGGTGCAGAGTGTAAAAATCCCTCCATCTTATTGTCCCCCCACCTTCCTAAAGAGTAAGAGAAATAAAGAAAACGTTCCCCTCAAATTTTACAGTTACTTGAAGGAATGCTTTAAGTGATGAATGTCTGGGGAAGGAGGCTGAAGACACAGCCTTGTTTAAGAAATAGGTTGAATTGGGTGGGCAGCAAAAGCCCCGCTTGCATGGTGACAAAGTGTTATGGAACAAAGAGGTCAGGAGAGGTCACATGGAGGGGAGGAGGGGGGTGAAAAGGGAGAAGGGAAAGATTGGAATTACCATCGCATGTTGACAATATGTACACTGTAGGATGAGCAGGTGAGCTGAGGGGCAGGAGGGGAGGGGGAACAGGGGGGGAGTCAAACAGAGAAAGTGAGAGAGAGAAATGTAGGGAGGTGGGGTAGAGGGAATTTTTACAGGTACTCTGGTGAAGGGGAGGCGTGGCTCAAAGAAAGCACTCCACTGGAAACCAACAAGATCTTGTTTTAAACTTCATTGTTTGAATGGTTTTTTGTTTGTTTTCTCTTTACGTCTGAAGCTCCCCTAACCTTATTTTGTAGAGGTGGTTGGCCATGATTCTACCCCAACACTACATTGCATACTTTTGTGTCCATTCCCGAGCTATTTTGTTGTACCTGTGGACAAGCAGAGAGAAACAAAGTTGTTAGTTGTCTGTCTCAGTAAAGACAGTAACACATACGCATGCTGCAGAACACTCAGCAGTCACTGTCTTTTCAACTCTTGTATTCATTGATCTTGAATGCGCCTAATTCCTCATAAATGGTGACACCCAAACTCCTATGAAACAAATAAACAGGTTTCAAATATGTTGTCGACAGCACATTTTATTCATAAATCTAACTGTACAAGCTTTGCAAACAATTTGCACTTTTCACATTTTTTTAAAAGCTGCTTCTCCTCTACAGCTTTCTGGTAAACATGTGCGAGATCAACTGAACTACTTCGAAACCAGATGCTGGTGCATCCTTAGCACTGGTGTGTTTTCTTGTGAATTTCGTGACGAGAGGAGAAAGTGCTGAGGAATACAGAGTTTATTCTCCAGTAGGTCAGTGTTTTCTTTTCTAGACAGATGAAATAAAAGAAAGGCAAGCTCAGCAGACCCTGTTTTGGTTGATTCTTTGCATTGTGTTGACATATATGTTAATTGTTTCCTTTGAGAAGTGGAGTAAATTTTAGGAGTGGTCATGGCCAGTGGAAACAAAAAAAGGCTGCAGATGGTTGGAATGACTGTCTCTGATGACCCTGGACAAGTAGAGAAGTATGATCACAAAGAAAGCAGAGGGAATTGTTTTAGGTGTACCACGTCATACTCATCAAGTCCCCACTATTACTCATATTCAAGTGTCTTTTTATGAGTACTTGGGTTAAATGATCAGTCATTAACATCATATGCACACAGAGAATTGATTTCCTCTTCTGACTTTGATCATCTGAGGCAAGAAGACAAAGACTTTCCTTTTTTACTTCTGTAACAAAGGATAGAAATTTGTTTAGCGGTTGCATGCCAATAACTCCAGACTCAGAGAATCAGCATGTTATGGCTCTAAACGATGAATATGAGTTACCACTATCAATCAGTGTATTATAACTATTGTCCCCAGAGATAGAGAGTCCAAGTCAGACTGCAGTACTCTTTTATTAAGCTTTTCACAAATCACAAGTGCATTAAAGACCTGTGAAAGTGTTGCTGTGGTGTTTGAGATGTTATATTGACTGTTTCTGTCCATTTACAACATTAACATGAAAGCTGAGATGCCACAAAACAACCAATGGATAAAAATATGGTCTGCTGGTACTGCAGCAAAGCAGAGGTTAAAAGGTTTATATCATGGTCATCTCAGAAACAGATGTTTAACATTCCTACACTAATGACATTATTAACTTGTAACAGCGCAGATTAAAACATTTAACAGCAGATCAGCACATGTGCTCCAAAGTTGAAAAAGTAAGAGGCACACAAAGAACTTTGGGGACACAATGAAAACTGATCGAATAATGTGTGTCTTATTAGTCAACACAAGTACTATTATTTGAAATCAATTTTAGGTCTCTTAGTCACATGGCATGGAAGCTACTGAAGAACATGTTCAAAATTTGCCTTTAATTTTAACATAAAAACTTTTAGAGGACAAATTAGGGAAAATAAAGAGGTGTGTCTTATTAGTCAACACAAGTACTATTATTTGAAATCAATTCTAGGTCAATTGGTCACATGACATGGAGGCTATTGAAGGAAAACAGCGTTTTCTGAGAACATCAAACGGTAATTTATTGATGGTCCCTTATTCAACACCTGATGTTGACAGCAAGGGTGCCGAGTAGATTTAACCATGCTGCTGTTGCTATTCACGGTTATGTAGAGTGAGAACTGAGAAAACACCGGTAGATCCGCAGTGAATGTCCGTCGAATATCCAACCAAAAACTAACTTCACTGCGGTATTTACATGAAAACACATTTGTTGCCTCGGCTGATTTTTTCTTATGCACATGTGCCCTCGAAACACATTTTACAACTCGCAGACATCTATTTTCAGTCACAGTGAAACGGTCGCACTGTCAAGCCCTGGAGAATGTTTCAAAGAGCAGTCAAAACTGAACAGAGAGACTTTAAATGTTAGACAAACCAGTAAAGAACAAGAATGTTTATCATTCAGGTATTCAACATGTGGTCTAACCCTCCACTGAAAATCATGTTATTGATCGTTTGTCAAAACTAGATAGCTCTCGAGTTTGTAAGGCTTCACCAATAAAGGGCCAAAGTAAGCAAACAGCATTGTCCCGGTTTTAGAAGGTTATTTCTTTCATTTAGTAGACAACTTGTATCTTTTTAAAGGCAGTTTCCATCATTTTTCATGGGAAGCTTCAAAGCTGCTGTACGTGTACTTGTACATAAAGAAAGAGACTATTATTTGAAGATGGGTTTGATTTTATTCAAGTGATGGTGGATGAGGTAACTGGTGGATTGCTTTGCAAACATGATATACATGTTTCTCGGTTTGCAAGTACTGATCTGCTGAAGGTCTGCAGGTTTTGAAAGTTGCATATGATTGAGTGAAAGTCATATATTACTGAGTGATTTTGACAGTGACACTAAAACACCTTTATAAACCGGTGCACGCAGAAGAGCGGGCCTCGACAGGCCGTAAGAGAGAGAGAGAGAAGAAACTTCAGTGCTAACTGGAGAGCAGTAGAGATCCAAAAGGGTGCCAGCCTGGTGGCGCAGTGAACCAGTGCGCAAGAACCCAGAAAACTACAACTGTTAAGAGTGGGACTTAATGACAGGGTTTGAGGACTTTTCTACATTAGAGGATACCAGCAGCTAACATGAAGCTACAGTCTGCAGCGCTCCCTGTCTCACAGAAAGCTGCTCATCTGTTAACTTTTCTCAATTTTCAAAAGAGACTTTGATCAGAACAGACCTTAGCACAGCTTCATATAGGACTACTAAGACTTGACAGTTGATCACTCTGTTGTAGATGAACTGAAAAGTTAACACTAGCTATCACAAATATCATTTTGGCAAGAGACACCAAAAAACCTGAACACATTTGAATGATGCACATAACAACACAGCTTACTTTTCCCTGTCCGTCTTGTAAATGCGGGCGATCTCAGGTACTAAGGGGTCGTCCGGGTTTGGGTCACACAGCAGAGAGCAGATGGACAGGAGGACTGAAATGGACCAGGCAAGGTTAACCAGAGCAGATATCATCATATTTCAGAACTCTTGACTTTTGATGGCTAACTAAGGCACGTGAAACACAGATCTTAGAAAAACATGGCTAAGCTGACATTTCGAGAGATGGACACTCATGTTTGACTCAAGGACAAATGCCTCAACAAAACGTGACGGAGGGTAATTTGTGGGAAATCTCTATGCTTCTCTTTTCTTTCCTTCACTCTCTCATAATCATTGTTGACAAAAGTCAGAGGGCCGGAGAAGAACAGCTTACCTTTGGAGATGGTGAGAGCTGGAGACCACTGTGATCGCAGAATGTCAAGACAGATGCTGCCGTTGCTGTTGATATTTGGGTGGTAGATTCGTGTGGTAAATGCAACCTGATAACAAACAGGGTGAGAACCAATGAGAGGGGGGAGGGTGAGTAAGAGGGGCAGGTGAGAGAAAGAGAACTCTGAATGATGCAGAGCTTTGACATGTTCGAACAGGCAAGCAGCACTCTGGGGGCTGCACTGTTACTTTGTTGATGTATACTGCTCACACTCATTCTGTGTACGTTTGTGTGCGTCTATCTCTCGGTTACCTTTGGCGGTTTGAAGGGGTAATCTGTGGGGAAGTGTATGGTCAAGAAGAAAACCCCGCTCTGGTAAGGACTGTCATTCTAAGAGAAGAATGAAGACAGATTCATTAAAGACTCAATTGCTTCACCTCAGTGGATTTTGTGTGAGTGATGTTCTCTAAAAACAAACAGATGTCAAGATTTCAAATAAAAGAATGGGACACACTGCTGTCATGTCAACGTAAATGTTAATCCTCAGGTAAAACTCGAGTATTGAGCTAAGAGCTGTCACTGAGTGAATACTTACAGGTCCCATTATTGTGGCTTGCCAGTGAAACACTGAAAAACAAACAGAGAGCTTGTTATGAAACACACAGAACACAATGTGTGACAGAAAAGTGTTAGAATAAATAATGCCACATGAATGGTGAAGCTTTAGTTGTCTGGTTGAGTAACAACCTCTTATACAAAGCGCAACTCTACACAAATACTCAAGGAAGCAGGGTTTTTTTTAAATCCTAATTTCTAAAAGATCAGATTATGGGAGGAAACGGCATTTTAGATTATATGAAAAAAAATATCAAGATTTATAGAGAAAAAAATATGGCTCTGACATGAAACAGGATTTCAAAAAAGGCTTGGTCCATAAAATCTGCAACAACACAAACCAGAATGGTTTTATTTAGGGGCATGTCACATGTTCACTTGAAGCATCCTGTTCAGGTGTAAAAACAAATGTCAACTTCACAGAGGGAAGCGAACCGCAGCAGTTGTATAAAACAAAAACAGCAAACTGAAGTCGTTCACGGCAGAGTGGTTTATTTGATGTGTGACCACTGGAACAAACATGCTGCTACATATGCACAGATATTATGAGTCTTAACCCATTTAAAAACATCCAAAAATCTGAAGTATGTCAAATAGAAGAGATTCAAGTTCAATGGGAACGACTACAAAGGCGCATCAACCAACTTTAACCTCTGATACTTTATTTTTGCTTGTGTAACGGAATCAGTCACGGTGACAGTGCAGGATGCACATATTTTGTGTGGTTAAACTGCATTGACAAAAAGGAACTGAGAGGAAAAAAAAGACAGAAAAGCAAAAAGAAAAGAAAGAACGCAGATTTCTGTGAGTTCAGTTAGTCTGTCAGAGTCTGTGATTGGAGCCAAATCCATATTAACAGTGCGCTGATGAGAGATAACTGTTCTGTTGACTAATTGAAATCTAGCATTCAACACAGCAATGAAATAATTCACTATAAAAACCTGCTCACTATAAATTGTGCAGTACTTATTACCATAGACTGTATATCATACATGGACATAGCATCAGTGAGTTTTGAACTCTACTGGCAGCAGCCGCCTTACTGGAAATACCGACTCAACCTAACCTCCAGTCGACCTACCGGAGGCAGGCCTTTAGCCTCCCCACGAATAGCTACAATGACTGTCAGTCAAGTCAGTCATGCCCCTGATTGGCTGATCTTGCAAGTTCAATATCTTAGAAACAAACACAATAAAGGAAATTCCTCCCCGTACAGTGGGTGCCGTGAGAACCTTGATCCATTTCGACCAAAGCCGCTGATCGCTCGTTACACCAACTGACAGAAATGTAAAGCTCCTGTGAAGAACGTCACATTTGAAGACATTCTGGACAAATTAGTCGTTCTTAACACTTAAAAACATTTAAAATCATACGTAACATTTTGATGAAACTAAATTGATCATATTATGTCTGAATGAAGCACTTTTGCATTTGGTCCTTATAAACAATAAAAATGTAAGATGGTCTGCAGGTCATTGGATGAATAACAGGTCTCATTGTCTGACCATTTTTTTTTACAGTTACTCACATTTCTAACAATCTTTGCGCTCACCATCTTCAGGTGTTACACTCAGTGACAATATTTCTCCAAGAGTTTGACTGTTGTGTGAAGTCTCTGCTGCATTCATGATGATATTCTTTTAAAATGTAAAAAACATCAAAACTAACTTCAGCTGTCGGCTAACCTGTCTTACAGTGAACCAGTGTCTCTTCATCTTTCATAAATCTGGAGTTACAGTGATGGATGACAGCCGGCCTCAACTACGACATGTTGCACCAGATTTAAAAAAGAAGTTAAACTCAGTATTAGGACTTAGTTACTCAACCTTAAATACAAGAGCTTCACGCTTTTTACAGATACATCTTAGTTTAAAAAAAGCCTTGCACTGGGATCAGTATGGTGCCACATTCCCCATAATCAATGACCATTCAACTATTTTTAACACGCGAATGCTTCTAGGAAAACTGAAAATACGGCTGGCAGCTTTGATGGCAGGTAGCCTGAAACTTTCACCTGCCACAGCCAACACTTGCCCTACATTTGGCAGGTGGCATGTGCTTGATTTCTTGGCTGCACACAATGCACACTTGCATTAGACTATCATCTACTGCCAATTCCCTGAGACTCCTCATCCTCTGCAAGGTAAAAAAAAATATTAAAAAATAAACATTTAAATTTAAACATCGACTTTAATGTTTTATTTTTAAAACATTATCTTCTTAGCAGTAAATTAGTCCTTTTAATATCTACCGACACCTCGATTCTTTGGCCTTTTCAGTTGTTTATCAGTGCTCCAGCATGCACAACTGGTTAGCACAATACCTATGATACAGAAATTCTGTCGACATTCAATGCACCGCAAAAGATTATGTTAAGTTGATAAATAAACTTGTGTAAATAAATACACCTTTAAGAGAAAACAAAACTGACTAAAACATCAGAATTTTGAAAATCTAAACAAAAAAACCTCCCCAAACAAACTCCCAAAAGATGTCTCCACAGGATTCACAAAAATGGTGCCACTGGATTGTTGAAATAAACTGGATTGGATTTTCTGTAGAGGCTATCTGATTGATTTATTGATTGATTAATAAGCCTGCTTACAAAGTTGATTAAAAAAAAAATCATCAAACACTAAGAGCAGAGAGTGTCGGCAGCCCCCTAACCCTAACCCCTGCTATTGATGCTGACTCTAATTCCCTCAGTCACCATTGTCTTTCCTTAACAATACCATGTTTTTCTGTTCTGCTGTTGATCAATAAAGGTCAATAATAATGATTTTCAGCCATGTTCTGAAAAGTACAGCATGATCCGGAGAATATTCTTACATGATACAATGAAATCCATATGTTACATGTTCCTGGCTGAGATAATTATTCACATCGTACTGTAATGTCCATGGGAGGTTGTCAAATTATCAATACTTTGATACTTTTTGAGAAGCTGGGATGAGCATGTAACTAAAGAGAGAACAGCCATGGTCGAGCAACACAGAGAGTGAAGAGAGAGCACCAGAAAAATAAAAACACAGCAAAAGTGAAAAATGAGAAGTTATTTTCTGATTGTTTCACAGCAGCAACTCTCTCAAGAACCTTCAACTGCATCTACATTTCTGCTGGATTTGGTTTAGTCGCACTTCTCCTTATGTGTGTCTGCTATGTGTCACAGTCGCTACCGCTAAATCTCCTCATTCACAGGTGGGCAATATGGACCTTTTGTTTATTGCATCCTTAAGCATCTAATAGAGACAGAGGTGACAGCGATATCACCTGGTCTTGATGTGTTTCTTATTAGTCCTGACCTGATGCCCATAAAAGGATTACATTAGCTAGAAAAGTAGAAAATACAGACAGTGTAAATACAGACTTTCTAATGAAACAAATACCTAATGCACATTTCTTCTGGAATACTAATGATAATTCAGAGAGAATATCTTATTTTGGTTATTCATCATTTACTGAGATTGTTTATTTTGCCTTGCACAACTTTTCACGATGTCAAACGTTGGTCTGTGTTCATCAACTTTTCCTCTCCAGGCACTGTGAGCAGATTGGAAATAAAAAAATTACAAATATAACTACATGGCAACGACATTACAAAATTTACGTTTGTATATTGATGGGAGAAGACTGTGAAGAAGTTCCGACCAGACTGATGCTCTATCCAACAACTTATCTTAACTTAAAAAAATAAAACGCTCTAATTCTGCAGAGCATGACTCATATAAGAGAAATTCAGCTCCATCTATGAAATCCACTATATGACGGTCTACTTTTTATGACAACCAGATTAACAGAGATTCTGCTAGCCTCATACATCCCCTTTATTACTAAACATCTCTAAATATAAGCTACAAATAAGCCGTGAGCCTCAGAACTGGTACAAGTTTCTCTAACCGTTTAGGTATAGCTTATAGGATTTACATGGTCCTGTTTAATCGCCTGTTTCACTGACTTTACATACAAACCCCTGATATGTTGGTCAAGCCAAGTCTAAGAACACTTATGCTGAAATATTATAATGCTGGAATAAAAAAAAAGTAATAATTCACTCATCAGGACTCATCGGATTTTGCATATGTTGAGTGTGTGACAACTCTCTTCAGGCTGCGAGTTAAGTACTTGTACATGCACAAGTTAACCAACTATAATAGGGAAATGGTGAGCACTGATTAATATTTCAGACAATATCATGGAAATGTATGGTGCACTCTAGAAATATGTGAAGGTAATGAAACTGACAGTGTCTTAGATGACACCCGAGGGTTTTAGACACCTGGTTGGATGCCATTTTCAGAATTTGATGTCTTGTTGCGAGTAGAATCCAGCAGACAAATTTGGGGGATTTACCTTTATCATTCATCTTTGACTTTGATTTGCTGAATTTTTTAATAAGGTACTGAAATGATTTGAACTTGAATATCTTTTGTTGTTTTTTACGTATTTATTTATGTTTGATTATTCTTGGTGAGCAGTTACTGTTTAAATAGTCACAAAAAGTTTCTTTTTGTCATTCACTCATTTTCACTAACAACACTAAGATCATTAATATGCTGCTAATTTTTACTCTGTTATCTACTTCAAAAAGATTTAGATTATATTAGACAATCTGTAATAATGCATGGAGAGGCTTTTATTAACTGTATATGGTAGGGGGGTAGACAAAGGATACCTATAAGTCCCTCCTCCCTTTAAACCAAAATACCAGCCAGGCAAGATGAAACCTTCAATTTGTAGTGAAATCAAAGATGACCTGACAGGTACAAACTGAATTTAGAACTGAATTTTTTTTTAAATTACTAACTAATTTTAAAAGAGACTGACAGGGGTTGTAACCAGATATCTTTGCATAAAAACAGAGCTAGTTTTATAATTTAGATCAGTACACTCAGTGACAATTATCAAGAGTCAGCACCCTCACTTATAACTGTGATGTCTCCCTCAGGTTAAGAGAAGAGGCTGAAACAGCAAACGAATTCAAAGTGCAGGCTATGGTTCAAGTATTGCTAACAGTTTCCTCATCCAAATATAAAACAGTAATACAATTTAACACAAATGAGCGGCTCTGACAAGATGAACGTCCTGAAATCTGGATTACAGATAACATGTGAAATCTGCATAGTCTAAAATTTGTGACAAAGTTTTATTCATTTATTAATTTTAGAACTGCTGTGTTTTTGAAAAAATAACCAAGTCAAAAATAGCCTAAGAGGTAAACAACTGGTTCGTTTTTGGTAACTGTTCAATTCTGAGACCAAAGACACATTTGGATTGAATGATCAACTCACTGTCATCTCCTACTGGTCCTGCAGAACACTGGGCTGGTGGGTCCCGTGCCAAGTCATTCAACTCCTGGGGCAAACAAATGACAGGCCAGATGATCAGATCATTGGGGTGTAATTAAAAATGCTAACAAGAGTAATAACTTACATAACAGAAAAAAAAACTTAACTATGAATTATTAATAAGTATATATTTAAAGCCACAACATCAATATTGTCCATCTTCTTGAATTAATTAATATCTACTGATGAATGAATTTACATATGTTTTTAAAAATGTACATATAAGGCCCATGGGTGCCATTAAAAAATGGTTATTCTTTGTAAACAAAATTAAAAATTATTAGTAGCATTGGGTTGGGTTACACTGCATGAAAAACTGCTGATAATGACCAAACACAATAGAAACATGTAAACTTTGATTACTAAAGTGACCGCCATTACGTAATGGCATTAGTCCAGGTGCAGCAGGTGTGGTAAATATAATGGGCAAGCCGAGATGAAGACGATGGGTCAACAGAGGTCGACTGTAACTTTCATTGTCGGTAGGTCACCTAAAGCTAGTTATGTGTAGCCCGGCAAATTGTTTTGGTGCAGACGTTGACATAGCGACAATGCTGGGAGCTTTAGTAAGACAGCAGCAGCAGCAGCACAGGCTGTCAAGCGAACTAAACCCTTCACTGGGAACACTTAAACATACTCCTCAATTCATTAACTTCAACAAGAAAACGGTCACAATTACACAATTTACCCCAACACGTAAAGAAAAAAAATGAACACTCCTAACGATGTGCTCCCTGCCTGCTGTCACCAACATGGCATCAAAGGCGAACAACGCGTGGGGCCTGTTTTTTTACACGACATACTGTTAGAGCTAACACCACCACAAACACTTCCTCATCCAGTTTTCATGTTTTCAGGGTCACAACAACCCCATTTATCGATGATACCTTTGTTTCGATTTGATATTTTTTAGAGCGGACCGAGTTAGCACTGTGAAGAAAACGCAGTGCAACAGGGCAGGGATATACGCTAGCTTTAGCTAACGTAACACCCACCAATATATGTGAATTTTTTACACTTCAATTTAAATGAACCAGGATTCCAGACTTAAAGAAGTAACCTAACAGCACATGTGAGATAAGCAGATCGACGATACAGTGAGGATTTAAGTGTTAAACGGCGGGGTAAACGCTAGCGTCGCCGCTAGCTCAATAGCTTATCTGTCATATCAGGGACCGAGTACAACAAGCTTCAGTGTCAATACCTGCAATAACTGATGTTAGCTACATTTCCGTACCGCACACCACAATTAGAGAAGTTACTGATTTGGTATCACTTCGTATTAAACCAATCGTTTCATTATTGTACGTGTAAAGCGTAACTGACACTATTAGCTTGATCCTCGTACTTCTTTAGCCTATCAGAGTGAAATTAGCCAGCCGACACAGCTAACAGCCGCTCAAATAACCAACATGTTTGGTTGACTCGGGCATGAGTGGCTTTAAAATAATCAAAATATTCGCTTTTAGTGAATATCTTTGGGTGAGTGCAACTAAGAGAGTATAAGCTGGCGTCTTGTTGGGAGCCGAAGGGTTGAGTTGGCCCGTGTAGAGCAGCTCACTCACAGGCGGCGCAGTGCTGCTCTCACCCGCTATTCAGGTACCGTTAGCTGCCCGTTAAAACCAGGTCTAAGTTATTTAGTCAATAGTTTTCAATCAATCTCCCTCTAATTTAACAGGCAAATAACCAAGTATCGTCAAGACTGGAACAAGATCTGCTCCGATACTGCGAAATCCGGGGCCTCGCCGCTCACTTTCTTACCTTGTGAATTCTTTTCAGAGCCATTGTTGTGCTAGCGGTTCTGTCAGGGAAACGTGCAATTAAAATGGCGATTGATGTCACTGTCCGTTGGTAATACTACGACTCTGTTATCATAGAACACCGCTACTGTACACTCGATGTGCCGATCGTTACCAAAGGGAACTACCGATAAGATTTCGAGGTGAAACTGAAAGATAGAAAGAAGGGTAGAACCGCGGTCCTTCCTCCTACTGCAGCGGCTACCAAATCACTGCGGCCTGCGTCCTGCCAGCAGCAACAACGAAGGGACTTCCGATCTGTTTCCTTCACAATAAAAGCACGCTCTATATCGATCCTGAACTGTGACAAATATTGAACAGATTTCACAAAGGCATTCATAAGATGAGTTGCAAAACGATACCCCCGCAGCCCCCAAACTACCAAAAGTGGCTAAAAATATAAATAGTTTTCATTAAACCTTTTTTAAATCTATTTATAATCTTAAAACAATTTTAAGCAACTGGATTACACCAACATATCTTGTTTTTGTTCCCTCTTTTTGGAAAATATTTCACCATTTGCTAGTTATTTATTGTAATGTATGATTCACAAAAACACGTAAATACACAACGAAACATGATCAGCCAGTTGTCCTCACTCTCCATTTATTCTGAAGGCCACTCTGCAAAACCGGAAACCTTATTGTTGAAACGCATGTACTCCTGTGATACTGCCAGAAAGCCCTTTGCCGACATGCGCACGTAAAGGGCTTGGTGCACGTATGTTGAAACTGGCATCATTGTGGCTCAAAGCATGCGGTGTGAAGGCTGAGCTTACATGGTTCGGAAGGAGCCAAAATGTCTTCTCAGCACGTATTTTTCGCGAATTAAAGTCCTGCGGAAGGGAGTTTAAATGATGTGCGTCTACAGTGATAACACCACAGTGATCTAGAATCGTTCGACATTTAAACGGGTAGATTAATGTCGAACATTTTCAATCATTTGACTGTAATTGTGGAAAATTAGAATGTTCAGAGGCATATTCGGTGATACAGATAAACAATGCTTGGGGTTTGCTTGGTACAGGACGATGTTTTTACAAGAGGCAAATACGTTTTATCTGCAAAAACTGTGCTGGCACCTCTGAGCAACATAACAGTTGTTGGCAGTGCATCCCTCATTGAAGAAGTACTGAACACTCTAACAAGAAAGCTCATTAAATAAAGTAAAAATAGAAACAGAACCGTGAAAAAACATTTGAAACATAAAGATATAGCCTATAGTTAAAAAAATGACTATATGGGCTCTACCTTATTATCAACAATGACAACAGAAACACAATTACCTATACAAGAAAAACATATATCGATATAAATTTATCCCACACAAGCAAATTGTTCAAATGAAATAAGAATATTTAACTGGCCATTATGTCCAAAGACTGTTGGCGAGATCAACCTGTTCAGATGAGCGTGAACTGATCCAAGCTTGGAGTTGATTGTTTAAGATCCAGAGACACAGGATAATTAAACAGACAGAGGCTAAGCATAAAAACTCTCCTATAGTCCAAAGACTCAAAATTGTATATTCTTTTTGGAAATCATGGGCACTGCGTCCTCTTAGGAGGGAGATCACCTGGCTCATTATCAGTCCACAGTTTAAAAGTAAGCATCTGTTGTGGAGATGGGGTTAAGGCACAAAAGCTTATAGAGGTGGTAGGTTTAACACCTGAATGGTCACTGTTAATGCTGAATGTTCAGTACAGGTTCAGGAGCAATATGCGACCATCCAGAGGTAGTGCCTGCATGTTTCAGCAAGGCAATACAGAACCGCATTCTGTACAAATTCATATGTTTAGTGGTTGACTGATTAAATTTTTTATGGATGATACTCATAATGAGAAAGCAGGTTGGCCAATGGCTGATATATGGAATGCCAATGTCACATAGTTGTTTTTTCAACATAATAATGCTAACAAATGAGAACACTACTGCTGAATTTGAGAGGTTGTTTTATTAAACAAATATAGACAGAAAATATAAGACTCAATAAAATACTGCCAAAAGGAACTTTTTGATGTCTGAATAGATGAAATATTCAGAAACTATATACATGGTAAATATTGATGATTTATTAAACTGCATTATTCTATACACCACAATCACCAGAATCAGTATCAGACACAAATCAGTCTTAGATTTTATATGCTGTCAAATTCCCTTTTTCATTCGGAAATATAATGGTAATATCAGCCCTGTGAGGGTTGATATGATACTGATTACGTAAAAATGCCATCAATTGATCCAATTATTCAGTCGATTGATTTATCAGTCTCTCTAATTGCAACAGCATGGCTCTGTAGTAGAAGTTACTGAAAACATTTGAATGAAATGAAATATGGAACAAAGGAGACCTGACCTGTTGAGCAGCTAAAATCCTGCATCAGACAAGATTTGATTCAGAATAATAGATACGGGTATTCTGGGCTCCGAGACATTAACAGAGTTGTTAAAATATAATATAAGCATGTACTTTTCATATACAAATAATATTTTTCAGTTTTAACATTTGATATATCATTTTTGCACTGTGCCGAATCAAATGAAGCATTTAAATGATTTGACGGCCATCAATTTCTACTACACTAACATTTTACAGCTACCCAGCTCTTTTGCAGTTGTATGTTTTTCAGCATTTTTGTTATTGTAATTCTTAATTTTATGAATGCATTTAAGAAAAAAATTAAGCTAATAAAATGAGCTTGTTTATATTCAAATAACTAAGCTCTTGAGGTAAAGCCCTAATTAAACCATTAGCAATTATTAATGGTATCGATAATTGCCATCCAATTTTTTTGATGGATACTATCATTTGATCCACTTATTAGGAAACAATTTTACCGCATGTTTAACTGAGTTTTTAGGCTTTTTGTAGCAATTATGTCTCTGTAATAGACCAATTACAATAGACCAATTACATAGACCAATTAATAGACCAATTACAACAAGAATGTAAAATATTATAAGGCCCTGCATAAACTTAAAACACAAAGATATCAGTTTAATACTAAAGGTCCTCAGATTATTTCATCTTCCATAAATCATCTTCTTCTGAACTCAATGTCAGAAATTGAATAGAAAGGCCAAGTTGTGAAGACATCAATGCCTAGATTTGAACAATAATTAAGTTGGGACTTCAACAAGGCTTGTTCCTGTTCCTTTCAAGATCATTGTGGTTTGAATTTTCCAAGACACACATTTGTATCCACTAATAAAAACATAATAATGTACCTTTTGATGCAACCTCCAGTTGACTTTCACCAAAAATTGTGTTTCTGAAATAATCCCAAATATTTGATTTAAAAAAAAGTTGATGACAGTATATAAATAAAAAAAATGGAAAACAATTAATCCAGAAACCATGAATGGATGCAAACGTGTTCACTAAATCTATCCATTTTTTTATTTTCTAGTACCTCAATGTCTGCCTTTTCCTAATACGAGCACAATTTTCTTCCAGACCAGACTTAAATTGTTGCCATGACTTGTATTTACATGACAGTAAGACAATGTTTTTTTTGTTTGTTTTTTTGCCATGACTTGATCCTAAATGTCAGCTTCCAATAACTAAACACTAATTTTGAACATCTGCTATACATATTTAATTTTTCCTATTTGAAAGTATTATTACTCTGCACAAAGTGCAACTCAAGCCTTTGGTAGCAAACCCTTTTTGTTCTGAAAAAAAAGGTATTTTGCCAATATATAGTTACGTAAGAGAGGAGGTGGAACTTAAGAATTTAGATACTGAAACACTCCCGTAGTAGGACTAGTTGGATATTCAGTCATAAATTCTTCCAGTAAATACTATATCTCAGTGTCTGTCATACTTGTCACACTAAAATACCAATGTGTGATGCAGGGCAGATGGCTCCTAAGAATTCCTCCGTCAAATTCCTAGAATTTGGATAAGTCTGGTAGTCCTACCTGAAGGCATGTTACATGTTGCTCATCCCAGGTAAAACTGATATTTGTGCCTATATACATATGATGTAGAGTGTATAATTTCAGATGACTGGACTGGACTGAAACCCCTTAAATTCAGCATGCCCGCTCCTTTGGAGCCCCCTCCTGGCCAAACTTCACATTTTGTGACTTGACAGAGCAAGAGGACATAATTTATCAATCCCAGGGCAATTTCATTTTTTCATGACTCTGGTATTGAACATGCTGTTGTAGACATAGACCAGAAATACATGTGCACAAGACTCTGGGGGCATGCACCTACGGTGAGATGAAACAGAGATGTGGGTCTGCACACAAACAAAGATACTGTTTAAGGGTTTGGTGCCTTGCCCAAGTGCACCTCTGCAGTGCCCAGGATATGGACTGGCACTCCTCCAGCAACCAGTTCCAATCTCCATACTTTAGTCCCATACTTAGACCCTCCTATTCCCAAGCAAAGCCCCAACAGACTGAGCTGCTTTACCTCCATAGTTTCCTGACTAAACATGATTCTGTCTTTGCATGGGCCTCGGGTTACCTGATAAACTAACTTTTGTTATCAGTTTGTGTGGCCATTACGTGTGACATACACTTGATCCACAACTTCACATTCATAAACCTGTATCTATTCTACATCTTTCCATGCAAAAAAACAAACAAACAAACTAGAAACTATCACTCAGGCCCGTGTCAGATAGCCCACTGTACATCTCCAGGCGAGCAGGCACCCCCGCACATACAATCCATGCAGTCGCTCTGGAGGGGGAAAGCCCTGCAATCTGTGTTTCCACAGGATGGCAGTATGAGTCTGACAGTGCGTTGTGTATCGTCTGTCTGTGTGTGCGTGTGTGTGTATTTGTGTGCATGCGCAAACGCGTGCGTGCGTTAGTTCCTGCGTGTGCGTGAATCTGCGTGGGAGTTCCTTCTTTCGCCATTCCGGGGTGTTGCCAGCTGCACAGCACCGTTTGCAGAGGCGTACTGGAGAGGTAGAGCCTGCGCATCTCTTCTTTCTCCAAGGCGTCTCTTCGCCCTCTAACCTCCAGAGTCTTATCACCCCACCCCCTCCCCCCTCCTTCACCAACACCATCCTTGGCTATACCAGCATCCCTTCGCCCCCCCATCAAAGAACACATTTGGGATCTAAGCATGCCACAACAGCAGCTAGATATCCGCCTATCCTCCCCCAAAGTCACCGCAGGCGCAGCAGCAGGCTTCCCCCGTCCAAGAGAGCACGGAGACTCCACCGAGTGATGCCACTGCTGCAGCAAGAAAAACACCCAGCAACCGCGCATACTCTCGACGCCTGCCGGAGGACCCGACACCACAGTCTCGGCCCTTGACAGAAGAGAGAGCCCCCTCCCCACCCCCTCGGCTCCGTTCCTGTCCTGACTCCAGGATGTCCGACAGCAACGCAAGTCCCACCGACCGGGTGATCAAATGTAGGCATGCCAATCTCTGCACGGCCAGTGAGAGCTATCTCTGTGCCTGCAATAATTCTGCTGTAACCCTTCTGTTTTCGATGCTTGCATTCTTGTCATGCACCAGTGTCTCTTCTGCGCACGTTTCTTTTCTTTTTTAGCTCAGAGTCCATTTCTTTTCATCACTCTGCCACCTCATAATAAAAGAAGCCTATCTGACTGGAGAGTCATGCATGTGTCTGAACATTTTAGTAGAGGGAGGTGGTGATGGAGGGAAAGGGGGAAAGGTTGGAGGAGGGGGTAAGCAGACCTATACGACACATCATGGGTCTTCCCTCATAAATCTATTGGAATTCACCCCCTCACCGAGGCATTACCCCATTTTCCAACGAGGGGGATGTCTCTTCCTCTATGTATTGCAAATGCTTTTGTGCGACACCCTGTGCTGCATGATCTCCATTTACGCGCTCCACTCCTAGCGGTGGTTTCGTGTTACTGAATAATACTCTACAGAGACACAGCCGGGAGAGTGATAGAGAGAGGGAAAATCGGAGAGGGAGAGAGGAAGATGAGCATCTTGTTCCAATGAAACATCTAGCAGTGTGACGATGACAGCGAAAGGCAGACATAAAGGTAAAGAAATGTTACGCATAACCTGCTATCTTTGGTGTGGTGATTTCGTTGTAGATGCGGGCAGTGTCGTGGAGATGATGTTGCATGTAAGCAACGATGTTGGGGGAGGAGGAGGGGGGGGAGATGCTATGGGGGACTTATTAATGGGAGAGCTTTGGATTTTTTGAGTTTTCTGCCTGACAGTTTCACATAACTATAGCCTGTAGCTTGCGCGTCTCAGTGGTGCTCCTGTGCTGTATATGCTGCCGCTAACTCTTCAGGGTGGCCTACATTCTCGGTCTAGTTTTTTTTTTTCTTCCCCCCACTGAATCTGAGCTAAAGTCAGGCAGTCGAATGGTCTAAATGGCTGACAGGCGGACAACTTTGCCAGGCCGAGTACGCACCTTCATACCTAGGTGACTGTTTTTCATGGTAAAGGCCAGACAAATGAAACCAACCTGATATTAGCTGCTGTGACGCCTTAAAAGCACGAATGCACATCATGGGTCATTTTATGTCGACGTTTTTCAGGAAGGCCTGAATGTCTGACAAAATCGTACGTTTCCCGTGCGTATCGTTTATACACGTCTTCGTAAAGGTTCCCCTGGTTTCCCCATCTGATTCCTCCAAGTGTCAAATGAAAGATACATGGTGCGCGGTGTGTCAGAGCCCATTTCCCGACAGTGATTTTGCATACCGCCCTAATGGTGTAATTGCATCACTGGATTATGGAATATTTAATGTGTTTATGAAAGTGTCTGTTCCTCCTCTACGCGTGGGCGGCCATAGGGGAGGTGAGGAGGGGCACCGTTAGGTTATGATCTCCGAAGCTTGCACAGATTGCCGTGTTTATCGGGTCACAACAAGGATGGCATGGCAGCGGCGCTTCCTAACACGCAGCCTGTCACATGCAACGAAGCCTTGGCTGCTGTCTATCCAACTGGCTTCCCTTAATAAACTCTCAAGGTTTCTCTGCCGGAAGAAATGGAGCTGACAGCTGGATGCGTTGCACGGGCATGCCCCGGTATTCCGTGCGTGCGTGCGTCGTGCTTGGAAGAGGATGGGGTGGGCTGGGGGCGTGGGGGTTCTTGCAGTTTTTGCACGTAGGACTTCAAGACTGCATGCGCCTACAGTATGGCTGTGCTTGTACGTGTGTAACTACATGGATGCAGCTATGCAGGGGCGGTGCTTAAAAATCTGGATCCCGTGGAAAAAAAAAATGGATTCTAACCTGATTATGACTGACCCCTCATCCACCCTGTAGTTATTTATCTTAACCCCACCAATGGCTCTCCTCTGTGTGTACTGTTACATATTAATTCCTGTTTTCATGTGTGTTGTAATACAGCTGGGCCACTGGACCTCAGCTGCTTTAACACTGGAATTAACTTAGCGGCCTGTATCCTCTTGCATCATCTATCATGTATAGACACATACACACAAACACACTAAATTAACACGCAGAGGCACCACAGGCCTGCAGTTCATCAGTCAGGTGAGAATGATTTGATGTGTATGAAGCTGAAGAGCGAAGGGGGCATCAGTCAAAGAGATGCCACTTGTGGCAAATGGACTGTTTCAGGTACTTCCCCACATTATGGATTTTAGTGAGAGGAGAGCACACAGAGATGGAGCCAAAGGACAAAGCAAAGCTAGAGGAATGGACAGGGAGGCAGAGAGTGTGGGGGCGAGTTGAGAGAGCGAGGAAAGGAGAGGATGTGACAAGGCCATGAAATGTGCATGCTGGCTCACTGTCATGGGTTACTGGGACACTCGCAAAGCTTGGAGCTTTCTTTGTTGTAAAACAGATCTATTGGTTTTGTTTTTCTGAATAGGGACAACTTTAGGGAAGCCATGACAAGATCTAACAAATATTACCACCAGGCATTTGTGGTCTGAGCTCTGACTGGCTTGCTGGACAAGCATTTTTTTTATTATTATTTTGCATTCTTTTGGTTTTGGTGACTGTGGACTTCTGAGATAATATGTAACATTAGAGACAGTAGTGAAAGCTTGTCGAAGTGAACTCCCCATTTCGGTTTATGTGGGTTGGCATGGTTTCTTGGACATACCTTGTAATGTGCGTGCTAGTGGACCAAGCTTAACCATCAAGTTTTTCCTTAATATTATTATTAACTCTTTTACTTCTCTTGCTATGACTTAACTGTATAACATACTGCACACGACATAACCAGAAAAGACAATAGAGTAAAACATAGACAGACAGACAGACAGATAGATAGTTTATTGATCCCAGGGAGATGACATCTAACATAAAATACAGCACTTGCTTTCTCATATCTACAGGTAAAACATGTGCACCCCCCCCCCCCCTCAAAAAAAATAAAATAAAATAAAATAAAATAAAATTAAATTAAAAAAATACCTTAACTAAGACTTTAACGAACAACCTTTAATGCCAAAAATGATAGGTAGAGGTAGACCTGCAAATCATCAGCAACAGCCAATACCTGCATTCACAAGGTCAATTGAAAAAGTCTGCAATGTCCAGAGCCATGTACTATTATCATAATTCTCATGCACTCTTTGGTAACGGTTAGCCTAATTTTCCTTAATCATCATTGGTTTTACTGAATATGTTGTTTTCCTATCCTGAGTGTTAGCATACAAAATTTAAAATGGTTACTAGCTAGTGTTCTACAAAAACTCTGTTATGATGCATAGAATAATGCAGTTTATTGTTATTTCTGACATGAATATTAGTCAGGAGGTGAAATCTATAGCAAAGCCCATTAGTAAAAGTCCTCATTAGGGCCATTAAAAAACACATTACTGATCAAGTTGGCCCTGTACGTGAGACTGAATTTGCATGGAGTAAGAAAACTACATGCCTTTCTTTTTGGCGTATTTGTTGACCCAAATATTTATCTTGTGTGTGTGTGTGTGTGTGTGTGTGTGTGTGTGTGTGTGTGTGTGTGTGTGTGTGTGTGTGTGTGTGTGTGTGTGTGTGTGTGTGTGTGTGTGTTTCTGTTTAAATAATTACAGATAAGTAGACAGAAATCCAGAAGTCCCTTGTGGGATTATTTTTTTGAGTCAACATCTGGGAAGGCCAATAATAACCAAATGTTCATTTAAATCGAGCAAATTTGTTTTTCATTTGTTGTTGTTCTTAAAAAGTTGTTTTTATCAATGCAAATGTTAATGAAATCAATTAATAAGGATAAAAGATAATCAGCTGTTGAAAAAGTGACATACTATGTCAATCACTTAATCACATGTAAAGACATTTTTTGCGTAATTGATTTACAGAAGGGCCAAATACAACTGTAAATTCAATTTATAATTGCCAAATTTTACTTGAAGTATCACTAGATCTCTGGTATATTGTAGCAAGACATATTAAGATTAACAAATCTGAATCTGTTTGTGATCTGAAATCCAGAACTAAAGGTTCAACGATGGGCTAGGTTGGTAAAGACAGACTGTTTCTAGAATGAAAAACGAATGAGAAAAACCTTTGGACTGAGAAACAAGATCCTGGATACACACAATGAGCATAAGTCAAACTTTCATTTGGAGAACAGCATCACAACGCTTTCTCATCAAGCATAGCTTCGGCTGGGTTTAAACACTCTTCTGACCTACTTGAAGAAGACCTTTAACCTTTCAATACTCAGTACTTTTCTTCTCTGTCCTGTTGTATTCTTCATCAAAGAGCTTCCTATGCCACTCATGGTTCTCGTGATTTTTTCGACTCCTACAGTCAGAAGTGGCTCATGGCTAAAGAATATACTGTATAAAGATAAATGCCTTAACTAAGTGCTGCATGAAAATAGAACATATAGTCCCCAGGACAGGCCAACCACAGAGAGGAGCTGCTCCATTATGCAGTAAAATGTAACCATGATGATTTTGGTTGATATTGTAATGATGATTATCACAAATGACTACTCATGATTTAACATCTGCATCACACATTCAAGCAACTAAAAGCCTCTTTGAAACTTTAAAAATCTCTTTATTCTTTGAAAAACACAAAAATTGGAAAATAAACTCTTTGGCTTTCTTTTTTTTCTTACTAAAACATGTCTGTCTAACTGGATGAGATACATGTTTTAAAAAAGTCATATGTACTACCACTGATAGGGTCCACACATCACTCCTGATTTAACTTTTAGAGCTCCAGCTGATTTTTGGTGATAATGATCACGAAATTAAATCCTAGAATTCATTTGTAGTGAAGTATTTTTACACTGTCATAAAAAATTGAAGGATTTCAGCTCTGCTTACATTTTATCACAGGCTGCAAATCAAGGCTAACAAATTAGTCAGCTTGTCAAAGCTATTAAATAACGTCCTTTATTATTCGATTACTTGTGTTTTATTGTGATCAGAACGATGCCTTTCACGTTTTAGCTGCAGTCAATAGCTTGTTAGAGCACATGCACGTTCCTGATCACTGCAACCTCTCTCTCGTCCCGTTCATTCTGTCCCTCTGCTTTTCAGACACACACGAAATCTCACACCTGACTCCTCCTGCCCCCACCTGCTGTTGCATGATCATTTGCATTGTTGTTGCATAAAGTGTTGATAATTTGGCGATCCATCATTAATCTTAGCTGGAGTCACAACTTCCTCATGTCCTAAACTTTGTTTCTTGTTGATCAGAGCCGCTTATGATGAAGAGCAAGTGAGAGCTGTTTGAGGGAGAGGGGGTTATGCCCATGCTCTGCTGTTAAGGGAGAAAGGGAGGGTGAGCCTCATTCAACATGTAGGACGTAACAGGGGCCACACAGCAGGTGGCACCATAACTGTTCAGTTTCAATTTTCATATTTCCATCATCATGAGGGTCCAAAATCATAATCCTAATTGAAATCACCCAGCTCCACTATAAAATCTTAACCTCATAACAATTCACCTGCATGTCTGCCCATTATGAGATGTGAAGCCATAATACCACCTTAATAGACACTGACATGTTGTGCTGATGCAACAGTGTGTGCAGAAGTGAGCTGTCACACCCTCTCCCCTAACAAAGACAGGCATTTAACTTATTGATGAAAGGTTAAAGATCCCTCAGCACTGTAGAATAGATTATTGATCTGAAGCAGACAGTTGTGTTTATGAAAGTTCAATTACTCTTGTTTAAGTGTTTGTCTTGCCATCCCTCCTCTACTGTGCTTAAGAACTCTGTGGGAGCTCACATTTGTCAACAGAACCACCAATCAATCATCTTCTTACAACCAATTAGCTACTTATAGGGATATTCCGGAGTAAGACTAATTTAGGGTCAAACACACCGTAACACAGAGTTAGACACCCCCTCGAGAGATGAATGTTGTCGACCGCTTGCTTCTCTAGTTATACCGACTTTAGTAACGCCCGCACAATAGCAATACACAGCAGTCTGAGGAGCCAGAAAAAAAACCTCAACCAAAAAGCCACTCTATAGCCACAAATAATGCTCAGAACAGCACCTAACTTCATCAACAGTACATATAGGGTCCCAGCCATAGTACTAGCCACCAAACATCTTTTTATCTTTGCCTAATTTCTTTAGCAAAGAGACCAAACACAACTCACCCACTCTCTTCCAGCAGCCGCTTGTTTGTAGTGAGACCTCAGGCCAGTCCATTACGGACCACAGCGGGGTGATGCAGCTCAAGGAAGAACATTTATGATCATTTCTTTATCATTTTCTTGAAGTAATAATCACCATATTAATCATTTTGCACTGCAGACACGGTAGTTCTTCTGCCTTAGTGTCTCAGTCTGATTGCATTTCCATGAAGAAACTCTGATAACAACGAACATGTGGACATAAATTACTTATTTTATGTGTGACTTTTAACTTTACTTGATATATGAGGAGGTGGTGGGTCTAGGCCATACACTGCAAATGGTCAGAGGGGGGAGCTCTAAATCTCCTGACTTCACTGTCAGGCGAAACTTCATGCTATTCATTTTAATACACAGCTCATAGCTGTTCAATTTTATGTCTACTGTGTGCCACATGAGTTGACTTCTGTTAAAGTTTCTCTTACCCTTAGAAGACCTCAGAGCAGTTCAATGATCAGGTGACACGCTTGTTCCTTACGGGATGTTAATTTCAACCTTATCTATCAGCGTTACAGGCATAACACAGGACAGCTAAAGCAGAGAGCACTTTTGAAGCTCAATATGAAACAAAGGTTTGGTCCCTGTGGCTCACATGGAAAAAACTGGTCCCCATTGAGAAATGATGGTTCATTGTGGAGAGGCAATACTCATCATTTTAGAGTCTTGACCTTTCAAACATATCAATGAATATGTGAAGAGTGTTCACTGTGGGCCGAGTGCAGTCATATCTAATATTCACACATGCATGTATGCATTCATGCATGCACCTACCCTACTAACACACACTCCTCTTCTCTCTTTCTCACACACACACTAATACACACGCACACAAATGCTAACACATCACCTCTGGCTAGGCTCGGGGCACACTGGGCATATTTCCTTTTAGTGTAACATGCTGTCCCATTCCCTCACGGTCCCCTCAGAGCCATGTGTGAACTGTGTTGGCTGTGTGTGCAGGCATGTGTTTGACTGTTTGTTGGATTTTGTTTTATCCTTGTGTGCCAGGGGTCCCACCTTGACAGGTCTGTGTGCTCTTAGGGGAGGGTGGCAGGGCAAGGGCTATTAATAGAGAAGGTACTCCAGAGAGAGAGAGAGAGAGAGAGAGAGAGAGAGAGAGAGATTGTCTAATGAGGACAGGCTGTTAGGGGATGGGCCGTTGTTTCTGTGTGTGTGTGTGTGTGTGTTTGTGTGTGTGTGTGTGTGTGTGTGTGTGTGTGTGTGTGTGTGTGTGTGTGTGTGTGTGTGTGTGTGTGTGTGTGCATATACAGATGGTCCTTCATGTGTGTAGTGTGCATAAATTGAACAACTTCAAACACATCTTAACTCGTCCCCCCAAACTACCTTCAAAGACCAGTGGATCTATGTTCGCTGATTTGGGTCAAAGATGGTGGATGAACACAGACACTCGGAGACACAAAATTCATGTGAACCGTTGCGTTTCTTCCCTCATGTCTTTTTTCTCCTCCCAATCACTTCTCTCAGTCTCTCATCCCTAAGTTTTTCCTCTCCTTCATTGAGTCACGCAGAGACAGGAAGCAGTAAAATCTGACCTCAAGAGGTGTCTGTGCGTGTGTTCTCACAAACACAGACTCGTCATTGGTTCTAGTTCATCCTCGTGGACAGATTGTCCTGATATTGGTGCATGTTGCACCTACGGGGCTTCAGGCTGTCTGTGTTTCTGAAATGACATTTCTGTAGCCCCTGCAGAAATGATCTCACTTTAACTTCTTTAACTGCAAAACATCAAAAATAATCTCTCTCTTGTGGCTATCTGACATTCAGCTGACTGGGAGGCACAAGTTTACACTCCTGTTTGGCCATATCTTGCAACACTTGGAGGACAGACAGAATAATGGCAGATGGATGGTTGGTGACATCCCCAGTCATTTCTGCAGCCTGTCTGTTCTCATTTGCTATCACTTCCTCTATCCTTCACCAGACACTGTCACTGTGAATGGTGGCCTCGTGTTATTAAACTGATGAAATATCCTCATAATTAACTAAAGCCATTAGGAAGGATGCACACACAATAACAAGATGATTCTGATCAGATTCTGCTCCGTTAGGCTATTAGGCCAGCCCAAACAAATTTAGGAGATTTGGTTGAAAGCCGTGTCAAACATTTTCTCACCGGCTCCCCCTCGCTGCTCTGTGAAGTGGAGATTTTTGGCTGAGCTAGCGATTTTTTTGTGCTTAAAAATTCCACACCAGGCAGCTTGGTTGTGGAGAGGGGGCTGGAAGACAAAACCAGTACAAAGCGAGCCAGCTAGAAGAAAAGCTCTCACCTTTTTACTCATTTTACATCCCTCAGCCCAGCTCGACTCACACACTCTCATCCAGCATGTAGCGGCTTGCTTCTGTGAGAATGATAGCTGCAGATAAATTACTTTTGTTATTTTTTACTTCACTTGCCCTCACATCAGCATGAAGCTCACTGTGTTTTTCACCGACACTCAGGGAAAGAACAGCACAGGCTGTACTGCCATCAAGTTTTTTCAGTCACACTTTATATGAACCCACTTCTTATCATGCATCATGAGCACATTTATATGAACTCATTTTATTGCATCTACAAGGCTTTCTAATACTCCTGAAAGGTGATGTTAAATATCTATAACAGCTTATATTAATGTGTTTGAAGTGGTTATAAAGGTTCATACAGAACTCATTCAATTCATCACATTTATTAGCAGAATTTTGGGGCTGTAGCTTCAGAGTCACACAAATACTTCACAACAAGAATAAATCTTTTTTTTTTTTTATAATTAATTTTTTTATTTTTTTATTTTCATTTTCATTGAGGTGTAATTCATAGTGAAACCATATCTTTGTAAGGTATCATGCTCACTGTTTACAACACTCCATTAACATTGCTATAAGTTGTTATGAATAGATTATCACTCAAAAGGATTGTTATAAAGTCTGAAAATGCATTTATAAGGCCTTATAAACATTCTTATAATGCACCATAAGAGGTTGGCTCATATTAAGTGTTACTATTTTCTCTTTAAGTCAATCCATTCAGCAACATCATAATGCAGAGAAGCCACCTTTTTTGTTTGAGCTTACTTAATGACAAGCTCACACTTAAGTCACATTACTGATATCTGGATTTGTTTGATAAGTGATATGGAAGTCTCTCTGATGTACATTTTTTCTCTTTTTATCAACCGTTTGATCTCGTTAATGTCCTGTTTTTGTTTATTAAGAAAATGCACATCATTAACGTTACTTTCATTGCGTTATCCAGCTGGCTGGTTTTGTAATGCAATTATTAGTAAAGATCCTCAGAAGCATAACAATGGGTTACACTGTAGTTATTCCTCAGACAGCCATGTATAGTTCATATATAGTATGTATTGTGGTCAGGCTTTATAAGCTCTTGTTGTGAAATCTATGTTTACTGGTTTACCTAGTCAAAGTGATTACCATGGCAACTTTTTCAAAATGTGTCTTATTGATAAATCTTCTATCTATCTAGCTAACTAGATTGATAGATAGACAGCGCTATATGTTATTCTATTAAAACAGCTAACTGGATCTGACTGATGTTTCCAACCAATGATCAATCAAACAGCCAGCTAGTTTCACCTTTCTATGACAAATATCGAAGAGGTTAGCTGACTAAGGAGGATAATGATATTTATAAGAGAGAGTATTGCTACTTAAATACACCAATTACAGTAATAACACCAACCAATGAGAATCAAAACTGCCGACCTCTGGTGAGTATTTTACAGTATTATGTGAATGTCAAGGGGGTAATATTTTGGCTCAATTTGGCTGGCTGAAAATTTTTCATTATTAGGTCTAAATTGAAGAAAATTGTATATAAATTCATTTTTCCATGTACATCAAAATCTTATTTTCATGATTATCTTAGCTAGCAACATGTTTCAGTTGAATATTTAAAGAAATAATACATTAAAAGACAAATACTTTAAGTTTGCCGTAGAAACCACATAATTCTGCACATACCATAGTTAATATCAAAAGTCAGTCAGTATCTGTTTTAGATTTGATTTGATGGGAAAATCATATTTTCATTTAGAAAAAGATAACAGTAATGTCACCTTGTGAGGGCTGATGCCATTAATCAGTCCAATTAATCAGCTCACCAATTAATCGTTCTATTCCCAGAGAGGACACTGCTGGGTGAAAGTTCTTCATGAACTGAGCTGAGATAGATCTGATCTGGTCTCAACCAGTCTCAACACTGCAAGCGCCCGGTCACAGTAAGCTGGTTTATGAGCATATTACACTGTGAAGTGTTTGCAGTTTCTTTGATACAAGCTCAAGAATGAAATGTTATGGTATTTACATTTTTGTAATGAAAATATGTGTTGATAGCAGTTTTTATAGGCTTTATGTTCTTTTAAACTTAAATTCCCTGAACATGTCAAATCTTCCAGTCCCACATTTTCATGACGGACTTGACCAAATCTGAAAATAAAGTCATTAAACTTACAAATAACTGAATTTAGAGGAAAAATGGAACATAACAAAGCTTCATTATGTAAAATGAATAACTTAATGAAAAAGGATTTTATTGGGTTTGTGCTTTTGTTACATCATACCCTTGGCTGAGCCACTTTGTCCTGACTAAAATATCCAATTGTGGTGTTTTTTTAGAGCTATCCATGGTAGCTAGATGATGACTCGGGTTGGCCGCCTGATAATTCATGTATTGCAATAAGGTTAAATATAAATGAATTGGCATATCATTTGGTATAATTTGAAAATATTTGGCACAGTTCACAAATCCTGGTGCATAATGCCTTCCTTTATTATAGCATCATCCTCCTGTTGAAACACGTTCAGTAAGAAAAGGCTTGATAATTTACAAATCCAAACAGCCCTGAGTCTGCTTTTCATTTGTATGCTAACTAAATCATCAGACATTAAGTGAAAAGCACCTTCATAGCTCATATGTGTTGGTAGTTAATGTGTCTTTTCTCTTTTTCCAAAGTTTGGTTCCTTCCCCAAGCTTGGTGTCTCTGCTGCTCTCCTCTCTCATACCTGCCCTACTTTCACACTGCTCACAAAATTTACGAGTTTCACACTCCTTCTCTCTTGCTTCGCTTGCTCTCTCTCTCTCTCTCTCTCTCTCTCTCTCTCTTCATTTCTCTGTCTCTTTCACACTGAAACAACACAGACTGAAAGCCTCAGGTTGATCTCAAACCACAGTATACTAAATATACTGTATATCACCCCGAGTTTGTTTAGCCCCATCTTTAACTGCAGTTTTTTTTTTAGAAATGAATGATCACTTACTGTAATACAGACACACTGAGATGCATAATCATTATTTTTGGCATATATTTCTTGCACCTAAATCTTTTAAAATGATCACTCTGTCTCAATCATGGTGAAAAATGGTTTTAAGATCTGCTGTTTTCAAGTAGAGGGAAACAGATCTTGTTTCTTTATATGTCCCAAAGGACCTTGGGTCTCCTAAGGTTGGTTTTGATAAAGGGATGTTTACTGGGGTTTGAGTAAGCTAAAGGGGCTTGATTAATGAACAGGTACATATACAGTTTATTTCAATGTTAGCGCAGAAATAAAACAGGCTTGCATCCAGACAAAAAAGAGAAGAAAACAGAAAGATGACCTTTGGAAAAGGACAGAGATATAAGATCTGGCTGCTTTCAAAGAGCCACAATTTACATCTCTTCGCTGTGCTATCGCTGGTGGGTTCATTCTAGGCATGTTCGCCCACTCTATATGTGGGCCTCACCTTGGTCAAAGAGCGCCTCTGTCTTCCCTTGTGTGCGAGTTTAGCTGAGATCACTCAATACAGAGTGAGTCAGAAAACTTGAATAAATTAAATCAGGTTCTTTTTCACATGTGGCATCTTAAAAAATAAGGGGTAATATGAAGTATTGCTCTTACATCTGAGATTCTTTTTTAACCAAGCATAGTTTCGCCATGTCATCTGACATGCTATAGACTTGTGCCTCTACACATGTCTGACAACAGGGGCTGAAATTTTGCATCAAACACCTTCCTTTTACCTAAAAACCATTTGTTTGGGTCAGGTGAGGAGGGAACCTGGGCAGATCATAGGTTATAAATACAAACCAGCACACCTCAGACTGTGTGTAGCAGGGGAGTGTCATGAAACAGTCATAGTAAACAAATCCTGACTTTGGTTTTTCAAGATGAATCCCACCTGAGAGGAAATTTTGCAGGAGAATTCACTGTTTTGTTTCCATGTTACTGTTTTTTTTTTTTATTCCTCATGACTCTAACATGAATGACCAGTTGATTGAGATTGATTGAAGATTCATCCGGATCATTCATTTGGCATTACCGGCTGAAATATGCTGATGTTTCAGTGATGATGACATAAAACCATGCAGTGTAGTTTCATGTAGCCGTTGAACTACTTTTACTGTAAAAAGTACCATGTGATCATCACATTAAAATGCAATGATGAAACTCACTGTGAAAGCTTACTGAAGGCTCTCTCTGTGGCCTGAAAGAAGGACACAAAAGCAAGGAAGATTGCAAGAGAGAAAAAGAAGGCGAAAATAAAAACAGAAAAAGAAAGGGCAAGAGGAGAGAGTGTAAAAGAGAGACGAAGTGACAGTGTGAAAGCGTGTGTGTGTGTGTGTGTGTGTGTGTGTGTGTGTGTGTGTGTGTACATGAGTGAGAGAAGGAGAGAGAGAGAGAAAGAGAAAGAGAGAGCCAGGCCTAGTTTTTAGTTTGTGATCTAGGCCATTATCTGTGTTAGCACTGGTGGGGCTCCAAAAGGCTCTGTGGATCCTGCATAACAATACCTTTTATGAGCTTGAATGTGTGTGCATACTACTGCAAGCTCATGAACACACAAATGCAATCATGCATGTTAACAGCATTGTTCCAGACATGATGTACGCATGCGCCCATGCACCTCTGCCTTTTGTTTATTGTCACTGAGTTTGTGCCATTTTGTTAAGACCACTTAGCTGTGTGTGTGTGTGTGTGTGTGTGTCAGTGTGTGCATGTGTGTTTTAATGAGTGTGTCTCCATATTTGTGTATGAGACTCCTCACGTGCAGCTGTGCACTCTTGCTGTATCACCCCCGTCGTCAGTCAACCCCCCTCTCCAGCAGCGCCCTGGGGGCCTTCATTATGTAAGAAAGACATTACTGCAGAACAGAGGCAGAGAGGCAGAGAGACATTACTGCAGAACAGAGGCAGGCAGCTCTGATAACTCTGGCAGCCCCTGCTTCAATACAGCCCACCTCAGTAACACAAACACACATGCACACACACTCACCACACCATCCACACACTCACACGCTCACTAGCAGTCAAACCTGAAGCTGTGTGATGAAGAAAATGGTGAGGATTGACGGTTTCTTATCTTTGTGGTCCAGCTTGTTTAAGAATACAACATATATGATCAAAACCCAAAGTTATGAGGAATAAGCCCCCACACATTTGTGCATGTTGTGTTGTGCAGTGGCTGTGTGTAGCAGACACAAGTGCATCAGCAGGTGTTTCTATCAGCAAGACCCTAACGAACCTATAGATGTGTTTAGGCCAAGGTTCACAGCATTCAATTCAAGACGCCTACAGATAAGACTGTATATGTAGTCTTTATTATGTAGTACTAACCCTAACAGTTACATGGATGTCAATGGAATTATACAGTATTTTGGCTAAATCTGGCCAAGACTGTAATCAGGTTATAGTCTGTAAATCTGTGTCTTTTGACTTATTCATCAAACCTTTGTAATTTAAAGCAGATTTAACACAGCATATGAGAAGTAGTACAGCATGTGTTTTAGCGGGTGGTTAGTGTCTATAATGATCTGATTGGACTGGAGCTGTCATTAAAACCTGTGAAATTTACATTGAACTGGACATTAAATATGAGAGTTGGTATTGCCTCTTTCCACTAGATTTTGTGCCCCAACCACCTATAATGTAATTTTTATATATGTGAAATTTAGAGCATCATGAACCTTGTTTTAAGGAGTTACGACATCATTAAAGTCCCACTCGGATCGTTTTTGTTCACTACTTAAAGTGTTCTCAGTGGTCTTTAAACTGTGATCAAGAAGTTTTTAGCCAAAATCACGTTATTTTCAAGGACTTTTCTTCTGCAGAGCTCCAGTATCTTATTAGCAATTTGCCTCTGAGTCGTGGGCGGAGACAGCGCTAATCTGCACACTCGACGCTAGCTTGCAGCCTAACATTGCCAGTGTAGTTGAAGTAGCAGGTAGCATAGGACACTAATGTTTTTAGGGTCATGATAAAAGTTAATATCATAATTAGCTTTCTTATGAGCATTGCAATCCGATACCGCACACGGTTGTTCCAGGATTTTCCTCTCTATTTCTCCAAGTCTGGCCTGCATAGTGGGGCTCCGGGGGGCAGAGCTTGGATTTGTGACGTCAGAAATCTTGCTGTATCTGAGCCTGCCGTTTGGGTCTGCCAGAGATTCACAGCGATTTGAATGTATAAATACTCAGAAATGCAATTTCGCATTTATTTTTCTCATTATATGTCCTGTAGCATCAGAAAAAAGCCATGCGAACATGTAAAAATCAAGAAAACCATGATTTTCATTGGAGTAGGTCTTAAAAGAACAACAATAGCTGTGTGTTTCAATCCAGGGGCTGTAGCCTTTGAGGACCACATCTGAAAAATCAAACTACATTTTGAAATAATTGTATTTTGTCTTTAACCCTGTCGTGAGCTGTACCAATGCCATAAAAGACAGAGGTTGAAATTTTAAACTATCTTTAAAATGTGTTGAGCTAATTATCCTAGCTGGTAAGATAGGTAGCCACCTGTTGCTGAGTGACAAAAGTGGCACAAAGTGACGCCATCGTCAGCTCAGCTCCTTTATCACGCAATTCTCAAAAGAGCACTAACCAGCCAACACAGGCAACAGCAGCTGAGTCCTTCAAGGACTGGGTTCTCAGAAGGCTCCAGCCCCTGGATTGGGGCACAGCCAATGTTTGCTGGACCTCCAGGGAAGAAGTCTTTGGACAATAATGCCTTTCGTACGTCTTAAAGCTGTTCTGACACTTACTTGCTACTTTTGATTGGTTTGTAAAGTTAGCTGAGTTTTTGAGCGTGAATTTTATTTAATCACTTAAATCCAGGTAATATATTATGTTTTATTTGATGGTGAACCCTCTTTCTGTTTCTTCTGCATTCACACACACATTCCAACTCTCCCTCTACTACCCAAATATCTGTGATAGATGTCCTCTACCCTTTCTCCATCGTTACCTCTTCCCGTCCCCATTTCTCTTTTTACCTTAATTTAACTTTCATCTCCTCTTTGTCCTTTCTATCCCTCCCCAACCCCCTCTCCAGCGGTCCCCTTCCCCCTGGCCCACAGGCTTACCATGAAAGAGGTTTTTGACACTGATGGCCGGCCGAGGGTGGACTTGCTCAAAGCTCACCTCACCAAGGAGGGTCGTCTTGAGGAGGCCGTGGCTCTTCGCATTATTGATGAGGGCGCTGCCATCCTTCGTCAGGAGCGCACTATGTTGGATATTGAGGCGCCAGTCACAGGTATTGTCCAGTGATGAAAATAAGAGTGGGATTTCAGGTCAGAAAGCAAAACCTGATATTATTGAAAAAAAGTGTTCAAGAGTCTGTGATTTAAAAAGTTACTGTTTAAATTTCAAACAAAGACCGAACAGAGGAACGAAGCTGATTAGTAAAAGGCAAAAATATCTTTCATCATGTTGTGTTAATATTATAGTCACTGATTAATTAATTTACCACTCTTGTGATATGAACTGTTGTTCAGTCACATTTCACTGTGAGAACCAATTGGCAATTATGCAACACACAACTCAGTATAGCTTTGGTAATATCTGCACACATTCATTGCCAGAGAAATTATATGAGTCGAGGAGGATGTCTGAAGGAGGAGGAGGGGGAGTTGAGATCGATGAAGAACAAAATGGAAAACAAGTTTTTGAGACAGTAGCACAGAGGGTAGACAAGCAGGCAGGCGGACTCAGGCCCTCTCAACTTCCTGACACTGCTCAGTTATAACATACCTGTGTATCTGTGTTTATGTGTATATGTGTGTGTGTGTGTACATTAATGCAAATGTGAGCGGTGAGATAATTCAATGTGGGTTGTTGTGCCCACGCACTGTGGGAACACCACTCGGCTTTCACAGGTACAGTTCCCCGGGGACAGGGACAGATAGACAGGCAGATGGAGAGGCAGTTGATCATAAGCAGTTTAGTGCAGAGGTTTTCAAACCTGCTCAATCCCAATGAGCAACATATCGATCTCTGTTTCAAACTTTCTTCACTTTTACAGATTCTGCCCCAGAAACACCCACCTGAGAATTAGCTATGATTAGAAATAGCCAACACATTTCAAAGATGTAACAACAGAGAAGCCGTACAGGATCTTGTATTGAGGGCTTACTGTGCATCTGATGTTGAGAGGAAGTACTTTGATGAAGTCTCTCTGACAACGGTCGAATACAGACAAGTGAACCAACAGGCAGGTTGAAGGCTGAAATTTTAACTGACAGGCTTTTTAGGATGTCACCCGAAGGCTGCTGGGAAAATACTGTGGCAGGTATGAGGAGGCAGACAGGTACAGCTCAATGTCACTCATGCTGTTTTACATCCCCAATTCCCAGTTTAAATTAAAGCAAATGCTTAGGAGTAAAGGGCAAAAATCATACACTAACATGATGAGCAGATGAAGAGACAAGCGAGCAGATATGAAATGGCCACAGTGAAGCGGCTGCAAAAGGGAACTATGACTTCAAATACAAGTGAAAAGAGAGGCCAGACAGATGGTTAGGGAGGCGGATGGGAAAATGTATGTTGCCAGACTATACAGACAGTCCTGACGTCTCACAAATATGAAATGTTCAGCATGTGAAGCCGATGATAAATTAGAGTCCAATTCAACTTAATGATTCTTGGATCAAATCAGTGGGAAATGATCTGAAATACAGCCACCAGAATGTAGAAAATCTGTTTTTCTGAGTTGAAGCATGTACAGTGAAAATAAAATAGGCCCAAGACCACTTCCTTGAGGAACACCACATTTAAAATCATGTGTCTGACACACAGATCAAGGCTGACAAAAACTGTTTAAAAGATAAATAACCAAGGGGAATTTTCTTACCAGAGATTTGTGAAATGAAGTATTTTTGGAGTCTATGACAACATATTAATTGTGAGAGGCCTTTTTAATCCCTGATGCAGGGTTAGAGTTAAGAGTAAACTAAAATTGATGATATGAGTGATACTAATTGCCTGTTTTCTTTTTTTCTCAAGGGGAGCAATGATTCTAGATTTACTACCAACACAAAGATGTCTATGATATTCTAATGTTGTTTATTTTTTACAGTGTGTGGAGATATTCATGGCCAATTCTTCGACCTGATGAAGTTGTTTGAAGTTGGGGGTTCTCCTGCCAATACACGCTACCTCTTCCTAGGGGACTATGTGGACAGGGGCTACTTTAGTATTGAGGTGAGGATGGACACTTATTCAGGACACATGCTTTGCTATCACATTTACCTGTCTTCATATTACCCTGGGTGTAAATGTATTTTACTCCATTGACTTACACCAAAATCTAGATCTGTATGTCACAAACTTTCCTTAACTACTGAGCTATGGTGTTATGCAGTCAATGTAATCTTAAGAAAACCACAATAATAATATGAAAATGTGCACACAGACAAAAAATAAATTAAAAATAAAGAGGTAATTCAAGATCTGTAAAGAATAAAAGGAGCGGGTGTCCTTACACAAGAAAAATGTAACATTGACATAGAGTTTGGAGGGTAGGGAGCATGATTTGGGCCACCTTCCTAAAACATATCAAGGGCATACTGAAAAGGTGCGCCCTTGTGGAGAATAGTTCATACTGGGCTGAGGTGAGATAACACACTGTGAGCAATTCAAAGTAACAAATAGGAATAAAAGCATGTTGGATGATTTTATATGTTAAAAGATGTAGGACACGGCCACAGCTGTTCTCAATTCATTTTTTACTGTTGACACAATCTGCACACTCTTATCCAAGATGGTTCTTATCACAATCCTGTTTGTGTCTGTCTTAAGACTTGGGGGAGGACCAATTCATTTCATCTCATTTTATTTGGGCTCTGGATGGCTCATTCAGAACAGGAATCTCTGGCTTCCTTGTAAATCTCAGAGCCTTTCTGCAGATGTAGTTTGAATTAAATGAGGACAATTAAATGGGAAATGACTCCAGCTCTTACTATGTGTTTTTGCTGTGGTATATGATATATGTTCACTGCCTTACATGACTGCAGTGAGATGAGGAAACACACTCTTTTATTTTCATCTGGTTAATTTCAAGCTTAGGAGATATTTCAAAAATCAATTCTGGAGGATTATAGTTATGGCTTTATAGTTTTCAGGGAGACATATATTTTTCAAATTTTTAAAACATTCTCATGTTTTCGAAATTAATTAGCATTTCCAGAATTTATAGTGTTCTCTAAATTTATTCTTGTTTCCTAAATATTTTTGTGTTCAAGTGAAATAATTTTGTGCCTAGTTTCATGTTTTGGGGTTTCATGAACCTCTTTGCATTTCATAAAATATTTTTTGACATTTACAATATTTTTCTTATCTCCTTCCTAAAATATTTGTGCCATTGACCTTTAGGGCCTCCGTAGCAAGCCTAGCTTAATCGGACACATAAAACTAGTTGGCACGAAAACCCATAATTCAGTCACTGACACATAATTTGTTAATGTTCTATAAATATAGAAATAAAAATGGTCAAAGTCATGAAGCAGCAAGCTTCTCATATAAAGATACAATCCCTCTATCATGCTGGTGTGACTAGACTTCACTGGGTTTAAATTAAAACCAATTTGCATCACGAGAAAATACACATACTTCTGTAACAGTTGTGAATCTTTGCTGCGTTTAATGATGTTAGTGTAGTGCTGCTCAACCCTAACCATGCTGTCATTCTCTCTCTTCCCTTCTTAACCCCCAGTGTGTGTTGTACCTGTGGTCTCTAAAAATCCTCTACCCAAAGACGCTCTTTCTTCTACGGGGAAACCATGAATGTAGACATCTGACGGAATATTTCACTTTCAAACAAGAATGTGAGTAACTCTTATATTATCAAAATGTCACTTTCTGCTGTTTTTGCCCCTTTCGTAATCCTAGCTTAATTTTCTGTGTCAGTTGATATGAGTGAAAGAAATAAAGATACAGCTTGATGTGATTGTTTGGAGTGACTTCAGCTGCTCTGAGATGCAACAGTTGAACTTGACAAAAAACTACACCTGTGTCAGTTCTATAAGCTCCATATTGGTTAGCTTAAGTAGGCTAAAAAATCAAAGTGTCAAGAGATCACCTGTGGCAGGCTCTGACTGAAGTCAATCCTAATTATATCCCATACAAGTTACATTGGCATGGCCGCCAGTTTTTGACACAATGCTCTAGAAAAGCAGCTCAAATGTTGGCATGGTGTTACTATGTACAGTGTTTCAGGTTTGCAAAGGAGATAATCTAACAAATTCCTTTTCTTTATGGATCGACAATCAACTCAAAAGTGACATTCAGAAATATTTAAATCAAGTAAATGCTGTCTGTTGAGCCACTAAAATGATGTGCCTCAATAATGTAAGTGAATGTAAGTCTTCGACCTCCCAGTTAACACCACTTTGAGTGAGAAGCATTGGTCTGAGCTCAGGAGTTTTACATTTCCACTAGAAATGTGTCACTTTCAAAGTGTGATGTTAGCTAGGAGTTGGTTAAGCGCTGATGTCAGATGTTTTCATTTAGTTTTGCGAATGACTGTCCTCTAATAACCCATTACATAAAGCCAAGTCCCAAAAGCTATTCAACCAACGCACAGTTAACAAAACTGTTAATTAGTTAAATATCCAACTAGCTTTGAATCCGAAAAATACGCTAGGCCTGGACATCATGGCATTGTTTTTTTATGTGTTTTCCAATCCCTCGCTATAGTGCCATCATCCTCTCCAAATGTGGTTATTTACAGCTCCAGTAATCTAACACAGCCATGACCACAGTGCCAACTCAAAGCTTTATGCGTTTGACAAACCAATAAATTACTTCATGTGGATTTTGTCCATTATTATACAGTGGGTGGAGATGTTTATGTTGCCAAAACAAGAAGGGAGCAAAAAACCTGAAATGTTTCATTTCAGTTCTTTTAAAATATTTTGCTATCCTCACCATAGTGGGCTGTTTGCATACATGCCCCTTTACTCAAAGCTGTCCTTGCATAACTAAATGACGACTCAGTAATGCCAACTCTCCAAGTCTTTTGGAGCCGAATCCTTCCTGCTAACCCCAAAACACCTGCTGCTGAAAATAAACCAACGGCATATGGACTAAACTTAAAATTGAGAAACCCACTTGACACTCATTAATTGTGACCATTTACTGATACAAATACAGCTTTGATTGTAAACAGCTGCTGTTTGACTTTTGCTATGATTACGTGGCAGAGCTGAGTACATAATAAATACCTGGAGGTAACTTCAAAAACCAATTCAAACGTAATATCAAGAAAAATAGATCTTACTTTGCTTCCTTAATAGAGAGAAAGAGATGGGGTGAGTGTTGCTTGAGAAGAAACCTATAAAGACTGGATAACTGTTGTGTGAAATTTGGCCTACTGTAGGATTTGGCAATTATTCTTAATCTCCTCAGTTATCTTCTCCAAGCTTTCTCCTCATCTAACGTTCCATCGCCCCTCTTTCCCCAGACCCCCCTCTACACATTTTCTCCCTCCATACACTATCTTCTATTTCTCTTCCTCTTCATCTGTCCTCCATCTTTTCCTCCCTCCCTGAGTCTCTGCCTCTCTGACTCTCCTCGTGTCCTGTCCGAGAGTGGGTGATTAGCAGCAAATTAATTTGGCCCTTAATGATTGGCTCAGGGACTCACTCCTCTGTGTCTGATTGGCCAAGGGACAAGAAAGCTAATTTCCCTTGGTGCTCGTGGCGAATAGTGGTCGCCCTCAATTACCATCTGCTGTGTGTGTGAAAGGGTGTATGTGTGTGTCAGTGTACCACAAATGTGTGCAAGTACATGTACTATGAGTGCATGTGTGTGTAAGACTGTCTTCATAAATGTTTAAATGTCTGTGTGTGTGTGGAAGGAGCTGAAAACTGGTGGACTCGCAGTAATGAGCTCTATCTCTATATGAGGCAGATGGAGAAGCTGACAAACACACTTTCTTTTTGTCACACACACACACACACACACACACACAAACACACACACACACACGCACTGGAAAATCTGGCTACTGTACAGTGGTAGTCCACATTAGTTGCTTTTTATTCTTCCTCTTTACTTATTCTGGTCTTAATTTCCCCCACTTCTCATATCTCATACAATAAACCTCTCTTCTTCTTTCTTTAGAAATGTATTTTTGCGCTTTATTCTCCACCTTTCGATTTTAATCTGTGATGTTGTGGTTCAGATGTATTATTCTATCCATGTGTGGTCTGTACTGTAAAGATGCTGTGAATTCCATATATGTACTGATATAAATGCACCCGTGAGGCTTATAATAAACTCAATGAGTCATAATAAGCATTCACAACAACTTATAGCAATGTGTTTTGAGCAGTGAGCATAATGCTGTATAAATATGTGGTTTATAATGCACCTTATACCTTAATGCAACTGAAAAAAGTGATCATAAAATGTATTCTTGTTGTGAAGTTGTTGTCTGACACTTTACTCACAGACACAAAGTGATTTATAAATGTGTTACAAAAACATATGATTGTAAATAACCTCAAACAGTGCCGTCACTTACCCAAAAATGCTAATTTTTTGCTTTATATTGTTCCTCTGATAGCTTTTTAGCATCTTACATGAACTAGAGTTCAACAAATTCTAAACATATTTCAGCTTCATTTAAGGAAGCTGAAATTTGCCCTTTTAAGGAGATCGACTGTCTGGTGATACCCAATGTTGGGGAAGTTACTCCAAAAAAGTAATTCGTTACTGATTACTCATTACTTCTGAAAAATGTAATGAAATTACTTTACTCATTACTTCATTTGAAAAGTAACTTCACTACCTATTACTTTACTTTCCTGTTTTTTAATCTACCGTTCAGATACATGCACAAACTTCATAGCGCCATAACTTGGTATTTATTGAATAAATGTATACAAAATACATTATGTATTTATGGGTCGGCTGCTGATCAACTCCCTCGGTTTGCCGGAGAGCAGGCTCTTTCGCCACAAGTTTTGTACTGGCATGAACGTTAGTCAAATGTTTGGCGAGGTTGCTCATAGACTTTGCAGAAGTTGAAAGCTGTCTGTCGCCGGGACATATGGTGCATTTTACTCTTATATTTTTGTCCTTACGAGCAGCAAATTCAAAATAGTGACTATATCGCCAGTTTCGCCACTTAGCAAAGCCGCTCTCACTCTCCGTGTCCGTCTCCATTTTCCCTCTTCCCGCGCAGGCGCGCACCACGCAACTCTATCACTATGGCAACGCTCTGGCGTCACACACACAGGCAGGCAGCGCGTCCGCATGCAGGCACCGCTGACGGATCCAGACTATTCACATTGGCAAACAGAGCTTGGTTAACGCAGGAAATCGCGTTCCTCTGGTCTAGTAAAGTAGTGTAGTTACTGATATTTGTAATGTAGCGCCCTACTTTATTTCGTTACCCCAAAAAAGTAATATCGTTATGTAATTCCGTTACTTTGTAACGCGTTACCCCCAACACTGGTGATACAACATTTTGAACAAATCTCAATTCTCATATGCACAAGCCATTCAGAGCACCCTGTATCTGAGGATTACGTAAACACACATCAACCTTTTGGTCTAAAGCTTTGGTCATGTTTAGTACTGACATCCAGTATTTTAACCTAACTCTTCTTTTTGAAATACAAACAAAGCATAAAACAACGTCTTCAGAGCACCTAAAGTCAATCTTTAGCATGTTGTGGGTATTAATAAGACATTTTTTAGAATTGAAAACAATAGAAATTATCATTTTTTTTGAAAATTTTGACGATACAAAGAGTGAGTTCTTGATGAACCTTTATGACCAGGTATCGTTTTTAGAGTTATAATATCTTATTAAAACCAGAAGATGCTTTATTCTGTTGTAAGTGTCAGATATTGTCCACAGTCTTAGTTTATATACAGTATGTTGTGTGTGGCAGGATCTAACTTTAATATGGGCATTTTATTCACTAGTGTTCCTTTCCTCTCTGGGAATAAGCGCTTTAAGATCATCAGAGAGGAAAGACACTGGTCATATGGGAGATGAGATGCATGCATAAATTAGTTACAAGTTATGTAAAAATCCTTCATGTTACTGCCTTAACACCCAAGTGAACTCAGGAACCATTTCTGAATAACTGTTTTGTCTTTTAAAAAGCCTTCAGATGACTGACTCTGATAAATCTGTCCATGTGAAAGCTCAGTTTGTTCTCTGCCGTCCTTGTTGCAGTGCTTGTGTGAAATATGTTACACTTCAAATCACAGTGAAAGGCTTCACATCTGAGAAGTTTGTGCTGTTCACGACATGTCAAAACACACTCAGCTTTTTTGCCCTAAGTCTTGAAATATTTCTCCAACCTCCTCCAGGTAAGATCAAGTACTCGGAGCAGGTGTATGACTCCTGCATGGAGGCGTTTGATTGCTTACCCCTGGCAGCCCTGATGAACCAGCAGTTCCTGTGTGTGCATGGGGGGCTTTCACCGGAGATACACACACTTGACGACATAAAGAAGGTACAACAAGCAGAGCACACATACATACTCACAACAGTGTCACAACAACACTGTCTGTGGAATCAGACTTGTTTCATTTTGTATTAATTGAAATGATCTGAAATACAACTCAGTTAAAACAAATAACTTTAAGGAAAACAGTTTTGTAAGTTTATTGTATAGTAATTTCTCATAACTTCTAAACAGACCTAGACATGCTTAACAGCTGCTGCCAGTCTCACAACAGCAGCGCCCCCTCATTTATTTTTCTGGTGTTTTGTCTTTTATTTTTGACGAATTTGTAACAGTCTTATTGCAAGGATTCACCAACATCTTTTTCCTTCGATCTTACTCATTGCACGGCTGAAATGTTTCTGAAATTGAGCCAGTATTTAGGTAGAGTGGAGCAGTCGGTAGCCATGAAATGAGCTAAAACGCAGTTTGACAGGGCTATTGTGCATCCAAACTGCGTCCACTACAAGTACTTCACTTCACCACTGACAGGTCCTGAGAACAGAATGGCAGTGCTTCCCTAGTCCTCCACTTGTGACGGTCTGTTTACAACCAAATCTCAAGTGGAGAGGTGTTGTTCTGACGTCTCATGAGATCTCACTTATTGCAAGACACCTGAGGGAGAGTCACTGGGAGAGTCAGAGACCAGCCCTAGGCAAGACGCTTGACCCCACCCACCCACCCCTGCTGGCTGCACCCAGTGGCGTGTGAATAGCATTAGATAAAAACTGATGTCGCTTTACATATCAGCCTTTGCCTTCAGTGTGTGACTGTGGCATGTTATGTAAAGCACTTTGAGTGGTCAGAGGACTATAGGAAATACTATATCAACATAGTCCATTTACCACTTAACAGGATTTCTTTGTTATTTTACTTAAATTTAACTTAAATAAACACCTAATTTAACATGTTTACCAGCATCTACCAGACAAAAACATGTATAAACTCATAATCCTGCAAATGCAGATAATCTGTAGGAGCCACAGTGAGAGAGACACAAACATATGCTGCATGTAGGTATAGAGTTCACCATAACACACAATACAAATAAACACAGATGAACACGCAAACATGAGAACACACTTCCTCATCTAATGGCAGTGTTTCCATGGTGAATCTGCTGGTGTGACATCTTCTCTCTCCGGTGTGGTGAGGGTTGCTATGGAGATGCTCTGCTCTGACAGTATATATGTGTGTGTGTGTGTGTGTGTGTGTGTGTGTGTGTGTGTGTGTGTGTGTGTGTGTGTGTGTGTGTCATGTGTATTATTTCTTATTTCCTTTTGTTATTATTCGATATGTGATGATGGAACTTTATGTTTTGGTGAGCCTATGTTATGTATGTGTGTGTGTGTGTGTTTGTCTATGTGTGCGATGCTGTGTGTGTTTGGTTGTCTGTCCTAGTTGGACCGGTTCAAGGAGCCCCCAGCGTTCGGGCCCATGTGTGACCTGCTGTGGGCTGACCCCCTGGAAGACTTTGGCAATGAGAAGACCCAGGAATACTTTGGCCATAACACAGTCAGAGGCTGCTCCTATTTCTACAGGTACAGGAAAACAAGAACCCTCACAAAGTCTTTGCTGTTGACCGAGCAAAAGGAACGATTACATAAGAGTTCTGGTATTTTAGTTTCAGAAGAAACTCAACTTGAATGTGAGTGAAGACTGTGTGGTAACTTTGACATGTGTGGTTTCCAGCTCTGATATAAACCAACCTGAGATTCAAACAAACCAAAAAAAAAGTATCCTTCAGAATAAAATTACACACCAGAGACAGTATCCTTGAAATTGGAAGTTGAAACATATAAAGTCATATTAAGACTGATCCTAGTCTGGTTTTATCAGAGCTCTGTTGAACTCATATGATTTGTATGAATAATCTGGTCTCCTTGTGATCGCCTGGTGTCAGAGAGATGTGACTTTCATTGGTAAATCATGAATTCAATTAGTTCTAGGTGGACTTTAGGCTATTGGTTTGGGATGCTGGGGAGAGAAGAGAGCAGAACAAATGCTTTATAGATGCACAGTTACACCACATCCAGGATCCAATAACAATCATTGGGATTTGTACAAGAGAGAAAATCTTGGCTGGTGTTCACACACACACACACACACACACATTTAGTGTGCTAGGAAACACAAAAATACAGCACATTCACAAACACATACACACAGTTCCGTTTCAGCATGAAACGATATCCCACAATCCCCAGGGAGACTGCACGGTTCTGTTGCTATGACGACTGGCTACTCCTGCCAGATATGGAGTGATATTAAGATACAGTGGGAGAAAGAGGGAGAGCAACACAGGAGGAGGGTGGCGATGGTGATGATGTTGTGGTAGGAGATGAAGGATGTGAGAAAATATAAAAATGGAGGAGTGTTCAGAGTTGAGATGCAGAGGGGCCTTTGGTTCAGGCACAGCTGGGATGTTTACATGGAGGAGTTGGTGCTATGGCATGCTGTCAGTCGAAAAACAGTGATTGTCTGTGTTGAGCACAAGCAGCATCAGTCAACCATCTACTGTACTCTTGAGGAGGCCATGAGCCCCGCTTACAGCTGCCTTGTGCTCACTGATGCTCCCTGCTGGTGTGAGTCAGAAGTGACATTAGAAGACTTCAAGCCCACTCATCTCCCACTGCTCGACATCCCACTAAATACTTCCATCTGCTTTGTGGCTTACAGCAGTACTGTGAATGTAAGAACATGTGACTGTGTTTTCAGGAGAGGTGATCTTTCTGGATGTTTTTTTTTCTTACCCTTGTTTGTGTATATCCACCACCTGGTCTGACTCTCTCTTCAAATATCCTTTTTCTTTAAGTTACCCGGCAGTGTGCGAGTTCCTCCAGACCAACAACCTGCTGTCAATCATCAGAGCGCATGAAGCACAGGATGCTGGGTAAGCTGACAGACTATTGCTGCTCAGTCCGTCTGAGGAAGCAAATTAAAAAACAGAGAACATGCTCTCTGTGTCCAAACCAAAACAATCATAAAAATAAAGCCACTAAATTCAAGATTAATGCAAAAACCGTATTATTCCACAATGCACTGCGTAAGACAAATGGATTTGAAATGAATGAAACGAAATTTATTTTTGAACATGAGAATCAACAAGGAAGCATTTTTCACATGATATTTCTCATAGAAAATCAATTAAATTAAAGATTTCTACATGCTCAAAAAAGGAGAAGGAAGAAGCTAACTTATGTTTACCTTCCCCTTTTATACATCTTAATTTTTTTTAACACGGGTACTGTTTATTTTATCAAAGTACGGCCATTTTTTTTACTACACATACTGTATCACAGTGGGTTAACATGCTGATTGATACAAAGCCACTGACTAACCTTGATTTGATGTGCAGACACAATCCTGGCTTGGTGGCAGGATGTGATATAAAATGCCAACGCATTTAAACAAATGTGTGAAGTGTCAGAATTATTGAGTCAAAAATGCATTTTCTTCAGATGAGCTTCACATCAATCATTCCTATGATTCTTCAGATATTTGAGCAGCTCCTTAAAACCTCTTATCTGTTCAGTTCAAGAGTTTTGTCTTTGTGGCTCTGTTTGAAGTTACACTTTAAACATCTACCTTAATGTTAGCTCCCACGATAAGAAAGAGGGGTTTACAGATAGACTGTTCCTTTAGTAGTGAGATTAAATCACTTACTTTTTAGGGCATTAAAAAAACCACTCTAATGCCAACCAGTTTGAGCCTGTTTATTCTGGCTGAGATATACGTGTAGAGCATTTGCATTCTGTTTGGGATTTCAGATCAATCTTAACTGGATTGCAAGGCCTGATGTAAATGTAGTCACATAGGTTCCCAAAGAGGGGGGAGGGGGCAACCTTGCACACTCAGAGCAGTGCTATAGAGGACAAGATGAAAATCACCCCAGCCAAAAAGAAATCAGCACACCTCTTCATGGATTTGTTTGTTTTATACAAGGAAATTTCCAGATGATTGATGAGTTTGGGGTGAACTTTGTCAAACAAGATGCTGGGCTGGGTTCAAAACTAAAGGCAGCATGACTAGAGTTTTTTGATTGTGATTGAGTTTCTACATCCTACTTCAGCTCTGAAATGATCAAATTTTAGCTGGCAGCTACACTCCAACGCTGTGGGCTTCCAGTACCCTGCTTAGTGACATCTTTGCTTTACCAGTCAGTTTTGCCTACACAGCTTCATTTGCTTTTTAAATGCATGGCTGTCTCTCCTTAAAACAGTTGCTGTGTGGTTTAGAAACTTGAAAACTCTGGACTGTCATACAAAACAGTTTTTCCCCCTCTTTTACCTGAACAGTTTGTGTTCCTCTCTTCAGGTACCGTATGTACAGAAAGAGTCAGACTACAGGTTTCCCCTCCCTCATTACAATCTTCTCTGCTCCAAACTACCTGGATGTCTACAACAACAAAGGTCTGATGCAAAGTTGCATGATATACTCATACTGACATATACATACACATTTTTAACTTGATCTATTTTTTGTTGTTTTTATTACATATTTAATATTTGACATTATATAATTTGGGTTACATTGACATATTGTGTACATCAGGCATGCTCTGTTGTTATAACATTTTAGTTTGTCCATCTTAATGTTCGCTTCACTTCGAGATAGCGTTACCATTTCAGCATCATGAAGGATTATAAAAACAGTGTAAAAGATTATTTTCTCCCTGAAAACAGGTCTGGTTTCTAAACATCTCTCTATTTTTGTTTGTTGTAGTTTCTACTTGTTTAGTACTTTTTTAACAGAGGTTCCTTTATAAAAAAGTTTTTTGTGCATGTGTCAGTGGGACTAGTCATGATAAATCAGATAATACTTCATTGATCTGGGTTACATTGTAAGACTTGAAAAAGAGTAGAAAAAAAAAATCCAAAAGAAAATGGATAAAAAAGAATAAAGATAAAGAATAATTAAGATTAAAAAGTGGTATATATAACTGTTATTTTACAGTTATTACTGATTAAGCTACAGTATTGAATGACATAAGTGAGAAATATATACATCCAAGGATAATCTAAATCTGTGAAACTGTGGTATGGTGTATGAAACAGAAAAATAATATTAAGTGCTAACACAAGATCTTATAATAAAATACGTATAATAATAAGTTCTAATAATATAATGTAACAATTCAATACAATACTGTACGATAAACTGTAAAATATTTCACAACTATATATTATAGTTGAATAAAATAAAATAGAAGTTAAAAATAAAAAATAAATCAAATAGGACAGACTAGAATGTAATAATGCAAAGCGAATGGGAGATAAAAGACAAAACAATAAATTGCAGTACATATAATATAATATAATATAATATAATTTAGTGTAATATAATATAATATAATATAGTGTAATATAATATAATATAATATAATATAATATAATATAATATACAAACCTACATACATATATTTATCGCTATTTTGGGGTCTTGGGGGGCTAGACCTTATCCCAGCTGTTATTGGGCTAGGGGCAGAGTACACCCTGGACAGGTTTCCAGACTATCACAGGCCTAAACAGTATAATGTAATAAAAAATAAGTACAGTACAGGCAAATAAAGTTAGAAAATGAATTATGAGGGGCAACACTACAGGCTTTTTAAAGAAAGTATCATATAGATACAATATGCATGCTTGTGTGTGTGTTTTTGCAGCGGCTGTACTGAAGTATGAGAACAATGTGATGAACATCCGTCAGTTCAACTGCTCTCCTCATCCCTACTGGCTGCCTAACTTCATGGACGTCTTCACGTGGTCGCTGCCTTTCGTGGGCGAAAAGGGTATTAAACACACTCGTGTTTTTCTAATTTCCCACCTGCAGTACATTACAATTAAAACAAACTACAGTTTATCTCCACTGGTACTTTGATTATCAAGGGATTCATCACATCTGGTCTAAAGTTCAATTTCAGTGCATCAGTACTGGAGGAAAGTACCAAAGATTTGCCAAAACTACTGCTAGATTTTTAAAATTTACTATGAAGAGAAAATCACGATGTAACCTCTGACTTAAAGTGTTTGCAGTGAATTTCTGTCATTTAGTCAGTTATAGCTCACTAACTATGCAGCTGTAGCCTCTGAGTGATGGGACCTGCTTTTTTCCTGCCTTGAAGTTTGAACATTTTCTTTTCTCCCAAAAAATTGCTGTAGGTAAAATTTGAATAACCAAAAAGTCTTTTCAAAGGCTGTCAGACTAACAGTTAACACCAGTAAACACAATTCAGTAACAAATCAGCAGAAGGTATTATTCCTTTATACACTTAGAAGATGTACAACCCTTACTTACAGGAGTAGGGTCTACTCACCAGCCATCCATGACAACATGTTGTCTGTGTGTGTGTGTTTGTGTGTTCTTCTTCTACAGTGACTGAGATGCTGGTCAACGTCCTCAGTATCTGCTCTGATGATGAACTCATGAATGATGGAGACGAAATCTACGATGGTAAAACTCATTCAGTACTGCACTATGATTTTTGAATTACATATCTCAGATAATGTTGGTTTCAATGTTAACATTTGTGATTGAAAACAGTTTGATGTAGTGTATTTTTAGATGACAAAAATATATGAGAAGAAACAAAAATGCAAGATATCATCGTTTTTAAGTGTTACAATTGCATTTTGCTTTTGTACAGCAAGTGCAGCCGCAGCAAGGAAAGAGGTGATCAAGAACAAGATTCGAGCCATTGGGAAGATGGCCAAAATGTTCTCTGTTTTACGGTGGGTTGAGTTGTGATTGGATATGCCGTACTGTCTGTGTGTATGTGTGCAGTTGTGTTGTGTTCAAGACCAATAAGACGTTGTTCAAGGCCAGCTTCAGCAGGATGATGGCTACTCTAACTCCTAGCCATCAGTGAGAGCAAAGAAAAATATAACCTATATATAATTTGAGACTTTAAAAAGGAGGTATGTAACCCTTTAAAGGGATATTCTGGCGTAAAATTTATTAAGGGTCAAATACACCAGAACACCGAGTTAGACACCCCATCGAGAGATGAATGTTACCGACCGCTTGCTTCTCTAGTTATACCAACTCTAGTAACAACCACATGATAGCAATACACAGTGGTCTGAGGAGCCATAAACAAACCTCAACCAAAACGCCACTCTATAGCCACAAATAATGCTCAGAACAGCACCTAACTTTATCAACAGTACATATAGGGTCCCAGCCATAGTACTAGCCACCAAACATCTTTTTAACTTTGCCTAATTTCTTTAGCAAAGAGACTAAACACAACTCACCTACTCTCTTCCAGCAGCCGCTTGTTTGTAGGGGGACCTCAGGTCAATCCATTACGGACTGCTGTGGGGTGATGCAGCTCATGGAAGAACATTTATGATCATTACGTCATGGAAATGCAATCAGACCGAGATGCTAAGGCAGAAGAACTACAGTGTCTGTAGTGCAAAATGATTAAAATGATGATTATTACTTCAAGGAAATGATAAAGAAATGACTGTAAATGTTCTTCCTTGAGCTGTGTCACCCAGCTGCAGTTTTTTTTCAGATTTCCTGATTAAATTTGATGGACATGTTAAAGGTTGTGCAAAACTGTAAAACAGCTTAAACTGTTTCAGTTTGACAAGACCATGAAGCTTAGCAATTTATGCATAACAGCTGAGGCCAAACCAACAACATGCGCACCCTTGAGGTCTAATGGATCACAAATTTGTTCAACCTCTGCTACAGAAATAAGATTTACAGAGTTCTGACAGTTTTGTTAACTTTTCATTCATAAAACTATTTTTTAAGAGTGTGAACAAACTGTAAGAAGCCTGTAAGCTGGTAAAGAAAGAAAGTTGTAAAACCAGAATTGAAGGAGCAGTTAATGGAAACTGTTTGGCAGCAAAACAAAGAACATTATTCAGTCAATCATCCTCCCCAGAGAGAGTGTGAATCTGAGGAAAGATTTACTCTCTGTATTTAAGAAACTGACAGAACTAAAGATTTATAATACACCAACAAAGACATAGCTGAAACTGAAGGAAGTCTGTTAAGTCAAATTATTGATCACAAATAAATAAATAAATGCACACCTTGTGTGTACTTACAAACAGGATCAGACATTAACACCTGCCTCATGCCAAATGTGGGTAATTCTCAGACAGCTTTGCCCCATGTGGAGGGTAATCATATTTACAGCTGAAGTCATGTAACAACAGTAACCTCTTATGGAGCACCTACAACTTCTGTTTCATGATTTTCAGCATCTCTGATCTTTGCAGCATCAGTCCGACACATGTAAACTCTGATATGGTATCCTACTGTCTCTATACGGGTCTTTATCTTAAACGGGGTCCAATGTTTCCTTGCCTAAGCTCATCCTACTACATGCTCTCTAATTTCTGATTTTATTTAAGCCTAACTGGGGACAGGGGTTGCAAATTAGCCACGATTAGAAACCTGTATGCATGGCATGAACCATATACTGTATATAGAATGGACAGTCTGCCTCCTCGCTGGGTGAAGCCACTCTGAGAACAGCACCCTCTGTTGACGGGCTACAGTATAGGTCATAAATCCCGCCTCCACCAGCAAAGCTTATGGAGCTGTGGACAAACTTTAGAAATTTATTACACAGAAAATAATTTTTTCTCCCCCCTGCTTGTGATGTTGACATGTAGTTACAGTAAGACTGGTTTGTGCTCAAGTCCTTTTTTTTCTGCGAAGCTCCGTTTTTAAAAGTTATTAGGGGGTTCATGTTTTCTATGATTGACACCTGATACAGCCTACGGGCGTTCAGGGATTGCGTAGCTCACCCGGGGGATACGCTGTTTGAGCCGAGCGTCATCACAGCAACTATCAGCAACCTGAATGCGCGCATCGCTACTGCGCAGCGCTGGTTTCAGGAAATGAAGAAAAATCCCGGAAATACCGAGAGCTTTTTGGCTTCAAATTCGTATACAGGCGGTAGGCGGAACCAGGTTGTCCATAGTATATGCAGTCTATGGCATGAACACTATAAAGCAGTGCCTCATGCATTTGTCCCCGTCAAATGAACAAGTAAATAAATAGTTTTAACCAACAAGCACATGCATGTGTGATTTCAGGTTAGGTAAAGTGTTCGATTCCCTGTAATTCTCTCTCTTTTTTTTTTTTTGATCTAAAAACACCAACACATCATCTCTGTCTGTCTCTCAGGGAGGAGAGTGAGAACGTGTTGACCCTAAAGGGACTGACACCAACAGGAATGCTGCCCAGTGGAGTCCTCTCTGGGGGCAAACAGACCCTGCAGAGCGGTGAGTTTTTTCACACACTGACACACAGAGAGCTACCTGTAATCCTGGACACATGTTCAAAACAAAATAAGCCTCCACAGAAACATGCAGACAATGTTCAAATGTCTGCTATAGAGCATCCTTTGGTTCCTTCCTGCCCTCTTCCCTTCTCTCCTCTCTTCCTCTCCTCTCATTCCTCTGCCTCACTGACTCTGTCACTCTCTCCGCCTCACCTCACTGGCACTGAGGTTACTAACAGCCTGCTGGTCGTATGTGTGAGAGTGTGTGTGCGTGTGTGAATGACAGAGAGAGGGAGAGACAGTTAGAGAAAGTAAAGGGCAGTAATGCTAGGAGAGCACAGAAGGTCAAAGAGTGTGTGAGGTGGATGTGAGCAAACACCAGCTACTGCTAATGCTAGGTGCCCTGTGAACCTGCCATGGCCCCTACAATGCTTCTCTGAGGGCCATCACATGACTTAAGCCTGAAACATGCCTCTAAGTGCACAAATTTGCAAGCGTCATACATTAGCACACACATGAACATGTAAACAGCGTGTATCATTATTATTTTTTCTTATTTTTATATTTATCTCTACTTTCATTAAATACTTAAATCCATTTTCCTAACTCAAATGTTTCCTCAAAAGGTAGTCTGTACTTGTTTTTAAGGTGAGCAGAGTTAGACACGTTTGCGGTTCACTCACAGCACAGGAGGGTGAGGTGTACATGGCAGCATTATGGCCTTTAAAATACTTTGACTGTAAGTTAACCTCTGATTGGGTAAAAAGTGGCTAAATTGTCCTTTGTCCTTGTGTTTGAAATTGGGTGAAGATGATTTTGGCTAAATTTTCCAGGCAAGGTTTGCATCCTCAGGTCATGACGTTTTCAAGCAACTGCACAGAAGCATGTTTCATCCTTCACTTCCCTCTCCTTCTTTTACGCTTTTCTTTTTACTTTACTCCTCTCTCGGAGTCTATCATCTTTTTCTCTCTTTCTGTCCTCCCTTCTTTTCTCTTCTTCACTTCTCTTTGCCCATCCTTCAGCTACCATTGAGGCCATAGAAGCAGTCGAGACAGTTAAGGACGCCGAAGGTAAAATCACAATCATTTCACTGTGTGTGTGTGTGAGTGAGTGAGTGAGTGTGTGGGTGTGCCGTGTGTGTGCGCACACGTGTGTGTGCAGCATGGTTGCGCTCTCAGCCACCCATGCTCATAAGGTCATAGATTTCTTAACCATGATGCACTGAGCTCTTCTAACCATATCAGTGCTCACAACAGAGCCTAAAACTAATGCACGCTGCAACCACCACATCAAAACATGCACACATTTCTCTGTTTCTTTCTCTTCAGTCTCCTCAGAAATAAAATCACAGCACTATCTTTTTCCAGCACAAAGACATACGTGCACAAAGATCTTAGTTGCACACACACACACACACACACGAGAAGGAGAGCAGGCTGTGGGTGGGAGTGGGTGTGAGGGTTAGCAATGTCACTCAGACTCCTTATAGTCTGACTCTGCAGTGAGTTACAGTCTCCCTCCTGTTTCTCCTAGTCTTTGCTGTAGATCTTTAGAAGACAAACATGTAATCAATCTGTTTCTATACAACCTGCAGCAGAACAGAAGTCACCTGTGTCCAAAAAAATAAACCTGTGCTAATAGATAAGGGAAAAAATCCCATGAATTTTTACAAACCAATCCTCAAAACTGGATCTGTGGTCAAACTCAGCCTTTCATTGGTCGTTCAACCATATCTGTTGGCCTCTTTCAGCAAAGAGGACCTTAAACTTAAAGACCTACAGTAAGTCCAGAACTTAAGTCACATGATGTGACAGGTATCTGTACTTACAGTGAGTAGTTTAATGTTTGCCAAAGACCAGTGGACATTATAAGGATCTGCTAAACTACTTTGACTTTAGGTGATTTAAAATAAATTTTTATACTACAGCTGAGAATAATGTCCTAAAATTTAGCCAATTTTACATTTTCTACCTCCATTTATGTTTGAATGAATGACTGATGTGGAGTTTTTCAGGTTCTTCTGTGCTACTGAACAGATTGTGGCCATGTTTTCTTGTGTTTAGTGTATTGTATGTTTTGTACACAAGGTTAGTTATTGCTTTGCACGATGTAGCCTTTTGTGTCTGTATCTCTAGTGCTGTCCCTTGCTTACTTGAGCTACAGTCCATAATTTGTTTCAGCAAATAAATTATGGGTGACTTGTGTATGTTTATCTGTTGTGTAATTTAAGTGCAGCTGGGCGTCGGTCCACTATGTAGCACAGTGGTGGCGTATTTGTGAGTGCAGTGTGTGCAAAAGTGATATGACAGTAGCTGTTGTTCAAAAGTGGCAGCGATCTCTTCAGACAGACCTCTTCATCAGTCTCAGGAGCATCTGCCCGTGCAGAGGCTGCATTTCAGCAGATCTCAAAGCTTCATGCTGCAGAGGTTTTTCCCTAGTTTGCTATGAAATAATAAACACCATTCAGGTGGTATCGCTCTCATTCTCATCAGCTTTTACTCTGAAGTTTTTAGGATAAAATATAAAGGGAACCTCAGCAATGATTCAAATCCTCCATAAACTGAGAGGCTGGTTGAAACTGAAGAAGTAGATTTTAGCATATCTCAGCTTTTAACGGCTAATGTGGGTCAAGCTTCCAAAGATCCTGAATTCTGTATTTCCCATTATGCAGCCCAAGTCTTACATGCAGAGTACCCGCTGTCTTTAAACTCCATTCCCCTCTCTCATAATGCAGACATCTGTTAAATGAATATTTAGACATGCTTTTTGTCTTTTTGTTTGATAAGTACAAAAACTCAGATGCAAAAACATCAAGTTTTAAATTTTTTTTTTTAGTGGAAGTCACCGTGCCAAGAAATAGTCCCAGTGTTGGACAACAAAATCAAAGTGCTGTTGTTGTATGGCTGAAAGTTACACAGTTTATTCAGTCTTAAATGTGAAGATAAGCTAACTGCCTGATGGGGCTTGCCGTATATATGTATTTTCATGTTTTCATCTAAATCTCTAAAAAGTAGAGTAATTTAAAAAAAAAAAGTGAATTATTCCATCACACATTTCCAAACCAAAGCTAAGGTGACACTGTCTTTATTCCCCCGTGATCAGCGAGCTAACCTACCTGCTAGGATTTATGTTGACACTGAGGAGCCTGTAGCTGTCAAATCTATAACCTCAGGAAATACCTGACTTGTTAATTTTGTCCCTATCCCTTATATAGCATGCAGGTCTGCAATCTATAAACAATAGTTCCAAGCTAACAGCTGAGTGTCAAAAACTCTTCACAGTGGGAAATATATTGTTAAGGACTTGTGAACGACTGCTTCTGTGCAGCTGTGCTTTGTTCCATATTCTGTGTCTCATAGCAGCTATTCTACTGTACCTGGTGTCTCAGACTACTGATCTAGGATCAGTGGCATTGTATCACTGACTGTAATTTTCACTGTGAACCATGGCGTTAAACTAATCCTAGCCCAGTATTCAGACAGCAGATGAACAGTGAGTGGTGTGTGGATATTGGAGTTGCATTTTAAGCATATTTGAGAGAACCTTGTGTATACAAACCCATACAGCCTTCATGTGAAGAATAATGAAACAGGGTGAAAATGATTGAAATATCTTTGCAGGTGCTGCAAAAGAAGGCAAAGGTTAGATTTAATTAACACAACATGTTGGTGATGTGTCAACTTTTAAATTTCATAGATGATTGAACTAGCTTGAAACATCCATCAACTTAGACTTGAACCGTAAACAAAGGTGCCCTGACTACTTCACTCAAGGCTTGCAGTGGTCTGTATGCACAAGCCTCTTCAAATGTCTTCTGAAATATTAACCCCTTGTCTTATGTATGTTTGTGTGTGTCTGTGTGCATCTGTCTGTGTGTATATTTGTGTGGGGGTCATGCCTGCCTGTCTCTGCAGCCATCAGAGGCTTCTCTCCGCAGCATCGGATCAGCAGTTTTGAAGAGGCCAAAGGTCTCGATCGAATCAACGAGAGGATGCCTCCACGACGCGACGCCGTCAACAGCGTGGGCCTGTCTATGGGCCGCATGAACATGGGAGAGCCTAACGGGACCGACAGCAACAGCAATATACAGTGATGGACACACACACCCTCAGATGCCCAGACACATACCTGCAGTTACAACTCTGATATGGTACCATATTATAGGTTCGTGTACATAGGCATATATACAAAAGGAAAGTGGATCACACACAACAACACACACAACACACACACACACACACACACACACACACACACACACACACACACACACACACACACACACAAACGCAGTATTTCATACACTGAGGCTAAAGACTACATGTCACATCCACACACACAATTACCTACCCCTCTCCTGTTGCCCTCAGCTGTATGTAAAGGCATGAGCGTACCCAGACTTTACCACCAAAGGCTGAGTCTCTTCAACGAACTATTCAGCTGCATTTAGAGAACTACAACTCCCATGTACCTGCACAACAACAGGAAAGAAGCTACAAAAACACTCCCCATGAGCGACACTGTAGGGTGACCTACAGTCCACCGTCTGTATTGGGGATCACCAGTGGGTGGACAGTGTCAGCATGACGTGTCAGTGGTGTGTTGTATCAGACGAAGTCAGGTGTTTGCAAGGGGGTGGGGTGGAGATTGGTGACGAAGGTTGGGAATTTAACATAATATATGCCTCTTTTTACTGTTTGCATCCCATAACAGGAAGTGAAACTAAACTTGTGATTGGTTGATTTTATAGGGTTGTGGATATGCCTGCCTGTGTGCGTGCACATGCTTCAAGATGTAAATGTCTGTGCAGTTATATTGGAAAATGTGTTTTTGTTTGCAAACATGAGCAGATCTCCCCGTCAGCAAGGCAACGGCAACAAAACCTCTGATGGGAACTGTGACGTGGCGGCTCATCTGTTGCCTGTGTGGGGATAAAGTCAGCCGCAGTCTAATCTGAGCCCTTGCTGCCCTCTCCTTCTCCAGAGGAGATACTTGTTTGCTTTTGTAGCACCACACTGCACCCATCCTTTACTCCAAGCCAAGTGAAGGACCCCCCCAAAAAAAACCTCTGGTCCCAGCCCGTTTAGCTTTGAACTGGGCCAAGATCTGATTGGAAGCGAGTGTTTCTCCCAACCTGTTGCGTGTAAATAGGTAACACTGAGAGGTTTTATTGCACATCTGATGCATATGGTAAAAGATACATGATGCAGTATAGCAAAAGTAAGATGCTTAATGTCTGTGAGGGAGCTGGGGCAAATAGAAATGTGAAGTCAAACCCGACTCATTCTCTTTCTACATCCTTCTTTCTTCCCGTGTAGCTGTCGCTACCAAACAGCAGCGATGGCCGGGAATCTGGCCTAAAAAGCAGGAAATGATATATCAGAGAGGAAACAGACTCTTCTGGTTTAGGCAGCTGTTAAGGCAGCAGAGAAAAAGGCAGAAGAGAAGGTCTTTGTAAAGCATTTATATTAACGCATCAGTGCATGCAGAGTTAAGTTCTTTGATAATAATGTGAAGATTATATTTGTGCTCTGTGTTTCACTATGGTAGGAAATTTTGTTCTTTTGGTTTTCTGGATAATATTAATGAACTGAGGAATAATGAATAATTTATTTTGTACATAATACTGATTTATTTATTTTTTTGTATTCATTTTGTCTTAACTTTTTTTTTCTTTTCCACTTTTTTCACGACTTTAATTTCGAGTTTCTTTCGACGCTGTACAGACTGACAGTGCGCTTCTATTCAGAGTGTCAAGTCCACGTTCTCTCCTCTCTTATTTGTCGATGTACAGGAGTTGTTTTTAATGATAAATATGAACAATGATAAACAGTTATTAAACTAGCATTGATGAATGGCCATATTATATACAGAGGCACAGGCATTCAGGCAGCCAAAAGCATGATTGCATGGTTAGAACTTGCGCTGTTCAAAGCAAAAAGCAGCAAGACACATTTTAACAGAAGAGCTGGTGTGTTGCCGTCACAATTTAAAGGAAAAAAGTGTACTCTCTCTCTGATCATAATTCTTGATGATTCCTCTTGTTATTTGATGATATTTATGATTCTATGATTATTATGATTCTATTTATTATGGACATTATTCTTAATCTTTAAGCTCTCTCTCTCTGCTGGTTGCTCTTCATGTTACGTTGCTCCTTGGTTGATCTTGTGCTTCTTTGGGTGAGGTGAACCCCCATGGGAGACCCTGTGCCATAGAAATTGTGCCACGGTTCTTACTTTCTCTCTCTCTCTCTGCTCTCTCTCTCTATCTCTCTCTCTGCCCTCTCGCTCTCTTTCTCTCTCTGCTCTCTCTCTCTCTTTCTGTTTTGACTCCCCAGTCACTAACACTGTACGCATGCCCCATGGGACGATCCACTTTTTTACTCTTGAATAAAATATGCATGAACCTTTGATATGGATACTGATTCTTTTGTTACTTTCTACTCAACACTGAAGCATAAACACTCACTCACTCACTCACTCACTCACTCACTCACACACACACACACACCCACGCAAACACACACCCCTAATTCAAGAGAACCACCTTCATCATTTCAGTTAAAACCGGTTGAGCTGGACCTGTGGTGTGGTTTTGTGGGTGTGAGGATGTTAAGTAATACATATACCCTCCTTTAAATCTATAAGTTTGAGGTTTTCACTAACATTAAGAGTCAAAACTAGGCTTGGAAATTAAAATTGTTCTAAGGATTTATTTGTTGTATGTCATCCTGGAAAATCTTCATGGGCATCCTTTGAAGTATTTCATTCCTCACAAGGAGTTTTTTCAAATAATTTTGATTATGTAACTTTATTATAAAAACTAAATCCAGCACGTGAAAAGTCAGCTGAGACATCACAATCACAGTATTTAGTCAAAGTGAAACTGAGCTACATTAGCACACACTTGACCAGCCCACAGCAGGCTCAGTTGAAGGTCTTTTTTAGGATGTAAATCACAAAATTTCCTTTTTTTATATATCTGTAAATTATCAAAACAACATCAGCTTTTACTGAGTTATGTTATAAGATCATTTAAAATAAACTTAATAAGCTCTTACACCTGATGTTGTTTAATTTATGTGCAATTGTTAACATTTCCTCACAATTTTTGCCCTTATGAATCTTTTAATTTCTTGTAAAGGATGTGATTTCAGTGCAGCGAATGGTAGTCATGAGTCTGTTTAATAGCTGACTGAAATGATTTCCAGCAGGGTTTGGCTGCACTTACATAGTCTGTAGAAACCATGGGGTGATGAGGAAAAGGAGACCCATCAATCAATCAGAAGATGGAAGTTTGGTTTTAAATATTAATATTATGTCAGGTAAAACTCCTAAACACTGGTTGTTGTGACTAAAAGGTTATAAAGTCCACCAGCACTGAGAGATCAAAACTGTGAGCTTGAGAAAATAAAGAGCGGTAAGAGTTGAGAGAAATTTGTCAATATCAGACAAAGCCAAGAGTTGTAGGACAAAAATAGTATTCCCCTTTTATTTTTGCTGTTAAGTAGCAGCCAAGTCATAATTAATGGACATTAGTGACTTTGTGACGAATAAACAGTTTAAATAGTGAGCTGAGGATAGTAAAAAGACAGCTGTGAGTTTTTAACGGATGAACAAGTAGGTATTATTGGTTAACTAAAGAAAATGAAGAAACTAAATGAGTGGAAAGGAGCTGAAATTAAATGCTACATTATAAATAATGACTGGTTCATGCTGTACGTAGGTGATGACAAAAATTTGCATCTTGAAGTGATCCACAAGTGAATATTTTGTCAAAAGACATTCATATTAGTTAGAAATTATCATCTTTACAGAGTATTCGAAGTTTGCTCCAAACATTTATCTGATGTATATGTACAAAGGTTTGAAGTAGTTGTCTTAAATCTATGGATGAATGTTGGAGTTCAATTTGTCAAAAATGTTACTTGGAAGCCATAATTATACAATACATAGGTTAATAAGTTTTGGATAAACGACTGAAATATTCAGCTACATCAAGAGTGGAGGATGAATCTCCATGCAGCAGAGTTTTTTGAGGTTGTCTGTTTTCCCAACAGTTTCCTCTGACGTTCACTCAAATCTGTTCCCCATTGAAAAATCATTCCCTTCTTGAAGCCATTTTTGAACACAGTTAGAAATCTACAGTCATCATAAAAACATTCACTTTCACCGTAACAACTTCCTCTTTCATGTTGACTCGCTGAGCCTATCCTTAAACTTGTTGTGCGCCTAAGTTTTCAGCCCAGGCATGCATAAAACAAAATTAACCACCAATGAAACTGAAACTGAAGTTGTGGATTTACACGTGGAAACAAAAGGAGTGGAGACGCCGAAGTGGAGAGGCAGAAGAGGAGAGGCCAGGCAGGAGAACAGATGAGAAACGGAATATCTCACACCTAGCCGACAGAAACTCATTAAGGTGAGTTATTAAATACATTTCTGACTGAAATCTTACTTTCATTTACTTTAGAATTAGACAGACCAGCTGTCTCCTGGGTTAGACTCCTTATCCGTCCTGCGGATTATCGCTGACAGGGATCAGCACAAATTTTGAGCTCCCCTTTATCTTGCTTTCATTTGGAATCAGATTAGCTGCATGTCAGAGTGTTTAAACTAATATATACCAAGTCAATCAGTGTAGAAAACTCAAAGCGTACAACTAGCTGTTATTTTTATAGAAATATGAATGTGTAGCCGCTCATCATTAGGTCACACCCACTAATTAAATAGCTGCGAAAGCTGCTATCCCATTTTCCAGGAAGCCTGTTTCCAGGAAGCCTGGAAAATAGGGACAAAAGCGCCACACCACACATGTGTTTGCAAATAAATACCAAGCATTATGTGTAGTGGTATGGCTGCCACAGCTCTGCACCTGGATTTACATTAGGTATAAGTATATCAACCCAGAGAAGAAAAACTTTGAAGAGAAGAGAAGAGAAGAGAAGAGAAGAGAAGAGAGGAGAAGAGGAACTTTGTGTATTGTTTCTGAACCACTGAGTTCTTCAATCACTGAGTTATTCAATAAACTTACTCTTATTACTTTCATAATGAACCACTGCTTTCAAATTGTTCTCACTAGCTGGTCCTGGTTCATCAGAACTTTTCATGGATCTGTTTGTTTCAGATGCACTCCCTCAGAGATCAGGATGCCCTCATCCCCAGGCCTCGTGGGACTTTGCCAAAGATGTGCGCTCTGGTCCTGGCGGCTGTAACAATCGGAGGCGTTGTGATTCTGTCACCTGATACATTTTTTAGTTGGGTTGCCATGGTTTCACTAATCCTGACCCTCGGACCTTTGCTGCACGGGCTCTGTCTGCTTGCAGAGGAGATATTGCATCATTCAAACACAAGGTGAGGGCAAAGGTGTCAGGGAGTGGGAGTGTGAAAATGATGGCGTGGTCTTCATCATGAAGTGTGTCGTTTAGATTTGGTGATAAATGCTGAGTCAGCATTAACAGGGTCCACATTACCATCTCTTACTCTTTACACTCAGGTACTGTGGTGGACGACTGTTGAGCCATGTGCTGCCAGCCTGTGGTTTGGGAGGAAAAACCCTGTTGGCTGCAGTGCTGGCAGGTGTTTGTCTCTACCTGACTGGAAACCCCCTTCCACAGAAAAGCCAGTGCTGCCTGCTCTCGCTCCTGATGTCTGTTCTTTACGCTCTCTTTAAAAGCCTGGGACTCCTGGTAAGGTCTACACTGGACTCTTAAACTGTGGCTTTGAGTCTTGACATATCTAGTTCTATAAGCGCTACAGCGCGACTGTACATGATCAGAATGAAAGACGTGTGAACAAATGACTCAATCAGTTTCACATTTGATTCGTTCGGAGGATTTCACTTACATCATTTTCTCTGGAAGGTGCAGCTGTATTGCTTAATGGTTTGAACAGATCACTGCAGAGGTTGTTCAGTTGTGCTGTCATAAATCTACTTAGTTGACATTGCTCTTTGAACTTGACTCAGTCGACATTAAACTTCCATCACACCAAGAGTAATAACAATAACAATAACAAAAGAACAGGCTGTCCTGCACTTGCCAACAACAACATATCAAAAGCAGAAATCATCGTTAACTGCCATTTCTTTATTCTACCTTTACAAATCATACAAATAATAATTAGTTATCAGCTGTTTAGTGTGAGGGACTCACAATCAATCAATCTAACTTTATTTTTAAAGCACTTTTCATAGATATAATGTAGCACAAGTGCTCTCCATTCAAGCAGGACTTTAAAAACAATGAAATAAATTAAATAAAAATACAACGCACACACACACACACACACACACACACACACACACACACACACACACACTTGCTCCCAGTGTGTGTCCTCCACTGGTGTATGATTGTGAGTGTTGTGTGGTGGTGGTCGGAGAGGCCGTAGGCGCAGAATGGCAGCCACGTTTCCACCACCACCAAAGTGTGACTGTGTGAGCGAATGAATGATGTATCCAATGTAAAGCGCTTTGAGGGTCTCTGATAAAGCGCTATATGAAATCTGATGCATTATTATTATTACACACACACACACACACACACACACACACACACACACACACACACACACACACACACACACACACACACACATGAGGAAACACTGGATCTTGGACTGAAGCAATAAAACCATAATAAAATATGATAAAGGTGATAAAGTGTTAAAAGTTAACTGAATAAAACAGTCTTAAAATCAAACAGTAACAGAAAGTAAATTAAAAAAGAGGTAATAAAAAGACAAAGTAGTCACTCTAGGACTAAAAAAGGGTGAAGTCTCATAATGCAAATTAAAAGATTAGAACAAAGTTCAACCAACAGCCAGGCCATAAAGGTAGGTCTTGAGTTCACCCTAATGTAGTTGGTAATGTTGTTTGGTAATGTTGTTGTCATATCCCTCCACCTGTTGTGCAAAAAGGGGTTAGATGGCTCCAAGACTCAGTTGAGTGAGATGTGAGTGTCCTGAAACCACAATACTTGTGCACATGATGCAGATATAAGGGGAAAAAAAGAGAGCGAGAGATCGCCAGAAGTCACCTTGCTGATTTAAACTGTTTCATTTCCAGCAGGTCAAAGTGATTTATAGACCTTTTTATCACCAAGCTAAATGATAATGTCATATTTCAAATGTACTTCAGCATGATGAATAAGTGACATTTTGAAACTGTGTAATGTTTGCTGCTGCCCCTGACTGTTTTTTCTTTTATTACTGCGTATAATCCAAGTGTTTAGGGTAGGACACCTGGATGACAGCAGTTTTCTCAGTCACCAGTAAGGGGGGCCCCCAAACTGATGCAATCTGTGATCATTTTAATTCAATCTCTGACAAGTCTAAGATCCAGCATCAAAGATGTGTGTGTTGAACAACACTACATTTACTCAGCACAACCCTCCAAAACACTGCAATCTATTCAATACTCAGCATGTCAAGATTACAAGTATGTTGCCCAGACAAGTCACAACAGGAGTCTGAAACATGCTGTACTTCCAAGAAGACAATAAAACCCAAAACCTTTGAATAAGTTAAGTAAAAAGGTTATGAAGGATAATGTTTAAATGTTGGGGAAATAGCTAAGTTGTGGCTCAGTTGTGGCTCAAGAGCGCTACACTTCCTAAAGCATTGGATGATGGGAAGTGAGTTGACATGTTTGAAATAAAAATAGGCTCTAATAAAGTCTTCATCAGCAAGAATGACCATAGCAGTCACTCTGCGAAGAACTGCGTTTTTATTCTTAACTAATCGGCATGGTGCTTTAGCTGTTACTGTCTGCTCCCTTTGCATCGAATCATGTCTAAAAATATATTTGTCCCACATAGCAAAGGGCAGCTCGGTACAGGGATGCCCTTTTCTGCTACCTGACACCACTGGAAAGGTGTCAGGCGTCTTCAGAGCAGGGGTGAGGTGTTGTGACATCCTTCTGGCTGTTTGTATTGGTGTACAGGGTCCATCAGAGGTGGAGGTGTCAGACATCTGCGAGGGAAGAAAGATGAACGTCGCTCACGGCTTGGCCTGGTCCTTCTACCTCAGCTACCTGCACCTGGTGCTTCCACGTCAGTAGCAGTAAAACACCTCACACGTTTGCATCATCGTCCACTGAGTTTAAATGTTCATCTTTGGTTACACACCAGAGCTGTATCTCTGTATTGAAATGCAGGTCCTAATAAATGCATCAATCAATGTTGGCGCAAAGAACTGAACGACTGCATTTGTGTTTGTGTCCATTCAGATTTGGAGAACTCCATCGCAGCATTTCGTGCCACTCATCAGGCCAGCAGCACCTGGGGTTGTGGCTCCAAGAAACTTCTTATCCTCGTACCCCTTAATGCCAACATTTCTCACAAACTGGAGGACGAGGACAGCAACATCTCTTTCTACGATAACCTCCCCAACACTGAGATTGACAGGGCAGGAGTTCGGGGGCGGGTCTACAAGCACAGTGTCTACAGAGTTAAAGATGAGCAAGGGAAGGTAGGTGGGGATTTGTTATCCTTGAGGGAGACTTTGAGTAAACTCAGTGCAGGAAAAAACAGGCAAGACATTACAGCTAAATTCACTATGGGCACATTCCTTGAAATCTTTAGATCCTAGCTTGGTATCAACGTGTCTGACACAACAGATAGGTTTTCTGTCTGTCTTGAGACCTGTAACGTCAAATCAGTCAGTCATAGAGCCTGTAACATGAGTGCAACTGAGCTAAGAGTTGGACTCTTAAAATGAGACGTGTTGAGGCTTTCTTCTTTGATCACACTTTTCAGATGTGTTAAGATAGTATGTCAAAGTGGCCTATATTCACCATGTTTGATGAAGATATCTAACACTGATGGATAACTGAACCACCTTTGTACTTCAGTAAATTCAAAGGAAGTTTGTGAAGGATTGAAGAAGCCTGAAATTCATCTGAGACCAGAAATAGCCTCCAGTTACAACAAAGATACTGCCAGTATGATTTATGTCAGTATTTTACAGCTGCAGTCGTTACACATAGTAAGCTGATGATGTCTTCTCTTTACTCCATTAAGACTCTTATTTGATTGAAGATTACTTTTACAGCAACAAGGAGCAAGTCAGTATTTTACTCCACCACATTTACTCCACTTCCTATATCTCAATAATTTTATCAGCTTTGTTTTTTTTTTATACATACATAACCATGAACTTCCTGTCAGTTGCAACTGTTTGTTTTAGGAGTTTATCCTGATAGCTCTTTTTCCATTTTTTATCTATAAATGGATGTTTTGTAATAAAAACACATAGTGTGGGAATAGACCAAGAACGGCCTTATAAATGAAGGTGCACCAATGTATTTGACTTTTGGTTGCCAGGGATGGCCAACAAACCTGGACGTAACTCACAGTGGGAAGTAAAAAATAAAAGGAACAAGCTTTAGCTCAAGAATTGTATTCTGAGGAATGTCAAATGTCTTTAACAGCCTGTACAAGAATTACTGCACCACAGTATACAACCATGTCATCTGCATAGAAATGAAATGTAACATCTGATACAGATTATTCACATAAATAGTTAACAAGAGGGCCTAAAACAGAGTCCTGGTGCTCTGAAGAACATCAAATGGTTATAACCTTTGGTTGGATTTTGTGCCAAGTAATACAAACTGAAAAGAATTCACTTTCCTGATTTTTGTAGAGTATCACAGGGCTTCTTTGCTGACTGGCTTTAACAGGTATCTAATGCTACTGTAATCATAATGTAGACCAACAGTCAAAATCTTTTGTTAAATTTCATCGTAACATATTTTTTGGTCTACTTTTTGTCATTCTGAAACTTGTGGAACCTCAACAGGATAGATGATTTGTACTTCACAGTAAAAATAATAAAAAGCGTAGGAAACACATCACCTTCACCTGCGACCACAAAGCATCAGTACCATCTCCTGGTGAAAGACGAGAACCTGCAACAGGGAAGCTCATTTATTAAAGCGCAGTAACAGCACCATCTACCTGTAAATTATGATCATCAATGAAGTCTGAGGCCACCGTTTCACAAGCTTCTAATGTTCAAGATTAATCCTGGACTCTCTGTCGTACTCATGTGTTGGTGCATGTGTTTGTGCGTACACAGGTCCGTGAGTGTGTGTGTGAGTATGCAACTCCTCTGCTGACCCTGTACAAAATGTCCCATGAGAGCAGAGCTGGTTTTGGGGAGTCTGAGCGCAGACAGCAGGTTTTGCTCTTCTTCAGAACCCTACAGGACATACTGGAGCACTCACTGGAGTGTCGCAACCGCTACAAACTCATCACACTTAATGGTAGGACAACATTTCCACATCACAGTTTCACTTTTAATCATTTGTGTGCTATCAGTTGCAGACTTGCTTATGCACATTGTGAGCTGAGAAGCCCAAAAAGGGTCTCTTTACGTTTTATTGATTTTACAGTTGATTTGTGCAATTTACACTGTATCTCCCACCTGATACAAATTCTACTGCAGAAAATTATACATGTATTCAGTTTGAAAACCAACAAAATCCATTTTGGTGTGTTTTACCAATTAAGCAAGGAAAACAATCTGCAGTTTTGAAAGCTCAGGAAACTATCAAATGTTGGAGGAAAATTTTGTGAAAAGATCAGACTTCTCACCCAACTACACAAAAATTCTGCTCCATAACTGATGATGTAGGAAAGGTGACTTTTACATCCTCTAAAATAAAAACAGTTAAAGAAACACTGAACAAACACAGACGTGAATTATTCTCCTATCTCAAAAAGTTGAACATCTCTGAAACCATACAGGTTTTTAGCCCGATGGGATCCATTGTTCATAAAACTACTTAGATTTCTGCAGAGCTACTTCAACCGTGCAGCTTATTATACCTGCTAAAGGTAGAATATAGAGACATCTGACTTTGGCTGCTGCAACACACAGTGGTCTCCAACTCTTGGTAACTCTAGACCTCTCAGAAAACTGCCCAGAAATTAAGAAGCCATTCACTGAACAGGGTGAACTACACTCATGCTCTCCTTCATTAGTTGCAAAATAAGCTGCTCAGCTCACTGTTTAACAAAATATTAGTGCTCCTATGATAGATGTTCTTCATTTTAGCATTATAATAGAGTTTTAGTCCATCAGTATCATTATATTGCAACAGCCCTTGTATGGTCCATAGCTGTCCATTTGAATCAACAGTCCATGTTAATAAAACAGGCTGATCAGACAAACCACAGTTCATGTTTATCCTTCCTCCAGACGAGCATGAGGAAGACCCTCACTTCCTGTCAAAGACCATCCTCAGGCACCTGCAGCAACAGGAGAAAGAGGAGTTCTGCCTTACCCCACATCCTCGCCAGGAAATGGCGGATCCCTTTGCATGTGTTAGTCCTCTGTCTGAGAGGAGCCAAATGAGCAGAGAACCCACGATCATGATGAGCATGGAGCAACCTCAGTCACTGAAGGTACCTGAGGAATGCACTGACCACTTCTATGTAGCAAAATGAACAGACAGACAGACACACACACATGCGCACACACACCTCAACATTTACTATCTTACTGTCCTCTGTCATACTATTGTCTGACTATTTACCAACTTTATATGTATATGATGTAAAAAAGGGCCTTAAATAAATGCAGCCTCATGCTTGGAAAACACTTGTGCTTGATTTGATTTCAGTTCTCTCCGGTTTGTGTTATGTTGAGTGACAGACAACAAAGATTGTGAGAGGTTTCCAGAGCGGTGACAAGAGGGCAGCGACAAAATGAATGAACAAGTTAAATAGCATCATGCAACAACTTTAGCCTCCTGACATACAAACTCTAAAGTATATGCAGAACACTTCAGTCCGATTGAGCTGTATACATGACCAACCACATTATCCAGATATGTTAGCCCATTTATGAGAGTTCTACTTAATGTGATTTCAGACAATCTGATGTGTTAACATGTTTTTAAAAGTCCAGTTTCAGACGCATCAGGCAATAAATGGATTTTTTTTTAACTACATATAAACTTGAGTAAAACTTTAAGCCTCACTTGACCACTTAACAAAGATTTTATCCAGGAGAGCAGAGAGCTGCTTCCCTGGGCTGCCTGCTGTAGCTCCCTTTCTTTTTTCCTTCTTCTCCTCTCCTTTCTCGGCATTATGCAGCAATTGGTAAATAAAAAGAGACCAACAATATGAACTAGAAAAATTGCAGTTCCTTGCAGAAAATGCGTGGAAATATTGAGTGCTGAAAACTGAAAAAGCAATGCAAAACTGCTAAAATAATGGAAGAGGGTTTAAATGTAAAATTGGTTAAAGGGCTGAAGAAGAAGAAGAAGTAGAAGTTGGATGAAAGTGAAAATTGTTGAAGTACAAATAGTATGAATGTGCTTCATAAATTAAAATAGCATTCATGCTGACCAGGTCATAACGAGGTCATAACCAGAGTTAAGACCAGGTAATAACCAGGTCCAAACCAGGTAATAACCAGGTCATAACCAGAGTAATGACCAGGTAATAACCAGGTCATAACCAGGTCATAACCAGAGTTATGAGCAGATAATAACTAGGTAATAACCCGGTCATAACCAGAGTTATGACCAGGTAATAACCAGGTCATGACCAGAGTTATGACCAGGTAATAACCAGGTCATAATCAGAGTTATGACCATGTAATAACCAAGTCATTACCAGGTCATAACCAGAGTTATGACCAGGAAATAACCAGGTAATAACCAGGTCATAACCAGAGTTATAACCAGAGTTATGACCAGGTAATAACCAGGTCATAACCAGAGTTATGACCAGGTCATAACCAGGTCATAACCAGAGTTATGATCAGGTCATAACCAGGTCATAACCAGAGTTATGATCAGGTCATAACCAGAGTTATGACCAGGTAGTAACCAGGTCATGTCCAGGTCATAACCAGGTCATAACCAGAGTTATGACCAGGTAGTAACCAGGTCATGTCCAGGTCATAACCAGGTCATAACCAGAGTTAGGACCAGGTAATAACCAGGTCATAACCAGGTCATAATTAGAGTTATGTCCAGGTAATAACCAGGTAATAACAAGGTCATAACCAGGTCATAACCAGAGTTATGACCAGGTAATAACCAGGTCAAGACCAGGTCATAACCAGGTCATAACCAGAGTTATGACCAGGTAATAAGGTAATTACTAGAGTGATGACATCACTCTAGCCTCTCCAATACACACCCATTATAAAGCCTGAAATTTTGCTGAAAACCAGGAGGTGCTCAAAGCTAAATTGTGGAAAAACTGAAAATGTAATTCATAGGATTTTTTGGTAACTTAGGCCTATCAGGGCACTTTAAAATAAAAATAGGTCCAACTATGATATATTATATATATATTTATATTATATATTTTTTTAGTTCATTTTGTTTAATTTTATGATGACTGACAATTCTTTAAACTTATGAAGATGTCCCTTATTTTAACACTACATTTCACTGCTTTAATCCACCTCTTTGTCTGTAATGAGAGTGAAAATAGCTTGTGTTCAATCAATGTTAGTTTTCACCTGATAGCATTGTTAAGTATAAAAGAAACTGTCAAATTTCAGGCTGAAGTCTTTAGCTAGTCCAGAAGACAAATAAAAATCTTTTATGGAAACTAAACGTAGAGATTTCTCACAATAACATGATCTTTTCTGCTCCTAAACATGCAGGAAAGGACCACAGTGGTCCATGGTGGGCAGGACTTTGGGTTCATCATTCAGTGTCAATGCATGACTTTTAAGCTAACCATTCCCATAGTCTCGACGATAACACAAGTTTTTATGATAATGTCATTAAATCTTACGGTCTCCATGTCGTCGATGTTTCCCTCTCTGTTCAGATGTTTTTCCGCTGAATATCAGTCGTCTGGGGAGGTTTTATTCACGATGGAGCTGTCAAAAGGTGAAAGTTTGTGAGCCACAGAAGTGTTTCGTGCCGATCTTCAGATTGAATCTTCAGAAATGACCGTTCTTTATCGACTTGTCGTGATTTAAAGTTTTTACATCGTCACAGGTTACCATGGGGATTTAAAATGCTGTTTACTTTAGAAAAACAGATTGAATCTTCAGAAATGACCGTTTCAGCCAGCAGAGGGCGCCTCTGCTGGCTGAAACTCACCTGCTACTACAGGTCACCAGAGAGCCAACAATAAGAAAAACAGAAAGAGCTGTGATCTTTCCTCCTATTAGGTTGCCATTGTTATCCTCACTTTATCGCCCTGTATTCATCATTTGAAGAGTAATTTCATACGTTGAAAAAAATTCAACCCGTGAAGCAGATTTGAAATAACCTTTCAATTTGGTGTGACTTACTGCCCCTCTTCATATCTTTACTCACATTTTATACCTGACTATATCTCCACAAACTCTCAGTCTGAAGACCAGCATGCACCTCATCTGTTGTTGAAGGACCGGACCTTCACTGCCGCAGCTAATAATCATCACAGCGATCCATTACAGTGCGTCACTATTTGAGGTACAGGAGACTAAAAGATAGAAGAGAGAGCAGAAAAACTGCTCAGTCAGGTAAGCTCAGATGTACTCGGGCGTGATTTTAAACTGCATGTACAAAAGAAACAGTCACAAGACACCTGACAGCTTGTCTGTTTATCTCAAACACACACACACACACCTCATGATCCACAGGGCTGCAGCTGAAACTGCTCGGTGTGGTTGCATCAGACGTGTTTACAGCCTGACAGTCATTCTAACAAGGCAGAGGTGAGAGGAAGGGCAGACAGTCCTCACCCAGAACACAATCAATTATTAACACAGTACAGAGCGTGCTGCATCCAGATGATTTATGTTTACTGTAACAGAGGGAAAACGGACATTAACAACAGTGCATCCTGTAAACAATGCTGCACATGTACATAGGCTGGAAAGCTCAATGTGAAGCTCACTAAGCAGGCAGGACATGGCTTTAAATTTAGCTTTCTTCCACTCACATTTCTCAGTCCTTCGCTCTGTCTGAAAGAAAAACTGGAAACCTTTACATTTACAAACATCTGAAATTACTTCCTTCTGATCTGATCAGGAATGATGTTCTTTATTTGTTCCTTATTAAGCACAGGCTTAATTAATCGTTTCACTTTCATCCCTTTGGTTTGAGTCTAATTGAATTTCTTCATGCTTCTTAAAGGATCAATGCTGAAGACAATCATAATCCTAGCTTTTTCTTTCTGAGGCGGACATTTTGTAAAATTAATCATAAAAAGTTACGAAAAATTTGAATATTATTTTTAACACATATTTAATCAAACCAAAACTGTTAGATGGGGCATTTTAAACTTCCACACCATAAATACTTATTTATGTGAAGCATTATTCATGTAGTCACCAGAAAGCTTAATTACTTTTAATGGGAGCATGATGGGGCTAAATGGACGAGCAGTTCATCCACCAATCAGAAAGGCAGAGGTCTGAAAGCTGCTTCTGCAGACTATCTTTGGAAAGATCCTGATCCCTCAGTTATTCCTGAGGCCAAGCCTCTGGTGTGTACGGCTGCATTGCATTGCCATTAGTGTTTTCAATGTGAGTGTTAGGAAGTGAAAATCACAACACAAGTGCAGACCATTTCCCATTATGACTGATTTAAGTCAACAAAGTAGATTTATATGTGATAACTCCATCTAATAACTCAATAATGAACATGGCTTATATTATAAATGTGGGGACATGTTTAAAATGCATTTTATAAATGACTAATTATCTCTTAGATACAGTATGTTTGACAACTATCCCTTTGATTTAAAAATAATAAATGAAAGCCAGAACAAAAGAAGACTTTTATCTGACAACTAGAAATAACTCCTGGATTGCGCCACAGAGACTGTTTTATATTCCCAGACTGAGAGAGCATTGTGAGGGAGCACTGACACTGTAATTCCCCTGCAGTTTTGCACTTCCTCCTTGATTGGAAGTCTTTTGACGACAGTCTCTGCTTAAAAATGATTGGCTAAGCAGCTGTGATGTCACATGAGGGAGATTTCCCAAGAAGGTGACTCAGGTAAAAGAGGGTTGACACGCAAAAGCACCGCCTTGCTCTACAGTCTAACTTCAGCCCAGTAAGGATGATTTAAAGGCAAAAAGCTCTGAATTTTAGGAGTAAATACACTTGAGTGTTTAAACAGATAGCCTGACAGCTGAAGAGACTATTGAAGTAACTATTTTGGCTGTAGTTTACACACTTTCTCTCGTTCAATGAAGACACAAAAATTTTTGATTCAGTCACACATGTCCACAACTGCTGAAAATAAGGCAAAAAGATTGAAGAGAGAAGGGATAACATGATGTGACCTGCCTCTCTTACAAAAGTGCATTACGGCAGCTTAGAGTCAGACTAAAATCAGAATACATAATACCTTTACAGGACAAAAATAAAGCTCCTCTTATGTTACAGTGTTTTAGTGTTTTAATGTTTTAGAGTCAGAAACTGGCAGCTGAAATCAATTCAATTTGATGAAACTGTTTATGTTGTAGCTAATGTAATTTATATAAATCTTAATAAATAAAAAGAGGGAAAATATTAAAACGTAAAATGCTCACTTCTGTGTGTGTGTGTTTGTGTGTGTGTGCGCGCGCGCCCCTGCGTGTCTGCATGGCATGTGTCAGACCATGTGTTACTCACCTGTGAGTGAGTCAGGAATCATGGCACCATGTCTAGACATGGTACGCGCTCTCACACGAAAACATACAAACAGCCTCACAGCATATCTATGTGTGTACGCTCGGAGCAGATATATATTATTTGATGTAAAATAAAGGAAAGTTTGACCAGCATGGTGGAGCTGTAAAGTATCTCTTAGTGACATGAACATGAACAAAGTCCAAAGTATCAATGAATACAGCAGAGTATCAAAGCCAACAGAAAATTGAGCCTATAGTAGTTACTGATTGAAAAAATTGCAATCGTTGATCAAAGGTCAACATGCTAATAAGGAATAAAAAGTATAGTGATTACATTTATCTTATTTAATCATCAGTACTTTAGAGTTTTCCTTCAGATTTCTTCAGGTAATTTAGAGGAAATTGTAGTCAAGGAAATAAACTGTCCTGCTCTGTAAGTATTCTGGATTCTTCTCAGAAACCTTTGGCCAAGTTCCCGTTCACAGGAATTAAACATGTAGAGCTGAAACTTATACATTAAATTAACAATTTAAACTTTACAGATGTTTGGAGATGATAGAAATAAACCCCTCACATCTCAGGGGGGGTTGTGCTGGGCGTTATCGTGGATCCTGTGAGTGAACCTCTCCCTCCTGTTGCCATGAGACCCACATAAATTGAAAGAAATCAGGTGTGGTACTTCAGTCTGCCCCGCTGTCTGGACTTGTGATCAAAAGAGACGGAACCTTTTTTCCATGAGTGCCCCCACACTGAACAACACCCTCTCACAGGAACTCAGGCAAACACATTAAAAATAACCATAAGAGAGTTTCATTAACTGCTCATTAATTTGCTTGTGCTGGCTGAATTCATCAGTTTAGACTTCAGTACCATTTGTTTCCTCTATGCTTACCTTTTTTGTTTGCTGGATCACTTTTTTAAATAAAGTACTAACAATACTTTTCACATGTTCACTCCAAAGTGTTACATTTTTTTCCTTTGAAGGTTTTTAAGGTTATGCTTTAACACCAATTAACACCCTGCTTATATTGATTTTGATCAAACCACGTTTGGTATGACTATTGATTTAGTCATTGTCTGGTAGGTTTCCACCTCAGCTTATACATTTGATTTTAATGGCTTTAAAAGATCTAATTTCATTTTGAACAATTTAACATTGGGGGAATTATCATGCAGCATTTATTGAGCTAAAAATTAGAAGAAGAAAAAATCAGCCTTGCTCTAATATTCTATTAAAGTCAGGGTACAGACATGTAAGCACATTGGACTGTAAGTGTAAGAGTCAAAGGATCCTTTGGAGAAAAGTAGCTTCATGTTAAGAACTTTTTACAACTCATTTAAAGTTGAGTGCTTTATTTTATTGTTAAGTTGTAGTATTTCTGTTATAATACATCCTAAATCTGCTAAATCACATTGTTCCAGAGGTTTAAAGTAACATTTATTGACACTTGATGAATTTAACAGACTAAAATTTTATTTGTGGGTGGGCTAATTGTTAGAAGAAATGCAATATGGTATGGACAGACATACAGTATCTAGTCTGAAATTAAGGATAGCTGATGACTACAGTAAATCTAATTCTGTTTTTCCTATGAATGAAGCCTTAGGAAATAACATAGGCCCTATGTTATTTGTTAATGTTAAGCCCTATGTCATAGGGGAATACAAGTGCCTATTACCAACATTTTATTAATTATAATATAATAATAAAAACTTCATGTTTATAGCACTTTTAAAAAGAAGAGGTTTACAAAGTGGTTTGACATATGGTCACAAAGCACAGAGGGTCAACACACGGAAATAAAAACGAAAACAAAAAGCTCAGTTTCAACAAAGCCTCAAATTTGACGGCCATTTTCACCCAAACTAAGCAAATAAGATAAGTATATAGTTACATAAACGCAAAATCATTCTCGTCATTTGACCTGAAGTAGCACTACTTCAGTCCATTGTTTTAATGTAACGTTGTGGTGTACGTGACATATGTCAGTTTATCTCGGTGCAATGCTCAGACATGTTGCACGAGCCAGCAGCAGCAAATCAGGAACGTTCTCGATTGAACCGGTAAGCCCCGCCCACACGTGAGAGAGCTCAGCTGATGCAATGAGGTGTTCCTCTCTGTGGTATAAAAGCTCTGCGCTCTCTCTGAGACCTGCTCTGCTCACCCGGCTCAATACATGGAGAAAACACAGACGACTCGCTCGGAGGAGATACCGGTGCTCTACAAACAGGAATCAGGATGGTGTATACCGCGGCTCTACTTTTCGGACACGGAGTGCCCGTCATGTCAGAGGAAGACAGTGTCATGGAGATGATAGGAAAGTACTTCTCCGAGCTCACATCCCCGGGCAGGAGGACGCCATCAGTCCGGAGGGGAAGCGTCGACAGCTGCGACGATACTGATAACAGTCCGCAATGTAAGTTGATCTAGATTTTTTTTTTAAGTTTTCTATGAGGATAGACTTTGATAAATGGATGAAATTTACACAGCCAGTTTAAATACTCAAATATATTTATTGAGGGGCTTATCACCCAGTTGAAGTCTCATCTGACGCAACTGATCCTGATCTTGAGTCAGCTGATCAGGGTTGTTCACACCCCTCCTCCTCACAGCTGCTGATACTGTCTTCACTTAGGATTAACTGCGACTCTTGTAGTTTTATGTAGTATTGAAAGACATCCAGTCACATGATAAAAGTAGTGATCAATGCGTGGAGATGTGTTACTTTTCAAGATGACTAACTTACCTTATGGTCTTTTTTCTGCAGATGCAAACTTTGATGCTGATTTGGACTGCGAAGAGAAGAGGTATATGACCCAGCAGATCGAGCGCTGTCTAACAGAGGCCAAAGCTTCCACCCTCCACTGCCAGGTGCTACTACTGCCCCGCCAGATGACCACCAGGGTGGGCCAGGACGTGGTACGCTCCTCTGCTGATGAGCCTTGTGGGCTCCGCGGTGCTTCCATCAAGGTCTATGTAGAGGACAAAGATGACCTAAAGTCTGTGGGGAGCATCCACCCAGATGCAAGTGTCACCCCGACATTTGAACTGTCTGTGATCCTCAAGGCGGACAGGAACGATGGCTGGCCATCACTCAAGCACATCTTCCATACCAACAAAGTGTTGAAGCTGAGGCCAGAGTACAGGCTGGTGAAGAGGAAGCTCTACTCCTCTGCCAGCCCGGTCATTCATGATTTCAACTAGATGTTCAGGATGTCAACCCTGGCCTTATTGTTTACCTACTTTTGTGTAATTGTGAAAATACTGTCTCCCTATTTGTTATCTTTACTCACTCCTGCACAAATGCCTGACCTAGAGTAGGAGGTAAAACTACCTTTTTTCACTCAGTTGTTTATTAAATGTCAGTATTTTGCACTCCAGTTAAAGTTGAATGTAAGAAGTGTACACTGTTGACTGTGATGTCTTCAAAGGAATGGGCAGGTCCCACTCCTGAAGAGTGCTGTAATTTTATTTATGCATCTATAAAAGTATTTTTTCACACTACTTTGGTCTCATGTTTGCATTTATCCTGACACAATGAGTGTAACAATTCAGTGACACAGATATGACGCTAGGTTACGCTGTGGAATAAATGGGTCTAATCTGATTCAGGTTTAGATCAAATAAACTTATTTATTTAACAAATGTACAACAGAAAACATTATACATGTATCAGCTACCCAAACACAAAAATCTATGTTCCAGCTCACAGGTTTTCTTGCACTCCTGTCTAACACAAACACACATTCCTTATGCTTTTTATTTAGCACACAGGCTACATCCTAAGCGACCAATAGGAATGCATCAATGATTAGCAACAACAATCTGTGTGTCCTTTTGTGTAAGCCCATTAACACTCAAAACAGCATTTAACAATTCTGACAACTGTTTCATGAAATACAAAATTTCAGTTTTAGAGTAACTTCAGGATTATCTGCCCTCTTAAAGCAGCAACTTTAATGCCTCTGTGCAGCCTCATGTGGTTAAAGAAGAACAAAAAAACAAACTGTGTTTTAACACTTCAATAACAGCTAGCTTTTATTTTGCACGTAGATGACACACTGTCAGTTTCCAGATGACTCAGTGTACTTCAATGCAACGCAAACAAAATCCTGCTCACGCTGAAGCCTTGTAATGTCTCGAACTGTCACCGAGGCAAAACAGGACTTAACTGACCTCTGAAGGAGCTTAGAAAACTATTCAAGACTTGAGAAAGTAGGCGGATCATCTACAGACTTGGAAGGGGTCCGTTAATGGGCTTTCACATAGACAACTCGGCCAAAGACTATACAGACATCATTCATAATTACATTTAAAACAAGGCAGGTCTCCGAACAGATTCTCTGGATCTCACATTCATATTTTATAAGTGATCAAACGGATGTCGATTTGATTTCTTGGCTGCGTTTGGTACAACCCAGTATGGTGGACCAATCTAGATGGATCCAAAGTTCCATATGATCTGACCTTTGGCCCTCTCATCATTTGAGCCTATTGCTGGTGAAAAAAATGTGTTAAATTTCTCTTTGCTGTTGCTTTTCAGTGAAGTGAAATGGCAAACTACTACATCTGCTGGTGAAATGATACTTGGATAGAGTGATGCGCTGCGCGTTAACCAAACATACGAACTGGTTCAGAGGAGGCTGGGTGCTGCTATCTCACGCAAACAAACAGGCGATCCAGTCCACATTTACCCTTATCAATGCTTACGTAGGACGAATAAACCAACACACACGCACACAAATACGCGCACGCACTCATACACACAGTCCGCACAGTCCTCCTTTGAAAACACAACGTACATATTCAGCGCCTGTGTTCTCCACATCTCAGAGCAGGTCTCTCAAGAAATCCTAACTCCATGAAATCTCAGTCTATTTCTTCATTTTGAGGTCTGCCTCCATGGCACTACGGCGACCCCTGGTGCCTCCATCCTGTATCAGAGAGACAGATGGTAGAGGAACAGCAAAAAAAGATAGATGGAGAGCAGGACGACTAGTTAGCATAAAGGTGTGAAGATCAAAGGTCAGCTGGAGCGAGTGAATGAAGGCCCTCTGGTGGGCCTCCTCATGGACTGAGCTCAGCACAAAAAACACAGCACAGTCCACCTAGAAAGGCTTCCTCCCCAAATGAGAAACATATGATAAACAAAATCAAACAACAAAAGCAACACAAAGATAATCAAAGATGATCGATCAACTCAAAAAGAAGGAGAAAAGAAATTAGAACATGCAGAGAGACGACTGCACACAACACAAAAACACAGGAAACCGGCATGGGGTCATGAACAGAAGGTCAACGGAGGCTTTGGTGATGAAAGGTTACTTCAGCTGGTGTGTGTCTGTGTGTGTGTGGATGTAAAAACACAACTGAAAACTTATGGAGATGAAACAACACTGTGTTCAGGGATGTGTGTGTACAGCCATCAGATACAGAGAGGGTCAGACACTCTTCAATTATCCCCAATATGAGTGTGGCTTATTTCTTTGATTTCTCCACTTTGTCTTCAAGTGTTTCAAAGTACAAGTTTGTTAAGTTTAGTGTTTTGTGGACTGGAGCTGCACTGTCTTAGATTTTGTAAGTATTACTGCTCCCTTTTGTGGTACATTAAAAGTAATATCACCTGAAAGATTTGAATATCTGCACAAATTTACTGTTACCCCGACAAGAAAAAGGTAATAAGACTTTAACGCCTTGACTTTAGCAACTTCTGCTCCAGTAAGTGATCATGAAATGCTAAAAAAAATGTACTTTTTAACGCCACTGGTTATTTGCTGTCTTGTTTCTCTGTTGGTGTCTTTGTCATTCAAGTTTAATCTGTCGATCAAATCTGATCAAACTACCACCACATAACCCTGATAAAGTCAATTAAAGCAAAGATATGAAACAGATGAAAAAGCCAGGAATTAACATTTTTCTGTTAAGTTATCTTTAAATGTTTTCTTAAAGCTCCATCATCAAAAAAGCATTTGCCTGTCCTAACCTCTGCGCTTGATAATTAAAGCTGTTTAGAGTGACAACTCAAACTGAACAATGGCTCAGAAATTTAGCTCGTCTCTAAAGTTAGTCGTTCAAAAACGTTTTGAAATGATAGTTTTGTTTAAATCACTGTGTTTTGTGGTGGTTAAAGGACCTTATCATTACAACGCTAGTTACAGTTATTCTGTAATCTCTCTCCACTAATCAGCTCGCTTACACAATGACACTCATAAATTTCTGACAAACAAAAAAGTTTTGTTTTATTTTCCACTTTTCTCACTAGGATTGATTTTGTTTAGACTGTAAGCTTGAATGCTGACCTTTGGTAATGATCAGACTCTTAATGTTTACTCATTTAAAAGGTTTTATATAAGTGTTTTTTACAGTGGCATTACCAAAAATGATCTCATTACTGTTTATTCAACACTAAATGAGAGCATGTTCAGATATTCTGAACAGATGGTTTGATAGTTACAAATTATCTGAAGTTATATCATTGTGAATAACAAACTAGGTCGACCTCTAAACAACAGTGTAACTATTATTTGTACCACTGAGACAGAAATTCTACCTTTTTATTTTAGGAACTGCTTAGTTTCTTCAAATGCTGCTCAAACAGAAGACATTTATAAAGAGGGAGGAGAGGAATGAAGAGGTGTACACAGTGTATTCCAATGTGTGTGTGTGTGTGTGTATATGTGTGTGTGCGCGCTTGGTTGACACAAGCATGTGCGGAGCGTGGCCTGGATCTGGTGAAATCTGAGGGCGAACCTGAATACTTACAAAAAGAGAGAGAAGGAAAGCAGGAGAGGCCATTGGGACACTGTCCTGTAGGAGGACAAACATTGGAGTGAGAAAGAGAAAGAGAGAGAGAGAGAGAGAAAAGACACACATGTGCGTGAGAGAGCAAGTTTCATACAAGTCTGCTTCAAACACAGAGGCACACCGTGGAATGAGCGTCCATTCGACTGCTGCAAGGCACGTCTGAATAAACACACAGACACAGACACTCGCACAAGATCCAGACACACACTCTGTAAACAGTGAGACTGATAAACACAGACAGACAGAAACACAAGGAAAATCAGGCGCACACAAATGCAGCTAAGCAATGCTGAGTTTACAAAGCTCACCTTACTGAACCACAGGTTTGTTCACGGTCCTGATTAAGGCTGTGATGATAAAGCAGGATTGACTGTGACTGTCTTCATTGAATTATTAATAATTAATATGATGCTAAAAATAGGCTTATAGTCACACTGAGAGTTCCTAGCTGAAGACATTTCTGCTGGCAGCCACATGTTGAATTGAAGTTCAGATGAATGATGGTGATAATTTACCTTGTCATTTTTTTTTATATAATTATTATTATTATTATTTTTTTATACATACATATTTTTTCTATGTTATTTTATTATCTCTGTTGCTCTTATCTTGCTGTTTTATGTCGTTGCTTTTACTCTGTTAAGTGTCCTTGAGTGTCCAGAAAAGCGCTTATACTGTATATATCATGTACTATTATTTCTATATTATTAAAATGCAAGATATTTTGTAAATTTAAACGCACCTCTTTGGTTTACTAACTAATTTGACATTCTCACTCACTCTGCTTTTATTTTGAAAGAAAAGCTTCTTGAGTTATAGAACAGAGTTTTATAATGTAGGGAAATGAAGCAATCTTCACTCAAGACAGAAAAAAACAAACAAAATAAAAGCATGAGAAACACTCACTGAATGAAGTAATGAATCCTCTAAAGAAGTTTACATTACACAGCCAATTATGTGAGTAAATCAAACATTTGAACAGAATTAGAAATGATGAAAACGTGTAAGTTAACTGCATTTATTAGTAAAATTTATGGACGCGTAATATTTATGAACATATGTTTTATGTTACTTAACCCTCATCTTACACTCTCAGTCTTACTGTGGTGTTTAAAATTTCAAGTTTACCATAAATATTGTGAGAATATTATCCTGACACATTCTTGTGCTGCTCTGAAAACATCACTAGTCTCATTTTAACTCCAGTTTGATCTCAGTGTGCAAAAAAAGATAAAAAGGAAAAACTATTCTTAATTAATTTGAGAAACACTTCCCCCAGATATTTTTTGTTTAACAAAGAATTTACTAAAATTATCCATCTTTTCTTTTTTACTTCAACAACTTTTTGCAAATTCCCAAGTTTTATCCAGTCGCGAACAGCCCCTGCACAGTCAGGACAAAGATACACGCACACACATACACACAAACACACAAAAATACATGACACTAAACAAGACAATTCATTACAGACAGAAACAGCCGCACAGGTAGGTAAGTGACAAGCAGATGCAGACAGATGGAAGTCAGAGTGAAGAGTCAAAGCCGGCATGCAAGGACATGAATCATCAGGGAAGTCTGGACCAGGAAATAATCCTGTGGAGCACATTGTAGTGAGCAGAGAGGAAAGTGGATCTGGTGAGCAAGAGCTGTGCAGAGTTCACCAAATATCTCTGAGTTCATGTGACGTCAACATGTATGTCAGTAACAATAATAAGTAGCAGTAACTTTTTCAGAGGTTGGCATGGTGCAAACACTTAATTCATAACGGAGTCCTAAATGGCTCCAGTACTTAAAATTAGGAGCAAATTTTCACTAAGAGGCAGAATGAAGCATCATTTAGGTAAAGTGAACTCGTACAACGGTGAACTGAACGGATGGTTTGGTTGATTAAGAGCTTCAAAGTTAACAGAGGCAGAATTTCTTTTCATCAAATACAGCCTGAAAGTGTTTCTGTAGTAAACTGAAGCAGTCCAATTAGATTCATTCACTTCAGTAACTCTTATTCTGATGCTGGTGTATGGACACAACACACACTCTATATCAGCGGTGATAGATCAAGTCAAGTGTTTGGTGTATAAAGAAAGAGTGATCGTGTTTAAACAAAGCTAAGTGAGACAGAATTGTTGGTGTAGTTGTGCTCTCGACTCAGGAAATGATCCAAATGTCCATCATGGTCCTTCAATACAAGTACCGCATTAGGCAGGTGTAAAAAAAGAAAGACATTCAACACATAAATAGCAAGTCCTACAAGTTAAAACGCTCATTGACTCAAACTTTTGATGTCCATCTCTTTACTGAGTGAGGTTTTGATTTCCCTGCTACATATGATTAAAAAAAAAAGTGACTTCATGAAAATGCTACACACTTTTTCTCATCGTTGAAACAAAAATCATAAAACTCTTGTATGGAACAACAGCTCTCTAAACAAATTAAATGAAGAGTACAGTAAGTACAGAAACATTTCAAACTTGTAAACTATTATCCCCTGGGATCTTTGCAGAATTGTAAGTCATGTGGTTAATCACCCCCTCTCTCAGCCACACGAGTGTTTTCTCTCATAACGTATTCAGACTTCTTCTGGTCGATGGAGGTTCTTGCTGTGATCATAAATATCAGTTTACATTTAAAGATTTATCAGAGCTGCTGTTGACTCCATGACTGTGTCCTTCATAACCCACCAGGTACATTCATCATATCGCACCACACATTGTAAGAAGCAGCATACAACGAATAGTCACTGAACCAGCCTTTTATACAATCATGCATTGCAGAGCAATGAGAGGTGGTGAATGGGGCGAGAGGACCATGATGACCACAGTTGATATCTAAAGGCTTTTCTATCAAAGGTGAGCTGATTTATAAAGAGTAAAGGACTTCAGACAGAAAAAAAATGTGAATTTTACCCACTCAACACTGACATGAGACCAAAGTCTGCACGAGACAAAAAAATGTACGAAAGAGGATAAGGGCCACATGAAGAGAAAAAAAATAATTATAGGAAGGAGATTTAAGTAGAAATTTCAAATTTAAAGTTGAAATTGCGAGACTAAAAATTGAAATTTCAAGATTAAAGTCAAACATTCAAGATTAAAAAATGTTGTGAATGTCTGACTTTCGACCTTTAAAAAATTCAAATTAAGAGATTAAAGTTGAAATTTTGAGATTAAAGTCGACATGAATAAAGTCAAAATTTCGTCTTTTTAAAATATGGATTTATATCTCAAAAATGGAGATTACAAAAATCTCCCTCCTGTAATTATTTGTTTCTTTTTTTTGTGGCCCTAATCCTCTTTTGTATGAATGGGTCATGTTGAAACTAGGGTTCATTATTTTATCAAAAATATATTGACTTACACAAATTCATCTTTAATATTTTGTGAAAACTTGATCGGATTGATTTGAGTTATCAGTGAAACTCATGCTGTTATTTATCATCAACCCCTGGTCAGAATTGAACTCAATGACCCACAGCACTGACGTCATGACCCGGTGTTGACGGCTACTGGTGTCCAAAAGTAGTTTGTCTATTCTTCGCTCTATTTAAACCTCTTTTTGTTGACTAGAAGTGAGTTTATGATTCAAGACATAGTTTAGTCCAGGACTTTGTAGACACGCACACACATCCATGTTCGAACTGACTGTTGATACTTAGACACTCCTCACACTTGAGAGTTGAACTTCTCACTAAAACATTCAAGAAGTATTTCTGTTGGCTTAAGAGAAACTTTCCCAAAAGTACATTTTAGACACAAACTCATCAGAATAAAATCAATTCTTCACTATTGATGTTTAGTCTAGTCCCCCCCACCCCACGCAAAGTCGGCAAACCCACCTTCTCAGCTGGCTCTCCTGGTTTGCGGTTTCCCTCCCTGCCACGGAGGCTCTTTGCAGAAATGGCGCTCTCCGAGGTCTGCATGATGAGCTGGGTGGCCAGAAACTGCTGTACATGCTCCAGGACGTCACGCTGCATCTCCAGAGCCATGTGGTACACGTCGTGGTCTGATGAGTTGTACATGACAGCATTCTGAAACATCAGCATGATGTCCCGTTGGAACTCAGCCGTTGTACGGATCACGCCGGACTCAATATTTTTCTTAATTGCTGACAGGTCCATCGGCCTGGGATGGGGAGGACAGTAAGAGATGCGAGAGGGAGGATGATTTCTTTGATGAACAAGTTACATGACATACTACTGTTGAATGAAGTGCTGTACTGTGTTTTTACCTGTGCACGATGCTGTGGTAGCCTGGAGCTATGTCGTCTGAAACAGGTTGCAAGAAGACACTAGCGTACCTTTGAGAAACACAATTTTAGAGAGTGTCAAACAACCACTCTCTTTCTACTGTTGGAGGGAGAGTGTTAAGATTGCCTAGTGTTGTTTGTTTGGATAAAACTTGGAAACCACCATACTGTTGACATAGTGGATGAGAATCTTTCTAACAAAGACTTTTAGTTAAATAACTCCAGCATTTTAGTTTTGCTAACAGGCACAAAAATGTCACATAAGCTTCGTCAGGTTGCTCTGGTAGTGAACCACTTATGATTCAGACTTTGATAGAATGATCTCAAAGTGCATCAGAGAGGTTAATCTGACACAGATGCAAAATAAATCTGCAACCTTCAATACAGATTATCCCCCCAACTTCCACTGCATCAGGAATGGCTCCGCCAAGGATCAGTGGCAATTTTCGCCCTCCACCAATTCCAACCAGATGTGTTTGTAAGACGAATTTTGTGGTGGATTTTGGACAGCAGGAATCACGAGAACTCACAAGAACCTGCAGATTCACATGCAATCATGCGATAACAAGTTGTCTCTGTCTGAAGACAGCCACATAACCATATAAGCAGTAGATTATGACCTTCCACAGGAGGAAATCCACTTCTAGACTTTCAGAATCAGCATCTCCTCATCCATGGTGTCATCGGGTTAAAATGCTGTCTACAAACCTTTTCGTCCCTGCCCACATTTGCATGTTGTGAAATACGACCAGCTAAAACATGTAGTGTTTTATTTGGAAAAGGAGCCAGATGTTTTATTTTGTTTCCGTGCCCCACTTCCTTTCCAGCACAGGTTTATCTGTGCTGAATTTATGCAGCATGCTGTGGTGTCTGGAAAAAATAGAACTCTGGCGATCCCCTGTGGAGCCCGGTGATCCGGTGAGCGGAACAGAAATAAGCCGGTGGAAACTGACACACAAAGTTGGATGGAAATGATCAGCTGCGATCGGCGCATACAGCCTTTTCGCAGACGTTCCGGTTGCAGTTCAAAATCGGGGGTGAGCTATTAAATCGTAAAGAACGGTATTAACTCATTCAAATGTGTTGTACTACAAAGAATCTAAGCTGAAATGTGGAAATCATGTTTGCTAAGAATGACACTGATCGACAGCTGTAGTGAGCTATTCACAAAGTTCCACCTGTGGTTGGCTGCAGCTCTCCACACCAACATGATGGCTTTCTTCCAGATTTTCTGAGCCTGTACTGCCTCCTGGTCCTCACCACATGTCGAGCTGCAGGAAAGAGGAAGTGAAAACAGAGAGGGTATGATGAGAGGACAATGACTTCAAGAGAACTTTAAAAGGGAAGTGGAAGAGAAATTACACACATAGATTCTCGTACTAATGGATCTGTTATGTCAGCAGCAAAAGGTGCTCTAGCTCAGACTTTCTTCATCTAAAGCTGAGGTCAGGACAGAAGTGCTCGTGATGAATGCCAGCTATGCTTCTTTTAGTTTTAAAGCAGCATTTCTCAAATGTTAAGGAATATTAAGAGCTGGGGTTACAGGGCTCGACAGTGCGACCGTTTCACTCGCATCTGCAACTAAAAATAGATGTGTGCGAAATATAAAATGTATTTAGGGGCACATGTGCGGCTATAAAAATAAATAAGCCGAGGCAACAAATGTTTTTTCGTGTAAATACCGCGGTGAAGTTAGTTTAGGTGGAATATTCGACTGACATTCACTGTGGATCTACCGTTGTCTTCTCACTCTCCATAACTGGTAATGGCAACAGCAGTGGGGTTAAATCTACTCGGCATCCTCACTGTCAACTTCGAGTGTTGAATAAGGGACCATCAATAAACTACTGGCTGATGTTCTCAAAAAGGGCTTTTTTCCTTCAGTAGCTTCCATGTCACGTGACCGGTTGACCTAAAATTGATTTCAAATAATAGTACTACGGTCAAATGATAGGACAAACTTTTTTTTCCTCCAAATTTGTCCTCCAAACATATTTGGGTTGAATTTAAAAGCAATTTTTATAAAGTTCTTTATTTAGGAGCACATGTGCTCCTTATGGAAAAAGTCATTGGCAAGCCCTGGATTATTTCCCTGCACCTCCTTTATCAGCATGTATTACCCAAAGTTTGATCAGGACACTCTTCGCATTTGAAAACACGAGGACACTTACAGCTGAGAAGAGGAGGCCGGGCTGCTGGCCAGTGAATCTGCTGTGTAGCGTTGGGAGGGCGGACCATAACCGTCTTCACTTTCACTGGCTGCCCGCTCCACCTCTGACAGGTAGGGCCCCTCCCCTTCCCCACATTCCTCCTTCAGCTCCATCCCTTCTTCCGGGTCCCCTTCACTCCCTGCCTCCTCCTCCTTAACCTCCTGGATACAAGAACCGACAGAGAGAGCGTAAGATCACTGTGTATGATGAAGTCTGTGGATGTGTTGGTGTGCATGAATGTGTTACCTTTGACTCTTTCCCAGACACAGAGCTGTCCTCAGAGTCTGTTGGAAGAAAAATAAAGAAGGAGATTAGACAAACATGAATGAAAACATGGGATTTCTGTTTGTTTGGGGAAATACAGAACACACCCAGGCAAGGTGGGTTGGGCTCAGGCTGGCTCCATTCCTCGTTTTCACTCTTCACTGTCGCTTCAGTGACCTCTCTACCCGTCCCCCCTTCCTCTGTAACCTCACTCCCTGTTGCTCCGTCATCAGAGTTCACAGAAGAAGTGACATCACTTCCTGTCACCTCAGGTCCCTCACAGTTTCCCTTCATCTGCTCATCTCTTTTAGTGTTTGGTTGATTCTGGTTCTGGGTATCTATGCTTGCAGGAATCAAGGTCGCATCTTGAGACTCTGGCGCCGGATCTTGGGCTGCGGGTCCAGGGTCTGAAGCCTTTAGCTCCTGGGTCTCCCAGGGGCCAGGAAGGGTGTGTCCTTCTGAGACGGCCTCTTCGCACAAAGAGAGAGCTGCTTCCACTGCTGCTGCATCCAAAGCCTCCACAGAGTCATCAACCTGGACAGACACATGGCCGGATAAACGAATGATCATATTGTTCTGAAAAATAACCACACACACAAATTCACCTGTGATAGAAAAAAGGATGTCTTGAACAAACAAACACAGTACACACCTTCTCTTCGATGATGGCGATGATGTCTCCCACAGTCTCCAGGTCCAGTTCATCTCCCATGTAAGACACGGCTACAAGGTCTTCTTCCACTAAGCCTGCCTCCTCTCCTAGCTCTGCTTTCACTGCAGCTTCAGCCTCACCCTCTGAAACATGTACAAAAGAGTCAATCAGAACACAATAAAAGGCTAATTATTGATATTTTTACGTCTGAATGTACTCTACTGTCAGTCTGAACACCACTATCAGTAAACAACCAGATCTGGCAAACCATTCAACAAATGGTAATATGAAGTTCATCTATTATTTAAATAAACTTACATGCTTGTGCTCTCAGTTGCTTGACACGAGTCCCTTTCATAACACAAGGATGTTTACTTTGTAATTTTGAGCAGATTTCTGTTTTTTAAAGTTTTTTAAAAGATACTTTTTGGGGGTAAACAATAATGAAAGAGTGAGGAATGATATGTGGTCAAGGGTCAATGGTGCCAGTCAAACCCGAGTCAAACTGTTTTAGCAGTTTGAGCTATACTGGCACATAATGGCTACCCTGTGATTGTGAGTGTCACTGTAACAAAGTGAAGCCCTACTGTTCTCCTAATATGCTCCTTTCACCGTCCAAAAACTACTAGGGCTGTCAAAATTGCTCCAAAATGATGTTCGAATATTCGTTCTAAAAGTAACACATAGTTTCGAACATATTTGAATATCTAGCTCACACAGCTTGCATATAACTTTATCTCACTCAGCATTTTTTCTATCTACCATGTCTGCCCAAAATCCAAAGAATTTCCAAACAGAGCTTCTAAAGTTCATTGGAGTCCAGACCAATCTCTCTGAGTTTGGCTCCGAACATCCCACCATCTCTCTCTGCATGTGCCACAGACGGACTTTGTCTCACTGCATGTGCAGCTGCTATGACCTTTCCCTGACCCGCTGTTAAAGTGCGCTGACTCGCAAAGCAGCCATTGTTATTTTTTCTTAGTTTTTTTCCCTACTCAGTTTTTTCCTGCTGTTTATTTAATATTCAAATATTAATTTTCACATTAGAATCTCTCTGGGTTTTTTTTATATTTGAATATACACTCACCGGCCACTTTATTAGGTACACCATGCTAGTAACGGGTTGGACCCCCTTTTGCCTTCAGAACTGCCTCAATTCTTCGTGGCATAGATTCAACAAGGTGCTGGAAGCATTCCTCAGAGAGCTTGGTCCATATTGACATGATGGCATCACACAGTTGCCGCAGATTTGTCGGCTGCACATCCATGATGCGAATCTCCCGTTCCACCACATCCCAAAGATGCTCTATTGGATTGAGATCTGGTGACTGTGGAGGCCATTTGAGTACAGTGAACTCATTGTCATGTTCAAGAAACCAGTCTGAGATGATTCCAGCTTTATGACATGGCGCATTATCCTGCTGAAAGTAGCCATCAGAAGTTGGGTACATTGTGGTCATAAAGGGATGGACATGGTCAGCAACAATACTCAGGTAGGCTGTGGCGTTGCAACGATGCTCAATTGGTACCAAGGGGCCCAAAGAGTGCCAAGAAAATATTCCCCACACCATGACACCACCACCACCAGCCTGAACCGTTGATACAAGGCAGGATGGATCCATGCTTTCATGTTGTTGACGCCAAATTCTGACCCTACCATCCGAATGTCGCAGCAGAAATCGAGACTCATCAGACCAGGCAACGTTTTTCCAATCTTCTATTGTCCAATTTCGATGAGCTTGTGCAAATTGTAGCCTCAGTTTCCTGTTCTTAGCTGAAAGGAGTGGCACCCGGCGTGGTCTTCTGCTGCTGTAGCCCATCTGCCTCAAAGTTTGACGTACTGTGCGTTCAGAGATGCTCTTCTGCCTACCTTGGTTGTAACGGGTGGTTATTTGAGTCACTGTTGCCTTTCTATCAGCTCGAACCAGTCTGGCCATTCTCCTCTGACCTCTGGCATCAACAAGGCATTTCCGCCCACAGAACTGCTGCTCACTGGATATTTTTTCTTTTTCGGACCATTCTCTGTAAACCCTAGAGATGGTTGTGCGTGAAAATCCCAGTAGATCAGCAGTTTCTGAAATACTCAGACCAGCCCTTCTGGCACCAACAACCATGCCACGTTCAAAGTCACTCAAATCACCTTTCTTCCCCATACTGATGTTCGGTTTGAACTGCAGGAGATTGTCTTGACCATGTCTACATGCCTAAATGCACTAAGTTGCCGCCATGTGATTGGCTGATTAGAAATTAACTGTTAACGAGCAGTTGGACAGGTGTACCTAATAAAGTGGCCGGTGAGTGTATATTCAAATTTAAAATATTTGTTGACAACCCTAAAAACCACCTTCACTTTTATACTTTCACATGATAATCAAGACATATTTTCACTGTGATCATTCATAAAACTTTCTGATTCAGTAATTCCACATGTCGTCTTTAACAGCAAGTGTGTGACTGTGTTCATCAACAGTTAGTCATCCATAGTTCACCTGTAATGACTTCATGACCAGTTGGTAGAGCTGCGGCTGTTGTGGCTGTCTGGACTCCATTGGTGAGATTGCCGGTACAGTCTCCCTCCCCGACCTGCCATAAAAAGTCAAGGATAGCTCAGGTATGAGGCATAAAAACTGTACATAATTGATTCCTGTAAATAATCAAACACATACACAGTAGAGAAACTTTAGGACTCTGCTTGTCTTGCTTGTTTACTTCTTTATATTCATGTTATTTTCATTAGTAGTTAGATAATCATGAGCTAGCTCTTACCAGGCGTGGGCTGGCTGAGATGAGGTTGCCTTTCTTCAGCAGTTCAGACAGGAGAGGTGATGGCGGTGGTGTGGCTTTCTGGGCAATTAGCCTCTTTTGCGGTGTGTCTTCTACTAGAGCAGCCAGGCCTCCATCTTTGGGCCCCGGGCCCGGCGCATCTGCTGCTGGTAGAAACACTCCAACCCCCTGAGCCTGGCAGATGCAGACAAGAAACAATTGGCATGGTTAGCTGCAAGATCTGGACTATTCCCTTTCAGGATGAGCAAGAATTGTGAAAAGGAGGCTTATGGTAAATTAAGAAGTTGATCATTTTAATCTAAATTTGTTTTTGAAAAATATGCACCAAGTCCTGATGTGAAGTTAAAGCAAAATTAACAGCCTCAAACCACTGCAGTGAACTCTTAGATGGACTTCTTTGTGTGAAGTGGAATGCATTTACTTTTAATTCCCATACAGTCAAATATGTAGCACAGAGTTGGTGCTGAAAATTTACTGACAAAGAAACCCTATTCAGACAACTCCTCATAAACTGTTAGCAGTGCTTCATGAGAAAAATGCTGTTCTGAAGGGACACTTTCTTACCACTGAGTGGGTGGTGGTGGTGGTGTCCTCAGGAGCCACACCTCCAGTATCCATGGGTGGCGTGGCGACTGAAGAATCACCCTGAGAGTCCATGGTGGGGGGGCTGGCACCCAGGGGAGAGCGTACAGTAACACTTGGCAGACGTTTTGGAGTGTTTTTCACTGCCTGACGAACTGATGTAGTCGGAAGTTCGGAGAAATCAACATAGAAAATGAATCAATCTGCTTAGAATTTTAAAAAAAATCCACAGACACCATGAATCAGAAATCCTGTGGTGATAATTTCATTCTAACCAAAGCCCATCAGAGGGACAGACCCTTGTATAAGAAAAGATCAAGAAAAAACACGAGGCTCCAGCTGTTTTGGTTTTGTTGCACTTTGACTTATAAAATCACAACTCTGCTTTTGCTTTATATCTTCAGGGAATTTTTTGATCAATGTATTATTTTTATGATAGCATGCCAGATTATGCATGGAGATTAACACAATTGACAACACTTTGATTGTAAAATCATCACATGGCAAAAGATTTAATGGATAAAAGTAAACAGAAGAACTGTGTGAAGGATTAGCAGAGGGAGCCAACCTTGGTATGCTGTTTCTGTAGCTTTCCTCTTCTGTTCTACTTCCTCCTCATCCTGCTTCTTCTTTCTGAGGTTGAAAAAGAACATAGTTTAATAACTTACGACTTAGGAAGATATTATACAGGATTGTTTGATACTATAAAGAATAGAGGTGGGATTGTGGCTAAAAAACAGTATATTTAAACTGCAGACACACAGCCAATTCAATGGCATTAAATCACTGCTCATGTTATATGTACCAAAGTGTACAAAGTTATTCTTCCTCTAATATTTAAAGTAGGAAAATATTACAAAAAGTACCAATACTAAACATAGACTCACTGAGAAATCAATTTAACTCTAAGTTAATCTTTTTGGGACAATTTCTTTACAGTTTCATTGCGACCCATCAATCGTCGTAGAGGTATTCTGGGACCAAATATTAAACTGACGGACCAAACAACTATGATGATTCAAAGCACTACGGCTGTTAGTAGGGCTAACACAGGAATACAAAAACACACTTAATAACTACTGAGTAAAAAGGGTTCAAACGGGATAAAACAGGGAAACACTCTTACAGTGTGATCTCTGTCCACAGCTCCTTCAGCTGGGAGTCCATGTGACCTGTTTGTATAAGATCAACCTCCTTCTTCAACTTCCTGTTCGGACAGACAGCACAGAAGGATTAAATACCACGTCCCACAGCCCTCACACTTGTTATGGATGTTTTTTTGTCAGTGCGTATGTACCTGTACTGCTCTTGTGTGTCTCGAAGTAGTTTCTTCAGTTCCTCTATCCTTTCAGCAGTTAGCCTACGAACGATGACATCTTCAATAGTTTCCACCACCTCCCCCTTCTCCCCACGTTTGCGTCTAAAGCAAAGGGAGGCAAAAACACTAGAAGTTAAATCAAAATTATTTTCCTTTTTGCTTGAAATTTTTGTCCTAACTGCTCATATGTATGTGTGGAAGTCTGCACTTTAACACTGACTTAGGTGCTTCAGTAGCCTCCAGTAGCTCTGAGTATTGTGACGCACAGTGCTGCAAGGAGAGAGGAGAATTTGTCAGCCTGGGGGAATTGTAAGTCATAAACCTGAAATAATATTGAAATGGTAGCTCCTTACCTTCTGTGAAAACCAGTCTGGTGGACGGCCAGGCTCTGAGAAAGGCTTAATGGCTCTACTTACAGACACCCTGTAAAGTGAGAGGGGTGGAAAAACATGGGACAATATGACAAAATGAGATGGTTGCAGGTCAGGGCTGCTAACAAAAGACAAACAGCTCTATTAAAAAGAAAAACACTTCATTGAATAATGTTTAGACAGCCAAAAGAATCCAGCAGGGATACATTAATGTCACTTCCTTTTAAAAAGACATCTGATGTTTATATGCAGTTAAATCTATCAGACCTTCATGGGTAAATCCCTACAAATCACTCAGTGGTTGGAAAAGTCATCTGTCAAGATTTGGTAAGAGTCTACAACTAGAGTACAACTAGTCCAAGGCTGACCTCTAGTTGTGAAAATGTATATCTCATAGTAAAATCTATCACTCTTGAAACCCTGTTGTTCATAGTTTAAATAGAAAAAAGGTGAGGAAAAAGCAAATAACCTTTTTTTTTAATTTACTCTCCCTTTTATAAAACTATTATTAAACAACAGAAAGCAACACTGACCAATAGCTTCTTCTGTCTGGTGACATTTGGGTTAATTACATCTGCTGTTTATGAGGCAAGATTGACATTTTTTCGACCAAAGCAATGGACTTTACTTTTTGAGAGAGAGTCCCTATGGGTCTGTACACAAGGGGAGTTCAATGTTTTGTAAAAGACGACTAATGACACTGAAAGCACTGCGCTGCACTGCTGCAAACTGAGGACAGTGTCATACAAGGGTGCTGCATATTTTCTAGTCTTGTATATGACTGTAGTGCAAGAAGAGATGAAGAAATCGATGAAAATAAAATAGTTTTACCAGTTTTGGTCACCACTCCTCATTACAGAGGAAGCCAGGCACAGCTTCTCCCTGACTGACCAAGGCTCTGTTGGTCCCACATTCAGTATTTTGTGTTCTGTGAGATACAAAGAGATTAAATCAAAACGCGTCCGTGTGATCTTTTAGTTAAAGATCTGTTCTCAATATGAGGACGGTCAGAAATTCGGGTCCACACTTATTATCTTTGTTCGGGACAAATAAAGCCTGGTAGTGGTCCTGTCCTCAACAACACACATGTGACAAACTGCACAAACAACCAGCAAGAATTAAATAACCACGTAGCTATTATAACGGATAAACTGACAAACATTAAACAAAGAAACCAAAAGCAGCCGCTTTGATTCGCTTTTTTTTTTAAATGAATCATTCATTAAGGTAAGATAGCTATCTTCTGTTAGCAACATTGTTGACAATATCTTGCTAGCTAGCATCATGTTTTTATTATATATCAGTGTATTTCCTCAGTCAAATAAAGACGTAAGAACAATTCAAACAATTGATGAAACACATTAGTAAATGGAAAATACACTGAAGTGGGCAAACATGCTTTTTATATCAGTAAATGATAAATAGTGTTTTGAGCTTAGCAATACAGAATACGGGGGGCACATTCATGAGACACACACGGCACTACATTGTGTAAGCGTTATTAAATATGCACCTGGCTGCGAGGGAGAAGTAAACAAAATAATTTACAGTATTTAAAGTTTTCTTTTGGTTTAATTTTTGCTAGAAACCCCTCAAGAAATTTAAAAACATGGAAATACTTACTGCCGATGCCGCTCGCCATTTTTAACCAGGCCCGTGAGCTCCACTTCCGCCGGAAAGTTTTCAGAGGGACACACAAACGTAACAATGGCACCGAGCGGCGAGCGGGAGGGTGATGCAGTAATAGATTTACAGGGACTGTTGCTGATTAATGATGAAAATGTTTAATCATTTAACAAAAAAAAAAAAAAAAAAAAATGAAATGGTTGACTTGGGATAGCTGAGATCTCTTACCGATAAGAAACGTGAAGAGAGAAAAGATTTCAATCCCCTGTCATTGTTGTGCAGAGTCACCCAGCTGCAGTCCGAGTCACTAATTAATCCTAACCACCTCCAGTCAACCCCCCTAATGGACACCAGCTCAGAATACTGTTACCAAATCATCCGAAATAAATGCATACAGCAGGCTACATTGCTAAATATCCAGTCTTTAAATGTGTGGGTGGGAGGCCAAATGCAAAGCCATCACAAAAACACCAATTCAATGCCCTTAATGTCACACACCTCTGACTACGATTGGCAATACATCTGGAGGGGGGCAAAAATGTTCCTCCTCACACTGTTATCACAAATAGTTATGTTTTCACTATTTACTTACCCATAAAAAACAAAGGCCTCCAACCTGATCCAAGCGGAGGGCCCACGTGAGAAATTCAGTTGATATAAGATTTAGTCATGTCAATGCATATCTGATTGAGAAAATGTCAATTTTTCACGTTCATTATACCTCGATGACTGCATTTTAATGTGCTTTAATTGTTTTTTTATTATTATGTACTGTGTCATGATTTGGGACATGCTTTAAAAAAAATACATATGTGTTTGTAGAATGGGCCAGTATACCTCACGTAGCAGATTACCCCAGGAACCCTTTGCATAAAACAGTCGTAGAGAAAGCTTAGAGTGAGATTTCCTTGGGGGTGATTGAAGATAATTATTAGTATGATAATCTAATAAATACAACGGAGTATGAGGGCCACATTAAGAAAAAAAAACGTTTTTAAATCTTAGAGAATAAAGTTATTATTTAGGAGAATAAAGTCTTTAATATATAAGAATTAAGTAGTATTTTAGTTACCTAAGTTACCTGTTGTGGAGGAGGGTTGTTAAAATCAGCACTGTGGAGCATTTAGATGAATTGTATTTTAGTATAGGTTCCACAAACGTGGAGAAACTTAATCCTTTGCTACATCAGCATTACACTGTCATGAGTATCAGAACTTTAAAAGAATGTATGAGAAATGCTGCTTTTGTTGAGGGGGAAATGGTTGGAAATGGCTGTACAGAGGCTAAATTCATCAATTCAGCTGTTAATAGCAATAGCATAGGGCTTTAGTTTATCATGAGTTTATCTGCCATGAGGTGTTGAGGTCTCTGCATGTGTAGGTTACTGACTTACTGTAATCATCGGGTCTTTCTCGTCCTTATAAAAACCTGCTCTATTTCGGCGAGTGTCTGTCTTCTTTTGTAGTCAAGCAGCAAGATATCAAAATCTACCCGGATACAGCAATGCTGCTTTTTGACTGGCTGTTCAGTAGATATACTTTATTTGATCGGCTTGCGCGTGGCACGCAGCTTCTGAACTCTCGGAGTAACTCGGTTGATTTCTACCTGTTCCATAGTTAAAGAGGTGCAACTTGGTGAACATCACCATGGTCATTTATTTGAAAAAGCTTAAAAACATTTGTTAAACCTGAAATTAGTCATTGAACTTCATCTTTTTCCACAAATACACCAAGCCTTCTGTATTTGAGAAAAGCCTCTTGGTGAAGAAAAACATAAAACCAGCATTGTTCATCAGTTTCAGTTTGATACCAGCATTGACAAAATTTATTTTTTCACACAGTTGTTCTTCTCTTTCTTTCAACAATAAACACTTGTAAAGATGTGTAAAGAAGCAATTAAATGAGACCATTCACAAACATTTAAATATTGGTAGTCTTTATTTCAACAAGACTAAGAAATGTTGTTTAATATACATTTTCTTTTACATTTTAACATCTATCTCATCATGTTTTTCCATAACATTAAGGAGATACTCTGACAAGTAAAAATCTGGTTTCCTGTTATGGCCTCTTTTAGAGACATCTAAAACGGCTGCTCTTTATTTACACATTTTTCAGTCTATTCAGTCACTCATCAGAAAATGAGTCCTTCTGTTCTTGTGGGCCAAAGGCTGATGAACGCTTAAACAAAAATCCATTTCAACTTTCTGACTGATGTTACTTTATGGATCCAATGTACAACATCCAGGAGCCGGACCAGCTCCTGCCAGCCGTAAAGTGTTGCTGCCCTGGCCCGCAAGCACAGACATTCACCATCATCACCCAAAACATTTCTTACAACTCTCAAAAAGCTGGGTGTCTTCACACTCAACACAACTCTTCCACATGACACAAACACATGCACAAGCCCTTGTAGAAATGTAGGTGGAACATAAAATTGTGAGAACTGAACTTGTCACATGCAGAAGTAATGCCTAATCAAGCTGCTGAAGCACAGCTTCATTATTTTCAGTTAGGGCTTCAGTATTTCATGGGCTGATTTGATGTTTTAACAAATGTTTCAGAGTTAGATTCCTCTTGTTAACGTTTTCCAATTCTGCTGAATGGATTTCTTAGAAGAAATGTACGCGTTAGCTTACAATCAACCTGTCAATATCGAGGCCAAATGAGGTGAAAAGGTCGATGGTTCAGTATTTTTACAAAATGCATAATCAACCCCCTCCTCTTTAGTTTAACCAATCACGTTGAGAAATGTAAGATTTCAATGAACACTGTATTTTGAATAATCCATATCAGTTTATGAGAAGTGTGTTTGCAATGAAATAAAAATATGCATAAGTTACTGTACAAAAACTACATGAGGCAGCATCATTTTGGAGATGAAATGGCCAGGTAATGCGACTCACAGACCTGATCAAATTAGAAAAAAAGAAGACAATTCTTTGTTGTGCTTGTCAGCTGTTACCAAAACCTCAAACACCCGTCAGGGAATTGTCGCAGACACAAGATAGAGAAGAACATTTATATTGTTTTCTGCCTCATGGAGTAGCTAATAATGTACCACGGTTTTACAAAAAGATCAGGCACCATATATTACATGAATTTTGGTAGCACTTGAGACAATACTTAAACAGTTTACTTAAAGTTTTCACAATAACAATGTGAGGTTGAGGATAGGTAAACCAAATGGATCAGGATGAGTCTATTTATACTGACACCGGTCATTCTGGAGGTACGAGTGTGTTCTGTGGGATGGGGGATGTGGGCAGAAAATGAGCCCCCAAAACTGTGCACACTGACCAAAAGTGCCCCAATAACTGTACACACTGTTCTCTTCAACCACCTTGAACTAGCTGTAAAATCCACTGTAGTACCTAATATATATCTTCATACCAAAATAGCTAAAAATTACAACACCTCTTCAACATAAAACCCTGTATTAAAATAATCTTTTCTTGATTTCTTTTGATCAAAGCATTGTCTTTTGTTCCTCTCTAGTTAAATGTGAAACACTCTGAACACCGTTTCTTTTCAAACAAGTAAGACTGTATAGAGTCAGGTCCTCTGTGCTGAACTGAGCTTACAGTACCAAAAGGGGCATTCAAGACTTGTCAGCTTTGCCTTCTTGAGGGGTAATGCCAGGGGAGTCCTTCCTCTCTCTTAACAGTTACCTTTCACCTGGATGCTAGCTACATCTCTCATCTTTATCAGACACTTTCAGCTCAACACCACTAGATTGCATTGACAATGACAGCATGCGTGAGGTACGATCTTATGAATGAACTGTTTAAGCTGAAGACATTAAGTTAAAATGAGGAAATTAAACATTAGGTTGTTACAATACTAAGAGCGGACATGCAATATGCATGTTTGAGCTTGCAGAGCACCAAAAAAGATCTTAAAAATGATTTCATCTCCCCAGGTCAAACATCAATACCTGTGCTTTGACTTATCTCGCTGTTTTTCTTGGAATGAGCTGAAAGATTTGAATGTTTCTCCAAAGCAGAGGGACAAAAGTTCAAACTGTTTCTTAGATGAGATCAACAGCTAGCTTCATAACTTCTAAATGTATGCTAATGTATTAAATGTATTAACAGACAAAACACTCACAGTATGCACATTCATAATGTACAACAATGCTTGATATGAATAATTAACATTCATGAAAAAACATTATGAAGATCCTCAGAAATATGAAGGTATGTCCTGTCACAGGCACTTAATGTTCAACCTAACACTTTGCATACTATTTAGTCACCAGATGGCAATCAATGCAGAAGGCACATTTATGAATCATTAATTAAATTGCCAAAAAATGATGATAGTTTGTTATGCTGCAAGCAAAACCATAGTGTGGCTCCAAAAGAACCAAAAGTAGTGAAGGTTTATCTGGGGAAAAGGTCGATGTCTTGAAAAGGAAATCCAATCGCTCTACACTGATGTCCTTAAAAACATTAAAACAAATAATAAAAGGTGACGTTATTGTGATATTAAGAAGAGTCTTCCTCCCCAGTGGCGGACAGTCTAAGGTCCTGAAGGCAGTCTTAAGAAGTCTTTCTGGCAGTTTTCCCCTTCATTCCATCATTCCTGGTCTTTCTCTTCCTCTCCCTGCCCAGCCAGTTTTATCTCAGATGAGGAGCAAGCAGGGCCAGGGCCAGCCCGCAGAGCGCCAGCGCCATACTCCTGTGTGAGACAGCTGCAGGTGAAGGATTACCCACCCCCACTTGATCGACCCGGGGATTGCCAGGGTTTGGTGGGGTTGAGAAGTAGATGTCCGGGTCGTCGTCACAGGAGGGGGAGTCACAACCACTGCCACTTTCCTCTTCTCCGCTGCCTCCGTCATCTGGGAAGAAGGGACAGTTTAAGACGAGTGCAATGACAGTTTGACAAATAAAGAGTGAAGTGAGAGAGTTTGGCATCCTCACCAATATCAGTGGAGATGTCATTGCCACTGTGTGCAGCTTTGAGCCAGCTCGTCATTTCCTTTAAAACTGCAATCTGACTGCGGATCACAATGTCTGGCTTTGTGATGTCTACATCCACGTCAGGGTTTGACACCTGATTGGCCAAGCCATTGCCAATGACAACTGACTCGTACCTGTAAAGAGTGAGAATCAGAATAAATTAAGGTGAAGGGCTGCAGTATCACACTTCACAGACAGTCTTGCATGTGGTGTGCAGCTTACCTGCTTTTGGCTGTTCCGTTCCAGCACTCATCTCCAGGTGCAATCCTCTCTCCTGCACAAACCGTTTCTGGCAATGTGGACCAGAACTTCTTTGCATGTTTCAGCTTCTTCTTAACATCACTAGTCTGCAAAAAAGGGGAAAAAAGTCAGGAAATGACTTAATGACTTGCGGCAAAAAAATAAAAAATAAGAAAAAGTCTGACTGTGCTCTGGGGTTTCTTTTTTTTTCCAACAATGTTTTAATGAGAACAAGGTAAAAAGAGACAGTAATCTAAAGAGACAATATTTTTTGAGTTTTCTCAGAACACATTAACAAACACCACCCCCCAACATCCAGTGCATCCCATTTTAAGGAGATCAAACGTGTAAGTAAATAAATAAGTAAAAGGAAGGACAAAAAAAAAGTGGAAGTAGGTAATTTGACAGTCGAGTTTAAGAGCAAATGAAGAGGCCGTGCTTGCTGAGCAACATCATGCATCACCCTTCAGAGTGTAGTACTAGTGGATTCACGAGTTATCAGGGAGGGTTTTGAGTTTGTTTATGAAAGACAGGTTCCAGGGGGGTTCCAGGTTCTTGTCACTTTTTTATTCTGCTATTTCTGTTTGGCCTTGATCAATCTAATCTCAAGTAAACATCCACCAGGACCCACTGTGGTTCAGTCACCTACAGCACAGTACATTCATTCATGGATATTGGCTAATGCTACTGCTCCCTGATGCATCATCAACAACATCATCTCCAGCAGTATTAAATCACATGAGGACGGGCCCTGGTGGACTTTTTTCTGAATTGACCAACCTCAACAGCTGCAGGAGCTCTGGAAATAGTGTGAAACAAGAATGGCCTTTGTTTGAAAGTAGGTTAAAACTGTGGACAGGGCTCTTGGGCTTTCTTATAAAGTAGTTTTTATGTAGTGAAATATGAACTCAGTTAGCCTGCCAGACACCAAACAGACATACGATACAAGGGTTTGTGTAACTCAAGTGTGCTGCATCCTAGCTGTTCATTCATCATGTTAGACTTGAGGTGGTCCTTACCAGTCTATCTAGACTGGTGCCAGCAGCAGTAGTCGGCCTAGCATCAGGACTGTAAGGGCGGAAGCGGCCGGTAAAGCCTGTTTCCTTGATTGATCGAGTGGACCGGTACGCCATGCTTTGTTTAGGCTGCCCGCATCCTTGGAAAACCTGTGAGAAATCAACAAGAATAACGCAGAGTGAGTGTGAGTCATTACCTTTTTTTTTTTTTCTTACTCTGTCTTCAAACACTGAGAAACGATTCTGACCTTTTGGGACACTTGCATGCTGTTCTCCTGCATGTTCATGATGGCGTCTGAGATCTGCACATCAATGGGATCCATGACAGACTCAAAGTTGAAGGGGCCTTCGAGCCTCTCAGCCAGACCAAGCATGGCATCTACAATTAGAGGGAAAGAGGAAAAAAAACACCACAAGATGTTATAAAGTACCTCTTAATGCATTACAACTAACAGCCACTAGGGGGAAGCACATGCCTACAAGTGGAAGATTGTTAATGGATGAAACAGACATGGCAGATTCAAGCTGCCGAAACTCTCTCATAGTAGCTGTGTCAGCAGATGGGGAGAGACTCTAATAGCAATGTGAGGAACTTATTTTAACGGAGTGTACCACCCTGAATGTGACTGAACTGTTCTGAGTTTGTATGTCTACAAAAAAAAAGAAACACTCAAACGGTGAGTAAGACATGTTCATGCCCTCTTTCTAAGTGCCGGCACACAGAAAAATCAAGCATAAGGAGTGGGTGTGTGTGGGTGTGTGTGTGTGTGTTTAAGTGTGTGTGTTAGTTATACATGTTTTTACCATACATACACAACAGGCCAAAAGTTTGGAAGCAAGATCAGATTTGTACAAAAAAAGATCATAGTCTCATTAATATACTTTGCAACACAATAAACATGACTATTGTGTAAAGAGTAACTTAGCAGAAGACATTTTGACTATAATTATAAGGTATTTGAGTTATTGTTCCTTAGACTTTGCTTTTTTTAAAGTAACCTCCTCTGGCTTTAACAACAGCTTGGCATGTACCAGGCATTCGTTCCACAAGTTTTCTAAGGTATGTTCCAGGGATTGCATTCCCTGCTGATTCGTGCTACACACTTTTCTGACCGATCGATCCAATTCATCCCATACAAGATCTATTGGAGAAAGGTCTGGAGACTGAGGGGGCCAAACCATCTTTTGAAGAACACCCTCCTCTTCTTTTTTGTCTAGGTAACCCTGACAGAGCTTGGCAGAATACTTAGGGTCATTGTCTTGCTGCAAAACAAACTTATGAGCCACAAGTTTGAGTCCAGATGGAGCAGCATGGTGCTGGAGGATGGAGTGGTACTGTTCCTTCTTCATGATACCCTTTACTTTAAACAAAATCTCCTTCTCCATCACCTGCAAAACATCCCTATACCACGGAACTACCACCTCCATGCTGAATTGTGGGTGTAACTCATGGTGCTTTCAGACGTTCACCAGTTTGTCTGCGGACATAGACTCTGCGATTTGAACCAAAGAGCGCAAACTTGCTTTCATCAGTCAAGAGAACTTGTATCGTTTGATTTTGAACGATTCCAATTTCGATTCCTCATTTCGATTCCGATTCCTATCGATTCTCTAATTCGATTCTTTTAAAAGGCAGGATATCAAAAAGAAAAAAGAAAAAAATGTTTGAATGAGGGCGCTAACCGGGGCTCTTCTTTTTGGATGAAATTTCTGAACTTCTCCATGAATTTTTAAATCCTATTAACTTTTTAAGAACTTTACTATGAATTTCTCACAGAGCTATTTTCAACCAGTATATAAATATCAATTTTTGTTTTCAGGTCGTTTGTCTATGAAAAAGTACAAGGGCTAACGTTAGGTGGATATTTAAGTTTACTCACCGTACACAGTTCAATTTCTTTACCGGTTTAAAGTTAGCAGAGGACAGAAGTAATTTATTGTTTCACTTATCTGATCCTGACTGGTTAGCGGAAGACAGGTGTTGTGCTGTAGAATGCACCCCTGCCGTAGAATGCCTCCCCTCCACTGATTAGCTTCTTAGTGGAAGAAATATGATCTCATATTTAATAAAACACGGGTATTAGATCATGAAAACGTGTCAAATGGAGCAGTAAACTTTCGTTTTGTTTGTATGTGTCTCAAAAATGCACACATAAAGGTGTACTTGGGTATATAAACTGTAGAGTAAGCTGTTAATGTAGAGAACATAATATTTTCAGGACAGTAAATATTCCGAATCAGAGGGCTATTGTTTTCGGCATATCTGAATAGCCTGAATGAAATCATTAAAGGCACACGCTTTAGATTCCGTCCAACGGTAAGAAAAACTTGGATTGTTTCGCCTTGTTGTGTACTTTCAACCGCGCTCCCGTCAGGGGTGCATTCTACGACACAACACCGGCGAAGCGCGTCAAAGACGAGCACTCGGGTATTTCTCCTCCATGAATCCTGAGGCGTTTAATCACGTTGGTCGTTTACCCTCCTTTGCATGATATAACTGTATTGCTAATGTTGCATTGAGATAAGAGTTCATTCTTCCTGCTAAAGTTAGCCAAACTTTTGACCAACGAAGAAGAAGCTGCCGAACACCAACGAGGACGGAGCGTACGAGACGAAGTCACACAGAGAGAGGAGAGAGACAGAGAGAGATTACATTGTAACCCACAGCGGCTGCATTGCTGTGGGTTGCAATGTACTTTCTCTCTCTGTCTCTCTCCTCTCTCTGTGTGGCTTCGTCTCATACGCTCCGTCCTCATTGGTGTTAAGCGGCTTCTTCTTCGTTGATTTTCGGCGGCTATTTCTTCCGGTCGGCGGACTCTGGCATCGAAACTTGGAATCGAAATTTTAATATTTGAACGATACCGGAAGAATCGAAGTTTTAGTCCCGATTCCCATCGATTCTCGATTCCCAACCCTATTCATCAGTCAAGAGAACTTGTTTCTAGTCATCATAAGTCCAATTTTTGTGAGCTTTTGCCCACTCATATCTCTTTTTCTTGTTCTGTGGACGAAGTAGTGCTTTTTTGCAGATACACAACCCTTCAGACCAGCCTTTCTCAAACGTCTTTTCAGTTGTCAGAGATATGGGTTTCGACCTTGTTATGTTGATTTCCTCCCTTATTTGTGGTGCTGTCTTTTGCCGATCTCTCTTACTGGTGACAATGCTATGTTTATCCTCTGCTCTTTCGTCCAGGTCTTTTTCTATCATCATAACTTCCAGGTTCCTCTAGTCTCTTCAGAGTGTGGTGGACTCCTTTGTTTGGCACCTTTAGGCGTTTTGCAATTTCTCTTTCTGTGTATCCTTCTTTCCTCAATGTACAAATCTGTACTTTTGTTTCTTTACTCAGTTGCTTCTTTCCAGACATTTTTTGCGGTAGTTTGAACGCAGTTTAGATTTATTAGGATTTTTGTATGCAGACTCTCAAAAGCCAAAAAGTTGAAGTGAATAATCCAACTGTGATTTGTTTTTTTGCTTTTGCACTGAAGTTGTGACTCTTGCAAATGTTTTCGACCCTGCAGCTAAGCCCTAATTTTCTTTTGCTGACATATATTTAGCAGTGGTCTGTTAACATTAATGTATATCTAAAGGTAAATGGAGTAAAATGGTGCATTTCCATGAAAGCAACATCTGATCATGGAGTAAATACATCCCAAAATACATACAACTCATGCTGGATTTAAAAAAATGGCCTTGCTTCCAAACTTTTGGCCTGTAGTGTACATGTAAAAAAACATCTATATATTAGTGTTCTATTCATGAATCACATCAGTCACCACAATGGCAGCATGTTCGGGGAGTTTGGATCAGATCAGGGGATTTTTTTTGTGAAATCTAGGCACTGCTGTGGTTCCTTGTATGAAATACTCCCACAGTCATGTATTCGAGCTCAGGAAGGTCTAACCATGGCTGCAGAAGGTGCTCTCGTTTACATGACTGATGCTGCTTACCGAGGAAGTTGTTCCACTCTGTGTCCAAGTCAGCCTGGTTGGCCAAACATCCGCGCATCACATTCAGGCAGTAATTCTGGCAGGGTTTCGCCACTTGGCCCGAGCAGTAGGGACAGTACAACATCTTCATGGCCGCTCGCACACAGCTGGGGGATGCGCTGACCTGGAGGAGGAACAGGGACTTTTAGCAGTCTGTTATTGCAGCCCAGCACAAACACTCATCCACCTCCACCATAGATGCATACTTAGACTGTGAAAAAGCACGGTCATCCTTTTTATTAGCAAACTCTACAGCAGTATAATCTAATCATCAATGACTCACTCACTGCGGTGGAAAAAACATGCCATAACAGAAGAGCCAGAGTGGTTTATGTTATCAGAGACACTGTAATGGAGCCAGTGTTTCCAGGAAAGATATGAAAGCAGAACCCTACAAGGGAGGGCTGGACAGAGCTGTAAGGACCACCTTTTCAGCACTGAGTAGCAGAGTGAATGCTGCGAGATTACTAAGCAAAGACAAAAGCACCTCTCACTCACCCTCGAAACTTTATTGACCACGTCTGGCATTAGCGTCAGGCCACGAACAAATGTGCGTGCAGCCACAAATGATCGTGTCAGCTGGATCCGAAGCTTGCGGGGCACATCACCAAAGGGCTGCAGCTGCTCCGTGTGCCGGCTGACACACTCCATGTAGGCGTCGCTGAATTCGTACTGTACGTTGACCAGCCGAAACATCCTCTCCAGGAGATCAGCCCAGAAGTCAGACAGCATGGAGTCCAGGTTGATAGCAGCACTTCCAGACACATAGTACCGAGTCAGGGCCTCGAAAAAGTTCTTGAACAGTTCTGCATTCTGCACGTACATCATCCCGTAGGTTCGCACAAACATGTTGTGGAGGGAGACCTCTGCATTTTTCAGGAGCTCGCGGAAAAACTCTGAGGAAAAAGAAGAAGAAGAGGGGGATTAGTATGATGGGTAAAAACAACTGCCAGAAAACAGACCAAACACAGTTCACATTTCATGTCCGTCTACAGGGACAGATTTGTTTTAAAGATGACAAAGAAAACTGAATTCATATGATGAATAACATGTTGCTCCATCCAGCTGGGAGTTGAGTTTATCTGTCTCATACTCAGTCACTTCACATTGTTATCTGTGTTGACAAAAAGATTTTCGCTTTGGAGGTTCCTCGTCCCAAAACATGAAGAAAAACAAAAGCAGATGTGCAGACATTGCAGCACGATGACAGACCCGATCAATAAATAAAAATAGCTTCAGTCTGAACGGTACAGCTGTGGTGTTACTCCCAAAAGTCTGTACATGTGGAGCCCTCCACCCCCACCACTGATTCCTGATGTTGAGCCTGTCCTGCAGCCAGTATTTGAAGTTAGACCGCTGAATCTTCTGCCACACCTGTGCTCATGTCCTCCTGACTATGTGGGCTTGGGCGTAAAATCTCGGTTGAAAGGCAAAATAATGTGAGCTATGAGAAGGGATGTTTCGAAGTGGGAGATGAGGGAAGTGGAGAAGCAGTAGGGGTGAAAGGTGGAGCTGGAGCATCTCTGTCAGGCAGAACGAGCGGCGCTGTTCCTCGCCTCTGTAGACTTGCCATTCAGCAGAGACGTCTCTCCAAATCAAGCCGCTTCAAACTGACCACCATCAATGGCATTTTTCTGTTGTCACATTCCATTCGCTCTCCTTTCTCCCAGCTTCTCTTGGACTGTCCTTCAGAGACATTTTCAATAGGATTACTGAATAATGCAACCCCCCCCCTCCCCTCTTCCCCTCCCGTATATGGACCTGTATCCCCCCATCCAGGCCAGCATCTCCCTCCCTCTGCTGCTTTCACTTCATCAGTTCCTTCAGAGAGCTCTCTTCACTAGAGACAGGGAACAATGACCTACTTCATCCTAAGGAATGTCCATCACCCCCCTCACTGCTTTTCTCCACCCCCAATAATCCAGGCCCACTCTCCCACACACACACACCTCCTCCTCCACCCCCCCCCCCAACTTTCTTAATCTGAACAAAATGAGAATTCCTCGCAGTCTCTAAAAAAATGCTTCACCTTCAGTCTTGCATGCATGCGAGCATACACTCACCCCCTTTCACTCATCTTTTTTTTCTTCCATCCACTCACCCGCTGCCTCTTGCAGAGCTCTGGTCCTGCAGTTTCTCTGGGTGCCCTCTGTTTGGCTTTGAAATGTAAAGTTCCCATGCTCCCACAGAGGGAGTCACTAAACGCTCCCTGCCACCAGTACACACACACACAGTCCCCAAGTAGCGCTGTCACTTCCACTTCAGACTGACACACTAAAAAGAAAAAATGAGGTAGGGGAGGGGTGAGGGTGGCTTGGGGCGGGTTAAGTTGAGGGCTTTTTTAACTCCAAATCCCCACTGTGTCGCCAAGGATACCGGAAACACTGCAGCCCCTCCATTTACCTCCCCATCATCATTGCTCCCCTTTACTCCATCGCACGCACACGCATAGACAAACACAATGCTGGGGAAGAGGGGGCACCAAGTTCCACGCTCCATTGACAGAGATTAAAACAAAAGGTCCACCCTCGGCCCTGGAATGTCAGAGCAGCTACAAGTTTAAAGTCAGTGAAAGGAGAGGTGGAGGAGGAACGGGCCTGGAAAGGAGGGACATCCCTAAACTCCTCTATTCTCTCTCCATCGTTTGATAGAGCAGTAACGCCTGTATGCTAAAAAGATAAGCCCTGTAATGAGTTTGGACAAACCTACTGCTTAAAGGAGAACAGCCTGAGCTCAGTGTTGGGGGGGCAGTGGCTGCAGGGTGGGGCTGGGGGTTGTGGGGAGCTTTTTTCACCAAGCGCAGGGTCTGAAGTATGAGCAGTATTACACAGGCATCTTGCATTGTCATTAAAAACAGTTTATGACACACAGCCGTCTGCCAACAGGCCGAGAAGCTGAGCACTCCCTCAGGATTTTTCCATTAAAAAATGCGCCTGTCGCTCGGCCAATGGTCTGCCAGGATCTGGGTGAAAGGTTGCGTGGTGGAGTGTGAAGCTCTAGCCAAATGTAAGGAAAGAGGACAACTCAAGCCTCCTCTGTGAGCAGCATCCATCTTTTCCTTCCGCACTCTCTTTTCCTGTCATCATTCCCACATGTTGCAAAGAAAGCTCTAAATTATGAGCGCTGATCTTAGGCCCAATCCATCACAGGAACAGAGGAGCTGACCGATCTCCTCCCACCAGTTCCCTCCTACTTCCTCCTCTTCCCCTCACCCCCACCAGTGGCCCTATAAACTCTGCTCCTCCCAATCCCAGCCCAGGCTGTAATTGCATCCTATTTGTGCCAATTAGTCCCTGCGCTTCTCCCTTTTCTTTGGGGTTGGGATTCTGTCCCTCCTGCTGTTGTACTTCAGTGCATCAGAGGGAAATCTCATGCGTGTGTGTGTGTGTGTGTGTGTGTGTGTGTGTGTGTGTGTGTGTGTGTGTGTGTGTGTGTGTGTAGAGACAAGGGGCCTTAATCCCAGTGCTTAAATTCCAGACATAGGCTTGCTCTGTTGGACGGGGTCAGTGCAACAGGACAGACAGGCAGAGGCCAGGACAAACACACAGAGAGAGGGGAGAACTATTTCTGGCCCAGGTCTTAATTGGCCATGACTCCTTGCTCCAGGCGCATGATGAGAGCCTGCCTAATCACATACACCACTTCCTGAGTTTGTTAGTGTGTGAGTGCATGTTGTTGCATCTGCCTTTATGTGCAGATGCAGCTGTGTTTATCCTCGTATGCATCTGCTCTCCGGAGCTGTTCGATGACACGACCGTCTTTTTTAGAAACCGCAGATACAATGCCGGGCACTTCCTCCTTCTAGGTGTCTCAATGCGACAGCAGGAAATAATAGGACAGCAACCTGAGCCTGTCACTGAATCCAGTGAGAGAGACGGTCTAATGGCCAAGCTGGAAAAGAGCACAGCAGGCCTTTGTAAAAAGACCCCACATCTAACAGTTCAGAGACAGCAGCTACTTATCTACAGTGATGAGGAGGGGGCACGAAGGGGAGGGGAGGCAAGTAAAGGAAGCACAGCAAAGGCTTTCGCCATCAGATTGAGGGAGAAGAAAAAGAAAACTCTGGAGGTGATCAGGCTCGGTGTTGTGGTATGACTTTAGCACAAGTCTGCTGTGATGTCTGTGTTGTAGAAAGTTTTCCTCAAACAGCATCAGCATGGGAGTTTCTCGTTTTATACTAATGGAAGGTAAAAGTTTGACACGCACTTTAAAAACTTTCAGCTAAAATCCAAACCAGGGCTGGGTGGACAATAATTGACCTCATTTTTGCCCATGTCAATATATTCGGTGTTAAAAAAATCAATAAATAAAAGTTGGTTTTGGATGTGTGTAGGTAGGCTATGGTCTCATGTCCCTTTAAGACGCTGTCCTACGTCAGAAATGTGACTCCACCCCATCCAGTCCGTAACAAAGAGGGAAAGACAGGTGAGGAGATGGAGGACAGTTCAAAAGTTGGAGCGGCTGGAGCAGCAGCTGAAGTAGAAGAAGTTAATGTGGGAGGGGGTGAGCAGCTAGTGAAGTAGTTATCGTCCATTTATTGTTATCAAGGTCAACTGATCAATATATTGTGATATTGATTTGAGGCATTATCACCCAGCCCTAACACAAACGTAACTTCAGATTTTTAATAGTCATTTAAAAGGCTGTGGGACATGGTTCTGATCAGGATGTCCTGATGACAAACCCACCTATGGAAGAGGGGCTAAACTCGACATTTGTGACTGATTGGGGGTCAGCAATTTGATCCTCATCTCAGCCTGATTATTTACATCAGGTGTTAGAACCTGAGCACAATTAGAACACTTGAGTAACAGTAACTTAGTGTTTGCAACCAGTGTTGTTAAAAGGCCATTAGAGCGGAAATATTTCAAACTAGAGAGGACAAAAATTCCAAAAGCCTCTTGCAGTACATGTAACATGATATTTTTGAGAGTTTTCACCCAAAACTGACAATTTGATGCAACATTTTAAAAAATAAACATGCACAAGAACACAGCATGTTCACTAGAGCAACAGTGGAAAACATTGCTGCTCTACAAATCCTGGGCTAAAAAACGAAGGATAAATAACCCTGAGAGAGCAAAAAGGCCAAAAAGGTTAAAGGGAAGGTGGTTGACTGCACCGCTTCGGAAAATAAGTCAACCTCACTGAGAGAGAAGGTAAGCTTCCTGCTATGCTGGGAATTCTGGATAGAGTACCTTCTGCCAGAAGTTGTACGGCACAGTTCACAGCATTTCAGATGATGAAAAACATGATGTGACCGTCCTCAGGGGAATAACAGACATTTGAAGCTCTGAGTTTTGTCCAGAGTCCCCTGCTGGATTGATTCTTTAACATTTGATTTAAAGTGGAATAAATCAATAAATGGACTGAAGCTGAGGACAACTGTCAGCTAATTAAGTTCAAAAAGGGAGTGCAGCAATATTATCCAACTAAAAACAGTATCAGATCAGTAGATATTTAATACATCAGACAGGGTTGTGATTAGGGCTAAAAAAGTCTATTAGGACACCCCCAATTTAGATAAAATGTTCATCAGTTCCTCATAATCCAACATCATGAACTCTTAAATCTCATCTCTTTTTGGAGGATGTTTAAAAACCACACATGACCACAGACACTTCCAAATCTATCAATAAAAATAATGATAATTACCTCATCAACTGAGGCTCCAGTGGTCCAAATGAAAAGCAGCTGCAAAAATGTGACTCTAAATCAAAGCTAGTGTTTACTCTTTAACATATTTGAGCAGAATAATTGTTGCTTCAGTAAATACTCAGGGAAGAGGAATATGCTGTGAGGGACTCATTACATGGACCAAACTTCTGAACATGAACATTATCCGGAGAATCAATGAAGTATGTCAAAGCCAAGTTTTACAAGAAAGCAGCAAACAAGCTAGAAAATCTCAGCCAAAACAAAGAGCAGATTATTTTGTAAAGACATGCATGATGTTCAACCTTGTTAACAGAGCAGTGTAGCAGCAAAAGAAAGCAAGCTTTGAGGGGGGAAGAGAGAGAGGGTTTTTTGGAGAGTGAGGCATGAGATGGGGACAAAGGGCAGTAGGAGAGGAGAAAAAGAGGGGCGGGCCAGCTCCAGCAGCCACTGCATTCCGACACGTCACATTCCTGTTCACATCTGGCTGCAATACACACGCTCCCTATTGCTGACTATCCCTCACTCCTTTTCACAGACACATAAGATCTAAAGGTCTCTGACCTGCATATGGGCATCAATGTGTACAGCACATGAAACCATGCTCATAACCAACCATTACAAGAAAACTAACAATGTATGCAGGAGCTTTAAACTATAAAAACTAGCTTTTCTCTTCCGTCAGCTAACGTTTCAGGAAAGTTAAAGTCTCCTCCTCTTTGACCAATCAAATGCATTTTCCAGCAGAGCTGCAGTAGTGGCACAGTTGGGAGGTTTAGGGTGGTTGTAGCTGCCCCACTTCCTTGGTGACTCAGCACTGCTGCATGTTCCCATGCGCTCTCAGGGAAACCTGATCCCAATATTTACAGGCATACACACATGTGCACACACACAGAGGAACAGGAAGTACAGAGAAGACTAAATCTGAAGATGTGTGTGGTCCGTCTGGAAGCGTGCATGTCTCTCTGGAGAGAAGGGAGGTGGGTAGTGGGGGACCAAGCTGTGTGTATGGGGGGGATGAGGCACAGAGTTGAGACATTGAGAGACAGGTGGACAGACCAACAGACACAGACTGACTGTCTCCGCTCCAGGCAGTGCACTGGCAGGTGGAAGCGTCCATCAAAAACCCCGAAACACAAGTGTAACTTTGAGGACACTTGCCAATGGCACAGCGCTGCCTGAACGGCAGCTCACATTTGTGAGTGTTTGCAGGTGTTTGTGTGTTTGCTTACTGTCAAAGTGGTCGTGTCTCTGTCTGAAGGTGGATTGTAGGTTGGTGCTAAGCCTGGAGACGGGAGCTTTGATCTCTGAGTGGCTCTGCTGGCTCAGCTTCTCCTCCATCTCCACCGTGCAGCACGAGAAACCCTGTGGACACACTTTTAATGGAGCCCCTGGAAAAAAAAGGAAAAGGGAGAGGAAGAACAATATTAAAACACAGGGTTAGATTAATATGGCTCATTTCTTACTTGTTGGAGACACACATTGAACACTTTCTTGCTGTAAAAATAGTGATTTATAACCTCATCCCTTGCCTGATCAAAAGCACCTTGGCTGTGAAGAAACACTTAACTGCACTTAAGTGGATTAATTGCAACTCTCCGCTCAGAGCAGTCTTTAGCCCGACACTTTATAGAGCCGTGCTCTTATCCTGGCTCTTCTCTGGGCTGATTGATAGCTCTGTGCTTTAGCCTCCTCTGAGGGCCATGTCCTACTGAAAGAGTTGTAAGAGGAGAGGATCTGCTCAACTCCCACTTTGAGTCCAGGTGTAAACAGATAAAAGTCTGTTTTGGAGCTCTGGCCTACACCAACATTAAGCAGCATTTAAAAAAAAACAGTCTAATTTCTTTAAATGTGGAAAGTGAAAGTCTTTTGTCTGTTCCAGCTTCTTCTCAAAAATGCATATAAATGACTTCCATGTGACATCAGGCATCTGACTGTGACAAGATTGATTTTTGAAAGGTTAATGCGGTCTTTGAACAAACAAACTGGAGACTCCATGAGGAAAAACAGTATAGAGCTGCTGGTCAAAGTCAACTTACGTGCCAGAAGTAGGACAGATTTCAAGTGTTTTAATTGTGATGGCATAAACAATATTTTGAACAAGACAAATTCTAGCTGTTCAAACATTTTTTTTAAAACCACAGTTTAAGCATGAACAGAAAACTTCAACATAAACAACTGTGCTCTTCTTTTATCTAAATCATCCTTAAAAGTCTACATACTGTCTCTGATAAATCTGAAATAAAGAGCAGCTGCAAACTCCGTCAAAAGTGAGCTGAACAACCAATTAAGAGTCGGGTCAGGGGAGGACGAATGCAAAGTTGCAGCTGCAATAATGTTTTGTTTTAAACGTGGCTGTTGGAATCTGGGAGAACACAGGGATCCTTTCACGGCACCCAGGCACCAACGGCTTGTTTAGTTTTCCCCACCAGCTTGTGCTCACTGACTCAAAGCCTGTGTGCTTGTACAGGTTACTGCTGCTTCTCGGGGGCTTTAATATTACCTGTAGTGTTTTCCAACATTTGCTAAAAGATTCACTTAACATCCCAGGCCGCTTTGGTCCTGAGAGCTGATGCTGACTTTAGTTTATACAGGATCTGCAGTGAAACATGTTATAAATCTATTTTAATTTGAAAAGCCGTACTTGTGAAGTGTTCTTGTTTATTTTAAAAAGATGTTTAGTTTACTCAAAATGAAGGAAAAAACGGTGTCACTGGGTCTGAGTTGACCTGAATGTTTGACAAAACACTGCTCCGTGTTCTCAGTTCAGATTGTTCAAGTTACCTCGTTAGTTTTCAGTCTCCAATAAAAAGTTTGTTTTTTCCTCCAACATTAATATCTCCATAACAACTTCTGCCATTTGGATTTCTTTCTATTTGACATCTTGAAGTTGTTTTCATTCTTTGTGAGCATGCAACTGAAACGCCCATGGACCTCGATTAGAAAAATGGGGTTTCAGTTAACTATGTCGGCCCACATAGGTCGCACTTCTACTGAAGGAGAATTTAGATGAAGATGTTCCAACAGAAGTCCAGAGTTTTGCTGTCAGCATTACCACACTAATCATTACACACCAAACAGCACACTCAAGCTCAGTTTGGACCGTCAACTGCTATAAAACATGGGTGTAGTCTCAGTGACATCACCCGCTGGTCTACGAAGGAGACTTTCGAAGCCTATCGGTTGAGGTAGCCATATTGAAAATCCTGATTCAACCAAAGTCTCAGAAGACACAGAGATGACTTGATTCACGACCATAGGAGCCGATCTCATGACTTTTTTAATCTTCAAAACTAAAACAAAATGTTCCACACAGGGTAGGGCTGTCACTTCCTATCCAAAATTTTAAGCTTCATTTGAACTCTAGCAAAATAAAAGTTCATACTTAGGCTGTAGTAAGCTGTTCAGCAGAGGGTGCTCTCGTCGTAACCTGACCATTGCATGCACTCTTGACCTCAGTTAAATGATGCAGTGATGTTATTCAACAAAAATGGAGGATAAGGTCAAAAAGAGATAAAGACTCTATCTATTTTCCTGTTCTTTTATTTTTCCATGTACAGTGTAGCGAAGGAGGAAACACCGGTGTACAACTCTTGAAGAACTGCAGTTATTTGCACCTCTGCATCGGCTTCATATTTCAAGACAGGAGGTTTCTCCTCGGTTTTGACTCGGCAAGCCAAACATCTCCAACTCAAAAGGCAAAACATGCTTGGAGAAGTTCCCAGCATGTCTGAAATAGCAGCTAAAAAGCTGAAAAATTTAACTACAGGGTCAGAAGTGACTCATAGTAACACAATCATCCAAACAGGGCACAAGAGGGAGGGATGCACCCTGGCGCCGTTAACTGGACCCCTCCGTCTGGGATCGGGTCCAAATAAGCCTCAAGTCACTCCTTCTCTCACAGTGCTCTCCCCAACTCATCGCTCCTCCTCCGGTCCTCACCCACAACTCCCTACTATACACGTATGAACATACACACGCACACATACGCAGGCCTGGCTGGCAGCCGCTACCTAAACATATTCACACATCACATCACTACTCAACACATGGCTCTTTGTACCAGCATGATTGGAGGTACATGAGGCAACACACACACATGCACACACACTCGACTTTAGGGTGAACAGACAGGCAGTCTCTCCTCCTGCAGGGCCCCCTGCCTGCCCACAGCACAGGCACACAATCAAAAGGGTTATGTCCACGTAGGAAATAGCCCCAGTTACCAAAGTACACAAATAAAGGTGAGATGGTCAATATTTCACAGGAATGTCTGAACAAATGTCACATTGTTAGCTCAAAGGATTAGGTCTCTGAAAACTGGAGATTCTTTGCTAATGCATACTTAGTGAAAACATTTTGGCAGCCAATATCTCAAACCACTGGGAGAAAAACGGCCCAGCTGGAACACGGGAGAGCGAACAGTTAACGAGAACAGTTAGATCCTCCAAAAGTCAACATCATGCCGAGGTTTGCGTGACATGTTTCAGCCTCGATGTTTCACAATAAGCTCGTCAGTCCATGCATCCGTCATTCCTTTACCATCCCTGGCATGAATAGTCTTTGTGTGTTGGGTGAACTGGCTCTCAGTTTCCTTACTGAGTTCTTTTCGGGGGCCTCTCCCTCCTTCAGCTGCCCAAGTACTTTCAGAAGTAATAAGACACAGAGACAGAACATTGTTAAAGTCTTGCTCAGAAGAGGAAAAGTGCCATTTATGGTGGTCAAAACAAGAGAGCAGAGCCTTGTAAACAAACATGTGACTGTGTGCCGTTGAATTCATCAGTCCTCCAACACTTCTCTGCTTTCCCTTTGTGGGAGGACCACCATCTCCTTTAAACGGCTCATAAAATAAGTCACTTCCCTTTGACATTGTCCTGCCTCTCAAACTCTGTTCTCAGAGGAAGGGTGGTGGGGGAGGTGAAAACGCCTCATAGACAAAAACCAGATTAGACACCTCACCGCCCCCTCTGCCTGCCATCATATGCCCCTGAACCAGACGGACCTTAGGGTGCCGCCACCTCTGCCTCCACCGCCACCACCCTGCAGGCTTAACCAGGGGGGTCAGAGGTTAACAGCCACTCCTCTGAGAAAGGTCTTGTCCTCTGACCCCCCCTGTCCACCAGCCAGCACATCCACCACACACACAGTAACTCAGCCCCTCCCGCTGTACCCCCATCACTCCAATAATAATACCACCAACACGCATACAAACTCCTCCCACACACACACACAAGTAATCAAGGGCTGCAAAAGTCGCAGACACATGCAAAACATATAAATAGTCCACTCAAACCCTCATATATGCCAATCTGAAGTCATAAAAGCTGCTCAGGGATTATTTCTGCACCCGTCTGAACTCTCTGAAAACCTCCAACGGAGCCGCGGCAGGGAACCATTCGCTGACGTCTGGAGCCTGCTGGTCTACCACTGAACCAAACCTGGACACTTTCTTGCAGACGTTGATTTTTTTTAAAGAAATTAAAGGTAAACTGTAAACTACTTCAAATCAATGTGAACACAAATTTAACCCCGCTAAACAAGAGGAGACTTAATTTAGACAATGAACGGTGTGTTGACATTCACGTATCCAAGTTGGTAAAGTTTCTGCATCCAAAGTTCAATTCTGATCTTGTTCAGAGTGAAGAATACAAAGCAGCACTTCCAGCTACAAAGGTTGACTAATAATTGGGGTATTATGCTCCTTGCTGTAACATGTAAGGGAAAGTGCTGCCAGTCTGCTGAGCATTACTCACACAGACTGCTGTAAATTTACACGCCCTGCAGCAATAACACTCTCCTGCTACTCAACTCGGTCGAGGGTGTTATTATCCTGCAGGGGTAAAGGGGGTTAAAGGATCGCTGCCATTTGCTGGATACCTTTCTGTTCTCCAGTCATGAACAACAACATGAGCTGGACCTGTTGTCTCTTTGAGAAACAGATTAGACAGTCAAATTTGTTAACTAGCTCAAACATGGACCATAAGGAGCGTGTTTGGAAAGAAGGCTGCAACACAGCTGAGTATCTCATTTCTAAAATGACAGCAAGTTGTTTTTGGGCCCAGTCCCTCTTTAATTCTTTCCTGTTTGAGCATGCTGTCGAACCCCCGTCATGCGAGATCTCTGCTGTTTCAGTTTGTGTATTTTAAAAGAGAAAAAAGCATCTTTTCAGGTCACATGTTCATTTTCTTTTTCTATTCATTTCAATGTTTCTAACATTCCTGATAATAAGTCTTCAGCAAAGAAATTAAATTAGCCCTTTGACTTGTGGCTTCATCAGTAAATAACTTCAAAGATAAAGTTTGTATTGACTTTGACATTTGGTTTTGACACAAGGTTAACAAGTGTACTCAGAATGATGGATGTGCTGCACGTGATAGTTTTATTTCAACAATAAATCTATAAAACAAGTAACAACCATCAGTTTCCCATTTTTTAACCTCAAGCTAATTAATGTTGTATTTTTCTTCATATGACATTGAATATGAAGCTTTTAAATAGACGAGCTAACTAAGACCTGATTCATATTAATGGGCTGGAGGAGTAGCTGCAGGGGACTCAAACACCCACACACTTTCACATTAGGATACTGCTTACAACAACCACAGACTTCTGCTGGAGGGGATCGACCTCAGCACTTCAAATCCTGTCTTATGTTCTGATTGGTCAAACACGTTATTGAAAGTTTCCCTGCAACAGCACAGAGATTTAAGAATGGACGCTGGCTGAGGACTGTGTCTGCATTACCATATTATAAATGTTCACATCATTGATTTATAATGCACACATGAAACACAAGTGTACTCTGAGCTGAAGCAGAATCACAGCAAAGGGAGAAAACGCTCAACAACACTGAGCTGTAAGTGGAAACCATAATTGAAGACTCTGCTGTTCATATGGAGGTAATCAGGGCAGGGCCATACTTTCACCTACTCTGTTTCTACACTTCAACCGCTCACAAGAAAGAGTAATGACAAGTTTATGGCATCTTAGGCCACACAAATAATGCTTCTTCTCAGCTGTCAGTTCATTAGAGAAGTCAAAAAGAGCCTGAGAGTGCTGGCAGGAGACTTCTGGATGTGACTGAAGTGTTGTAACAAAATGGTGGGCAGTAATGCCAAACCTTGTCCATTTCTTTGCTCTAATGGGTTTCACTTGACTGCAGCTTAGTGTCTCCAGGAATAACCGACCTCATGGGCTGAAGGATGGACAGAAAGGCTGATGGTGTTATGAATCTTCAGTGTCGCTTCATTTCAAGGTCTGAAGTGTACAATACAGTGTAAAAGGGAGTGTGTGGAGGTAAGAAACACAACAATGTTAGACTGAATTTGGAGCATTAATGTTCTTGAAACTTTTGCAAAGAGGTCCGAGGTATAACTTTGTCCATAGGGGGCACCAAAATCAATACAAACTTTTAGGTAGATCGCTTTTAAAATCTGGACCCCACTCACTGGTAAAATCATCAGAGTACAGTCAAACGTGACAAATATTAATGTTCAGTGTCTTTGAGTTATTACAGCTTTCTGAGTGCGTCATGTTGAAACTGCTTTCTCCTTCCATTAAAAAAACATCAATGGGGGGGATCTATTCACCAAAATGTAGAGTTCTTGTAGATCTCTCTGAAGAGACGAATGAACAGAAAACCTTTATGAAATCGAAATCTCACTATTTAGCTAGCTTGCTAATTAGCTTGTGGACTCCAGACATGATTATTCTGTTTTTCCACAGCAAAACCTCATCAGCCTGCGTCCACAGAGAGTGGGTCCAGCAGCATCAACAACCAGTGAACCGAGGAGTGAGTTTATACCAGTAAATGTGGTGAATTGTGGAGTAATAAATGTAGCTCGCTGATGCTAGCCTTAGCTAACTCACCTGTAAACAGACCTGTATAGAGCTTTTCTAGTCCTTTCGCCCCCTTCTACAGAATCACCAGTTTCAGCTGATTACATCCACACGCAGCTGACTATGTTACTGAGAGCTTAGTATTATGGGAGCACAGTAGCCTATACTCTGTCACCTTGATTTTCACAAGGACAGTTTGGCATCGTACCACAAACCTTGCTATTGAGAAGCCGTCACACTCTTCTAACACCCAAAGTGGTACAAGAAGGAGAGTTGGTGCATGAGTGACATAGTTGATCAGAAAAGTCCAACTTCTAAAGAACCAATATCATCCTCCTATCATATCACCAACTGCATACTGTGATACTGCCTCTGCCACCTACACTGGAGGATCAGTGGGGGAGCGACTTTGTCCAATCATTAAGCCTCTGTGTGCTGTTCACTGGAGCGGAGACATAACAGGGTGTAAATAAACCACCATGAAATTCCAGTCAGAGCCACTCAACATTTCAAGTTATTAGGTGAAATCTATTGTGACATATCTATGCATTTGTGGCTTAGTTCGCTCTAGTTCTGTTCTCAGGAGTCATCACCACAATCCTGGTTACTTCTGGTTGTGTTCAGAGGCCCATAGTTTCTTTTAGCTGTCGCTAGAGTTTACAATACGAGCTTCATAAAGTACATCAGATGCAGAATTACATAACAAGGGGAGCGGATGTTAGCAAAGAAACTCCTTATACATACAACATTATGTAAAACACTGTGCTGATAGAGAGCAAATAATTATGAAATAAAAGCAAACAGTTCATAAGCAGAATGATCAGATTTACATTCTATATCAGGAGAATCTCAAAAGCATGTCCTCTCTCTGGTTTCAGGGTAGTGCACATAAAACAATCAATTCACTGACTCAAATCAGTACTGAACATTTTGAACATTTTGTGGTGAGATAGTCAGCTGCCAGCATAAAAAGGGAGTCTTTAATCCTAACTAATGACGCAGTAACCTTTAAAGATATATTCATCCGACTTAAAACATTGAATGTACTTTTTTTTTTTATCATGCTTCGATCAGGTGACTTTCCTCTCAGCATTTAGTCAACTGATCTGAAATCAGCCACCTCGAACAGGATGAAGAAAACTCCTTATTTCAATTCGACCAATGAATCAGCTCAAGCTCATGAATCAGGGCACCAGTTTCCTCCATAAATCAAGGCATCTACAACTCGGAGAAAACCTCTCAGCAGTGGTAAATGTGGGGAAACACCAGCAGCGCTTGTGACATGAGAGATTTACAGCCCTCAGAACAATGCTCCCCATCCTTTAATCAGGCAGGAAGTGTTGGTTTGCACAGATTACTCTCTGGAGGAAGTAGTTTCAGCTATAGTAGCTGGTCACAGTGCTGAGGATAATGTTTTGAAAAATTAATCTTTCTTTAATAAAGGGATTTGAATATCTTTTCCTAACAGAGCTGTCAAAACTTCCAGCTACCAAAACTTTGCCTGTGACATGGCGTGAATAAAACAGGAAAGACTTTTCTGCTACTGAACACTGTAACAAGTTTCAGGTCTTTTAAAGTGATTTTTGTACATCAGTGATTCATTGCGACAAAAATCCTTAAACATAAGTTTGTCTCCTTTATTAGTAGGTAGTAGTCAAATTTACACCTGTTTTTTTTCTTCTAAATCCTTATTTAATTTCAGGAGCAAATACCATTGGACCAATGACACACAGGGAACCATAAATCTGCACTGTCAGCCACTTGGAGTTCATTTCTGATTAGTAAACCAGTTGAGTCTTCTGGCCAATCAAAACTCTCCATTTGAGAACATTCCAAAACGCTGTCATCCATGAACATTTACCCAGAAGCCCCTGGAGAGATCCCACAACATACCGCCGGCCTCTCACTCTGTCCATTTCCCTCTCCTGTCCGAGCTCTGCATCTCCGGCTTTGTCCCACAACACAAAAGGACCCTGCCTACACTACTTCCCAGGTCACTGCTTTGTCAGGGTTTCAACGTGCTGCTGCTGCTGCACTTCACAGAGAAAATTCAACAAGTCAGAGATCAAATTCAGACCACTGCAGATGTTCAGAAACAACAAGCTGCACCATTCATTACATGAAATCATCTATGGGGGAAATAGATGCGACAAATTAAACAGAACGCTGAGTCTTTCACTGTGACCTCTGCATCTACAGAGTGTAGAGTAGAAAAAAGGAGCAGTGCTTTTTAATGTCTCCATCACAGCTTTGAAAGACTTTCCTCTGTGTATAAGAGTAAAGAAATATTCAACCTAGTATGAGAGCAAAGACACATCAGAAGAAATTTATTCTGTATTAATCAGGCACAAAATGAGATGTAGCGGTTCCTCATATGATTGTTGTGTCAATAATTTCACCTCTGGTCCAGCCCTTCTTTGGAAACTACGTCAGTCTGTGCGGCAACATGATTTCATTATGTTTGAGTCATACAAAGAAGGCTGTGCCGTGATACAAACATGTTGTAGCTCTTAGTTCAGCCGTCATGCAGCAGTAGAGGAGAACTGAGCTCAAGATTTTTACTGAAGATGAAGATAATGACTGTAACATGCGACACATCCTTAATTTCATCCGTTTAAAAGGCTGCTGTATTTGTGTTGTCGAGCTTGTTTCTAGGTGCTTTGTCTGTTTTTAGTTGGTATTCAGTATTAAGTAGGTTTTAAGGGAGCTGAATTATAAAATAAAGTCCCCTCATCAAAAAAAAGTCTCTGTGATTGAAACTTTAAAAGCACAGATTTGAGTATTCATGTTAAAAGTAGTTTAATGGATAAAAGGTGTTTTTTTTTTCCTTTTTCCTTAGAAATATGTTTTTTAAAGACACGCTGACTGATGGAATAATGACATTAAGGTGATTTATGCAGCCTCAGTCATGTCAAAAATGGTGATTATTATCAATACAGAGTGATTGGTACATGTTATATTTTATAGTCTGTATCCTCCTGCTAACTAGGTTATACTTAATCAAATTTGGCTGTTAGATCAGTTTTTAGTGGTATGAAACAGGCTTTATATTAAAAAACACGATAACAACATGGTGAAGTCACATGAGAGCGAATTTTTAAAAATCAATAAAAAAGGATCAACAAGACATCAAGAAATATGGGAACAGCATCACTGACATGAGATGATGGAAGTGAAAGATTGTTAGAAAAAGCGTGCGCTTGTCTTGTCTCTTAGTTATGAAGAGGACAGAGATATATGTATCTACATGGTCATGGAGGAGTCAGTCTTCAAACAGAGAAGACAGCATCAAGACAAGACTTGATTTAGGGCAATTTGATAACATAACACACAAACTATGAGACTTTTTACACTTCCTTCTGGTAAATACAGAGATCATTAGTGATTTTTCTGACTGCCATTCAGATCTGCAAAAACCTTCAGCCTAGTTTTTCAAACACAGCCGTCTGTTTTAAAGGTATCATGGACAAACTGCAAAAAATAAAAAATAAAATGTTTAAAAAACTGTTTCTCCCATCAGTCTGCCGGGTCTCCTCTCAACAATAAAACTATCTATCAGAAGGACGTCACGTTGAAAACGGCTCTAATATTTCTAAGCTTTCTTTCAGGTTTTTGTGCCTTTGATGAGCCGCAGAGTTACCGTCTTTCATCTAGTCCCACTACAATAGACACCACCCAGACATACGTGAGTGTGTGTGTGTGTGTGTGTGAAGGATAGAGACGGAGTGAAAGACAAGAAAACGAAGGAGAGCAAGACTGTGTTATGTTTTAGATTTGCAGAGACAGGCAGAGGTTTTAGACGGATGGCAAGGACAAGTTACAGCACAGCTTGATTATCAGGAGGGAAGAGAAGATGAGGAGAAAAAAGGAAGCACAAAAGACCTTCCTGGCTTGTCCCCCTTCTCCAGCCCTCTGTCTTTCCACTGACTCATGGCACACAAATGAAAACAAGACTTTAAAGGGGAAGATAAAAAACACTCTTTACTTAAGGCTGAGTGCTTTACCAGGGGACCCTGCGCAAACACTGTTGTGTTGTCAAAGAAATGGACTACCGTTGAGCTGACAAATAGGTCGGCTTTAAGATGTACTTCACACATGTTGCTCAAACGCCACACACAAGACAATCCAACGAGGCTGCACCCTTGAAAAATAACTCTCTTAGGCCGGGTTGTTGATATTTTCTGTTTGAGTTTTATTAAATATATCACAGCAGAAATTTTCTTTAACTCAAGATAAGACGAATTGGAAAAACTCCACTTACAACACACCAGCCATTCATTTCACCTGAACCCGTCAGAGCAAGCAAACTCTACCTACGATCAGGGAGCTCTTTGCCAATGTTTATAACAGACATCCAAAAGCAGCTGAAGTCCACCAGATGTTGAGACGGGACAGGGGCCGGCGAACCCCCCAGGCAGAATGAGGTCAGGTATATGATCGGGTTTCTGGGAGCTCAAAGCTACAAAAGGGCAACAAAGGTTCTGATATACCTGTTGGGCTTTACGAAACCGGACACCGTCTGAGGCAGTGGGAAGAGAACCACTCACCGCCGGCTGTCAAAGGGACGAGAAAGTCTAAACGGTGAGATGGTTTAATGGGCCTCGCTCAAGGAAAGCCCAGCCTGCTCTGACTATATGTACTGCGTCGATAAATCAAAGCTACTTTCTCTTTCTATGATGTACGATACGCCAACCCCTGGAGAGTTCACTCACATTCCAACATAACAGCTAATATTTTTCTGCCCGCAAAAACCACCCCGAAAATGTACTGACCAGATGATTTGCAGCCTCAGAGACATCACTCAACCGAGTATTTGATCCTTTCATGTGGGTCTTTTCTGTTCCCCACTTATCAACAGACAGACTTCTTCATTTCTTTGAGTTGAAGTCTTGGCGATAAGACACGACGTTTACCTTTCAGTCAAATCCGTGGATCAGCGTGAAGCAGCCAGAGAATTACTAGATTAGCATGCAGTTCAAATAACTGATTTATTATCTTAGTCTGACTGAAACTGGATTTTTAAAAACTATGTAAACACATTAGTCTGACTGAAACGCTCTAAATCAAACTTGTAATAGTCCAGCTAGCATACCTGGATAACGCGGTCTGGAGAAGGGATTTTCTTTTCCATGTATGCGGCTTGATTGGACTGAAACTGGCCGAGTGTTCTGAGCAAGCTCCAGGCTTCCCACACCAGGGGTTCAAGCTGGAAGTTAAATTGCATGAATACGTTTCTAGGAAGCCTGGTAGCAAAAACAAAACCTCAACATATGAAGAAAGGGCGTAAAAAAAAAGACAAAACCTTCCTTTCGTACGGAGCAGTAAAATTGACGTACATCCCATTAGCCTCTTGCTAACGTGTTTTCACACGTACTGTGTTGATCGAGAGACGACCTGATAGTTCTGAGCTGAAAGGGGACATGTCGCCACCTACTGTAGTGGAAGTGGGTGTACTTATACTTGTAAACTAGGACTAGGACGGTGAAGCTATCACCATATCTCAAACAGTATAATTCAAAAGAAGAGCAGTACACAGAGGGATGAGATTAATAAGAGGAAACCTATTAAGGTAACTGCAGTTTGGAAAAGTGAGCTAAGTGTGAGTGACTCCCTCGTCAGTGGGCCTTGGGAGTAATTAGCAGGGATTACAGCTCATCTGGCCAGCACCCAACACTGGGGTTTCAGCCCAAACACCCAGTCAAGTCCCTGGCTCGGCTCCCTCGCCGCTCTGCTAAACCACAGGAGCCTCTGACGAGTCGCACAAATCACAATGGTGATCACGACCGTCATCGCAGACATCAGGCTCACTGTGGCTTTATTGGAAATCTGTTATCTTAGCTTGAGTTACATCACTATCATAACCACACTCCCCACATTGGCAGCTAGCACTTGCAAAGACTTGTCAGGTAACGGGGCCCACACTACACCCCTGGAAGCTTAAGATCAGAGCCCACAGTCCCTCGCCACACTCCTCACAGCTGGTGGAGTGACACCAGCACTAGGGTGATCAACACAAAGGAGATGTACGGAGGCTCAAATATCAGAGGAACCGAAAAATTACACCACAGCCCACAGACAGACGTCAGATGAGCTGAATTATGCAGAGAGGTTGAGGTGGGATATTGGCAGTGTTTTATCAGAGAGGATTATGAAACAATAGAGCCACAAGGAGATTTGGGTTTATCCGAGGAGTGGTCTAGTTCCGGTAAAGGCGTCATCCTTTGTAGCTTTTCAACTACAGACAACTACAAAGATAAAAAGCAAACATTGGGCAAAGGCTGTAATGTCTGAATGGAGCATGGCAGCAAAACCACAAGCAAACCCACAACTGACTGGGTAAAGGAGAGGAAATCACTGAGGGATGGTGGAGAAAGGAAAGATTAGGAGTGAAACACAACCTCCCAGAGGAGCTGCTAAAAAGAGAGCTGGTGGAGGAGAAAATGGACTGATGTGTCAGTCAGAACCAGGAAGCAGAGGGTTGACTTTAACAGCGCGCAAACAGGACGTGTTAACAAGGAGTTTTCGGGGGTCTCTCCCCTCGAGTCAAAGTATGAAAAAACCACAAAGTCAGATCAGGATTTCACACAGTTTGCATCAGAAAAGGACCCGTACAGATTCACCCTGAGGTGCTAAAAGCTGTGTTAAACCTTGTTTTGTGTTAGACAGACATGAATTCGTGGAGGGGTTACTGGCTGTATGAACATGTCTGCATGACTGAACAACGATGAGTCACAGCACATGTATGCCTGCAGTTACCTCCCCTGATTCCCGGAGCATGTGTCCTTAACATACAGTTACTGTCTGGATCCTGCTGCCCCGCTCCCCTTATCTCTGGGATATTCAGTTTGACTAATCTTTCCTGTCAGTCAAATCTCCCTCTCTTTTTCTCCGAACACCTCAGTCGGTTCCTCCAGCGCTCTTTGTTGCTGTGTGTTCCCAGCTCCAGGGCTCCCTGTGTGCAGGTCTTGGTGGTCTGGTGTGGAATGTGGTGGAGGGGGGCAGGCCAGCCTAAAAGGGGGTACTCAATTGTTCCCACACACAGCATCTACCCCCTCTTGTCTGCCGCTCACTTTGCAATTTTTAAGAAGCGTGTGTGTGTGTTGGGGGGGTGTTGCAGGAAGATGGAAGGACTTTTGGTCTGCATGCATGATCATTAAATGGACAGTTTGGGTTTTTTGAAAGCTGTATCACATGAGGTACTTCTCAAAAGTCTGCACATTTACACGTTGTTCAAACAGCTGATTTATTGAAACCTGGATGATTCTGACAGGGATCAGTTTTCTCTGAGGCTCAATCAAACTAAAACTGGCCTCAGAGTTTGAACATGCTTCAAAGGTTGCGCTGAAGTTGGATGGCACGAATGTGCTGCTAGGATACCAGGTAGTAAACAAAACTTCAACAAACAAGGAAAGGAGGCACAGGGGATGAAACTTCGGTATCATATGAACAAAATGTGTTTCATCACTCAACGTACATCCTGTCAGCCTCTGGTGAATGGGTTTTGCTGACTGTTACATGTGCGCCTACCTGGACACAACCCAGTCGTAATGAGCTGAAAGAGGGCATGTTTCCACCCACGGTAGCGGAGGAGCTGGACACCTTTGGGTCAATGATTGACACTGAAAACAGCTTGGTACCAACAATACCTCAAGACCTTTCTGTATCAGAGATAGCATCTGTTGCACGATGTTTGGCTAAAGTTTTCACCGCTCACCAAAGAGCCTCCTGCTGTACGGCACGTTACCAAAGTCAGAAAGCCAAATGGATGTGGGTCTTTAAAGTACATGTTCAGCTTTTTACATGATGGCACAACCTGTCGTCCACAAGATATGCTTACATTATGAAAATACACCATTAGATTTAGAAAAGAGGAGTGAGCTGAAATAAACTCTTCAGACATTTCTGTGTCAGATGGTTAATCTTTGTAAGTGCTTTAGCTATGTCTGACTGAGATACTTTCTCAACAAAGGGACCAAACCAGCTCTCATCACAATTGACAGGTAGTTCACACAAACTCCAGAAATATCTACCATTATTCTCATATTTTACAAGGACATTTAATCAATTCACAAAAAAGTTGTGTTGGGATCATTTGTAAATTCCATCCGTGTTTAGCCCTCATTTTTGCACTCTGTGTGATAAGCCGGTTTATTTTGCAGCAAAGATAAGGCTGGTGTTGCTTGCAGAGCAGAACCGGACACCAGGAGAGCCCCCTCTGAAAGCTGCTACTCTGTGATTGCAGGAAGTTGATTACCGAGGCGAGATAGTGGTGGAGCTGGCAGGCACGTGGAACTGCCCCCCCCTTCTCTGGCCCCATCTGGACACTAGAAGTCACAGCGAGCCCCCCCCATCCCTTCATAAGACCTCAACTTCATGATATCTAAACTCAATTATCCTGGAGGCTCACCGAGCAGGGAATGAATGTCACATAGACAGGGCAGGGAGCAACAGGAACCAACACATTATCACCGCTTTTATCTGATCAACAAGGAAACCTCCAGGGAGAAGCTCCAACTCACCGTCCTACACCTTTTAACATTCAGGGAGGAAGGAAACTATCTCACATGAAACACAAATAATCGTCAAAATGTATCACAAGCAAAGCTGCAGTGCTGCTGGAGGATGAAACTCTTTTTTTACAAGCAACTGAGCCTGTAAGCTGCTGCACACGGCACACTAGGGTATCTTCAATGGGAATAAAAAAATTAACCCACCTATAAAAGTAAAAGTAGATAATTCAACATCATTAATGATAACTGTTGCCTTTTCAATGCCGAATACATCACTTCCAAGCATTCCCATCTTTACATTTTTGTGTAATCTGTACCTGTTTTAGGAGGAAAGCTGACAAAAGCTGCAGCCAGTCATGAAGGCTGAGATTATTGTGTTACTACAGTTGCTGATCCAACCTAAATTACCGGCATTTCCAAGTTTTCAGTTTAGTGTCAACAACTGACTTCAAGAATCGGCATATAAGGCAAGAGAAAAGAAGCGCTAGGATGGCTTCGAGGAAGCTCCGAAGAATATCCCATCACTTAGGAATGTTATCGGAGATTACTGTGTCTGCTGAGGGAGTATTTGATGTTAGCCCGTACACATTTATAATGGCCTTCAAATTATCATTACATTAATATTTGTGCAGCTTATAAGTCTAAGCGCACATTGATGAGCAGAAAATGACTTTACTCAGACTGAAGTCATATTACACCAACTATTATAAGTACTTTTTACAAGATTACGTTTAAAATCCAGAATAGAACGTCTCTTTAAATTTAAAGCTGTGACTGTGTTTATGTGGGTAATGGTTTCAAAGAGGTTTCTACAAACATGGTGTCCTTTAATCCAATCTAAAGCTTATATTTTGCACCATGACTAACTCTTTTTTACTAGCATGAGTCAGACTTGAACGTGTGAGTTTACCGTTGGTTTGTAGCCACACCTCTGAGGGGGACTTGCTGATGGCTCACCTCAGACTGTTTGATCCCTTGAAGTCTGGCACAAAACCAGTTGGGTCTCAGAGTGATGTTCTTTCAAGTGATGAATAAAAACTACATGAAAAGTATTCGACAGTGGTGCATTTTGAAAGTGACAGCAGGAGGAGTGTGGAGTTAAATATATGTGTGGGTCTACATGGTTTTATTAAAGGTCATCTCATGGTCTGCTTCACATGAGAACATCTGAGAGAAAATTACAACTTTGCTTTAAATATTTAACTGGATTATTCTAAGAATATGATGGTGAAGTCTTTCTCTATAGTTTTTTACAAGTATTTAAAAATGAAGTGATGTAACTCCGTCGATGTGTGGAGCCCTGGAGGGATTCTCTGTGGGTCGACTTGCTCAGGGTTTTACATAAAACAAAGAGTGGGGTTGAAGTTTTATTGGACTGACCTTGAAAGGCAAGTCAAGACACTTGGCTGGTAGTATGCTAGTTAATGATTACAGGTGTTTGACATACCAGGCCACAGAGCCACTCAAATATTGGTCTCTGAGCCATAAAAAGTGGGTGCCCCAGTTCCCTGCTCTTGTCTTATCTGGTGGATGTCACTGCAATAACACAACCTATTATTTCCCTTATCATAATGATGCAGGGTATGGGGCCATCAGCTAAGGGGGGAGGAGCCCTCACACTGTGAGACTGTAGAAGGTCTCCAGCTCACCCAAAGGCCAACACGCTGAGGTCATGCACGCTTTGAGTTTCAGTCATAATACGCTGAACTGATTTTGAACAGGGGATGCTCCTCGTACTGAAGGGGGGAAAAACAACCCTCTTCTCTTTGATCTCTGCTATTGTCCCATACCTGAAGCATGACATCAAGCCTGACTGCCAGAGTAAACCAAAACAGATTTGGCTAAAGGAGCTGTAGAAAAAAGGGAAGCTCAGGACCTGTCTGGCCCTGAAATAAGAGGCCTTTGACATGTCAGATACCAATCTGGTCAGTGTTAACCGTGCTGCTTTCAGGCTGAGCTTGAAGAGCGGGTCCATGATGCAACAGCGCAGAAGTGCTTCAAAGTTCTCGTTTGATATGCAGAGAGTCTCACCTTGAACCATTAAGAAAGATATACCACCTTCTATCAAAGGATGGGTTAAGTCTGTAAAACCAACATTTAGACTGTGAGCGATTCCCAAAAGGATCACCCTTCATCAGAAAGACTGAGTGTTATTTATCTCCCCTTTTGAGAGAGGTATTCAACCAAAGGCCCAAAACAAATCATCCTTAAGCAGACAAGAAACTTGGAAATGAGATCTTTAACTGCTTCCACGTGAGCGGTAAAAGATTGATACCATGGGATCAACTTGGAATTTACCAACTGAGCCTGCTCTTCCTCTGCATTAGTGAATTCTGTCTACAGAAGCAAACGGGGTCTTGATTTCACTTTTACATGAAAAAAATAAACATCTTTATTGAATCTCAAGTTGGCTTCAGCTGAGCCTGCCTGTAATATGAATGGTAACAAACATTCTTATCTCTGCACCGCCAACAACAACACAAGATGTTTGCAGTTACAGAAAGGCAAGTTTTAAACCCTGCGTCTCCAATAAGTCTCATATTTTGTTTATCTGTGCATGATGGTTATATCAAAGGAGATAAGCGTTTCATAAACTACATCTTCTGTGACAACTGGCAGAAATACTGAGAAACATACAAAGTATGGCTTCTCTTCAACTCACGCAGTTAAAGTTGGCTCAAGAGGTCCCTGAAAATGACTAAATGTGTGCAATATTAAAAGTTTGTATGTGTGGTCAGTTGGGGTGTGACATATTTCTGTAATATGGTATCTCAGTTGTTGTTAAGAGGATCCTACTGCACATTGGAAGGTAATAAAGTACCAACATATCGCAACAAGCATAGCTGCCTGCACAGCTGAAGTTAAAAAAATAGAGATAATTTGGCTTTGAATATAAAACTAAAATCGACAGACTATGACCAAGAGCAGCTGCTGTAACATGTAAATGACGGCTCACAGTCTGATTGTTTTACTTTCAATTTGGAAGGATATGCAAAGGTTCATGAATGGCTGGTCAACCAACCGTCAAGTTTTGTTTTGGTTTTTTTTGTGACTCATTTTGATTTTTTATCCAGAAATAATGTTCTTACTTTAGCTTGCTGCTAACCGCGGGCTAATGTCACACTAGACTTTTACAAACCTATCTGATGAAGGAGGCACATTATCACCAGTTGTTGTTATTGGCAAAACCACAAAATATCAAGATTTCTTTGCCGACATGGACACACCTGGAGGGAGAATGTTTTACCCATCAGCAACTTCTTTAATAATTACTGACTTACATTGAAATATTTGTGCAGGGAACTGGCACTTGAACTTGTCTGTACCACACATGTAGTTCAGTTTTAACTTTGTCTTTGTCAGGGAAGAACTGAGTTTTTTGGACTTTGACCCGTTACAAAAGGACAGAAGAGTACCTACAAACTTTTGGCCACAAATCTGGGGTCAGCAACATAAACTGTTGAAAGAAAGCAGCGCTTCTGTAGCTGCTTCTTGTTTTGTTGAGACCCCAGATTCTCTTTAATGACAGTAGACCTCGTTGCTTTCTATAGATCAATTATCTTGGTCTCTTTCAATAACAAAAGGGCTGCCCAATCAGGAATTCATTGCAAGAAAAAAGGTGTAAGGCAGACAAATCTACACGATAAAACTGCCTCCAATTAGACCCTTCTTTGAAAGCCAGAGATTCAAGAAAGTTTTACCTGACCACTGCAGACATGTTGGGGATAGTCCAAATGAAATTTGGCACCACAAAGATATCCTCGCAGAAAACAAGAGCCTCGGGGCTGTGTTAAATGTGAGAAAACCAGGCTTTACTGCCTCTTTGACACTAAATTATAACTTAAATTCTGATGAGCCAGCGTGGCATCAACAGAAATAGATGGTTTGAACTTTCTAAGCGTCAAATCCTTCATAACTGTTGAATGATATCCACACAGTAAAGAGACCTCGCACAGATTGGCTGCTCTTGGATGTGTACCAGCATTACTCTAAAAAAGAAAGAACTCAAGACCCCAACTTGACAGCCACAAAGCCGGGAAGACCTACATCTACATTGTTTGAAAACCACAGCAAACCAAACCTGACTGGATTATGGGTTTTGAATCTGTGTGTGCATATTCATTCAAACCACCATAAAAAATGAAAGGGAAATGAGAGAGGGGAGGGATTTAAAGTATGCGAAGCACAGTGGAATTTCAAACCCCAACCCCCATCCCCCTGCTCCCCACAAGCCTCCACTGTAAGCCCCCCTATGTATGTTTCCATCACTTTGGTTTAACTCTTGATTAGCTAAATTGATTTGCCTTATCACCTCTCTACTGCTGTAGTTTGAGCAGGTCCGATTTCTTTCCTAGTGTTCTTAGTTGGTGTGTTACATCCTGTCCTGCTGAGGTAGAAGTAGAAGAAGGACATGTGCTTGCAATGCATATGTTATGCCAAATCAAACTATCCCGGAAAGTTAAAACTAAGTGAAATAAAATACAAAAGGACCTGTCATATTTCTTCACAGAGCACAGGAGTGTTTAGTAAACCATGGCAGGCTGCCTGCAGTTCACAGCCATAGGAGTCTCTGTTAAGGAAGCCGGGAAATAAACACAGGCCTGGCTTCTTTCAGTGGGGAACAGAGCCTGTGTGTTGATTATACTTCTTTATTGTTATGAATTACCTAGAAGTATTTCCTATGAGGACTATATTTACCCAGAGCTGCAGTGGATGGTTGCCAACAGCACATTTGGCTGAAGAATTTATCCCCAAATGTTTCACAGCTACTTTCCCCCAACTTAACAATGTACTGTAACTTTTAACACATGAGAAAGCACTGTGCTTGTATGAAGAAAAACATTTACTTGCGGAGGCTGTCAGAGGCACAAAAACTACATTTAAAACTGTCAGTTTTACTGTCTTTCTGTACTATTAGATCTTCATCTTCAGACCATTCTGAGGAGATTCTTGATGAAAACCATCATGAATACATAACAGCCTGAAGTCGGTGCCGCTGTCTACTTTCGCAGTACTGCTGGATACTAAGTACCTGAAAGAAACATGACTGACCTTTACCCAGTCCTATGTTAAGCTAAAGTTGCAAACTTTCTAAAGTTCTCATTAACTTCAGGACCACCGGGCCACCTTATGAGGACCCGTGAGGAGTCCCCGAACTCCACTTTGGGAACCACCAGCGTATACTTCAGTGGATTAAAGAAAAAGAGTGAGGAGTTAAAGTGAAGTAAAGGCATGAAAACTCACCGCTGACTCCTTTGTTAGGGACATCGTTGGCGTTGAAGCCTTTGGAGCTGTAAGCAACACGAACTTCGTTGCAGTTTTTCAACTTTTGCTCCGCAGTCCCCGAAGCGGACGACAAAACCACCGTGCAGGCTACACACAGCACCAAAAGCGTCTTCATGTTGTGTCGGTGACAAACAAAAAAAGGTGGAAAAAATACCTGCAGAGAATTAGAAAATGTTCGCTCAGGTGTGTGTGTGTGTGTAAGCTAGGACAAAGTTTCAGCGACTCCCACGCTGAGTTTCCTCATGGAGACGCGCTGATTTCTTCAGCTCAACAGATACTTCTTCATTCACAGCAGCTCTGAAACCACTCTGAGAGGGGGGAAAACACCGAAATAAACCTTCAACACACACACAGCGTCGAAAGTGTAATGCTGGGCTACAAGAGGTAAGTATCGAGGTCCAGACTTGAGCGTAACGAAAGCGAAGAAACGAGTTTAAAAAGTTTTGAAGGCGCAGAAACTTTGGTCACTTCAAGAAAAGAATCACAAAGTTCACACTTCACAGTCTCGACGAGGATCCAGCTCAAACCACGAGAGTAGAGGTGTCGGTGTGAAGTAGCCGGGGTAGTTTGTGTTTTCTTCTTCTCTCCTTTCGTCTTTTCTTGCTCTCTTTTCAAAGTTGCGGAGGCCGTGGTTTCTGTGAGACGGGACACTCAACTGTACGATAGTCCGTACTGGGATCCAGATGCGAGCAAAAAACCCTAGTGGACACCCAGGAGTGAGTGCAAGTTCCGGGGACAAAGACGGGGAAAGCAAGAACACCAGGGATGGAGCATGGAGCTGGGACCTCTCTCTCTCTCTCTCTCTCGCTCTCTCTCCATATAATTTTCCAGACTAGAGGTAACCAGTCCTGAAAATCAGGACTGGAGCTGAGGGTGGAGCTAAGCCGTGGCACAACATGAGGTTAGACTCACTATTTCTTCACATAAAGACACTGAAGTCCCCCAAATCAGAAATGTCTTCACTGTAGCCCCCTGTTTGACCCCAGCCTCAAAGCTTTCTTATCTGTTTTTAGAGCTGGTCTGTAGATACAGAAAGAGCAGAGGTTAAATAGGACTCTTTGAACTCAATAGACCCCTAATGTCTTCCTCACTCTCCTGGTGTAAATAATGTATAAGTTGAATTGTTTGTAGGAAGATAAGATTTTTTCTCTTGTGTTTTTTACGACTCTTTAACCCTAGAACACTATCGCTAAAATTAGTAACACCATCACTATCGCCGGGTGATTTTTACCCAAAATAATGTACCCAAGAAAAAGTACTTGACATCAAAATATATCAAAATAGGACAACACATGACAAATTAAAGTAGTTTTCTTTTACTTTTAACTGTGCACTGTCCAAAGGGAAGGAAAAAAGTGCCATGAGGAGACAATATAAAAATGCAACAAAATAACTGAACTTAGGCCATCATGAACAAAAAATTCCTAAAAGAAAAAACATGTAGAAACTGTCAACTTAGTTTCTTTTCCACATTCCCGGGGCATGTGAGTCTTCCCTGGTGAAGACTCCGGGTCTTTGGCACAATAACAGCTGCAGGAGAGAGAACGAGAATATGGCATATTTTGAGAATTTAAAGAAAATGACCAGCTGACTAAAATATTTCTTATCACCGTATGAATTCCCTTGAAAATCACTACTTTGTGATAGTTGTTCATAATCACTGTGCTAAATAAAGATACCATGCAGATTTTAGGACCACTCTTACTGACCTTATTCGCCTACATGCAGCTATCAAATCCACCCAAACCTACTTTACGATCTATGACTATTGCCAGGTGAAAATCACCGGAACATGTGCCTGTAGGAAAAAGCAGGTTTTGGATCAGGGAAACAAATATTCCCTCAAAGGTGTCAAAGGCAGTGCTGAAGCTACCCAGGGACCCATGATACTCAGACAAATGCAACATAATGAAAAACACGTAAACATGTTTGGTCTGGTGAAAATCACCCAGCGATAGTGTTCTAAGGTCAAATCCGTGTTTTCCAAACTATCTTTTTGTTTTTCTGTTGCCCATGCTGTGAAATCTGGAGATTAATGACAACAGTTTCATTAATTTGGCACTTGCATCACAGCACAACAATTAACACAACAAAAAAGCACAGCACGACCTGTTTTTTAACAGGGTTTTTTTTTCTGTTGAGCCTGCATAGTTTGTTTAAAACCCTTGGATTAAAACTTGCCTACTGTAACTGTAACCATGGAGTCAAAATTACAGACCTTTTCCTTGCACAAACATAGGCCAGGCTCTGTGCTGTTAGCAACGAAGCTGTTGGTGCCTAATATGCAGCTGCCTGTCATGTTGAGAACCACAGTGAAATGTTAGGTTGGTGCAGCTGTTCAGGTTGACAGAACATGCAAAGCACATTGGGAGAGTTTCTGAAATGTACAATGTAAAGTTTAATAGCTGCACAGGACAATCACAGGTTCATTTGTTTAAGGCCTTTAAACCATGCAACCTACTTACTGTCATGGTGCGCTTTACCGTATATCACACCTCTAACCCTTGGGGACTTCAAAGTTTTGATCTGCATTTGTCTCAAATTTCCCCATTTTCAAAGTGCTTTAGTTTAGCTGTTCACTCTGTCTTTAAAGATACTTAAAACATCTCTAAAACCCTCCTCTTTATTAATCCTATTTTCCATGAATGTTTGCTTTTACACTGTTCTCGGAAGCAGCTTGTTTTATCTGCTGTCATGCTGATTTCTGCCTCTGACCTCTGCCCTCCTTGCAGCATGTTTCCTCTTTTAACACTGAAATGTGCATTTATCTTAAACTGATATGACTATCACAAAAAAATCAATTATAGGTGCTAAGTTAAAACAAACAGCCTTTAAAATCACCACAAAGGATCAAATCACACCTGATTTTCATGTTATCCTCTCTGAAGAAAAGTTACATCAAAGGATCTTAATCAGAAATTTCAGCACTGAAATATTGGATGTTTAGTTTTAACTGTTGCACCCAGCCTTTGAACCCAGATCCCATCATTATAAAAGTGATTACCATACTTTTGCCCCTTGCATTTAAACATGCCTGGACTTGTAGGGTGCATCTGTGTGTGTGTGTGTGTGTGTGTGTGTGCCCAAGCGCATGTGTGTGCACACGACCATTAGTTTGGGGGGGTCGCACTCGGCAAAATGACATTCCTTCCTTTGTGTCCACATTCCTGAGGCGGCTCCATTCATTCTGTGTGACTGCGGCTGCTGCAGGGGAAGCCAGGGGTTGCTGAGTAGCAGGAGGAGGATGCTGGAGCTGTGTGCATGGGAGAGCGTGGGCCTGGCGCTCTGCTCAATAGGCCAACAAAAGGTAAGAAAATGGTCCAGTGCCATGGTAATTAGACATGAATGAGCTTTGAACGATGTGACATGTCCCAGGATTTCCCCCAAGCGGAGGAATTTCAACATCCAGCTTGGTTAAAATTGGACCCGACTGTGGAGCCCATACTCCCGAAAAGCACCTGGGTTATATTGTTATTTTAATTCTTATGCACTGTTTGATGACTCCTCAAAGATAGTCAAGCCCAAACATTTCTGAGTGGCCATGAAATGTTGCTGAAATAAAACCACAGAGGGAGTCAATCACCTGAGCAGAGAATGCAACAATTCCTGATAGTCAGCTATTCTCCGTATTCCTGCTGACTAACATCAAATTGACCTTTCACTCTGATAATGTGTGCTGTTTCAACATTGCCCCAATATTACCCTAAGAAAACATGTGAACTCTGCATTTCAATAGGCCTGTTTGCCCTTTCTCCAGCCTCGCATTAGCATTCAGAGTATAACCCCCCCACCCTTGGTGAGTTGCTGCTCTCCCTACAGCCAGCGTTTGCTCATCTCCTAATAATCAGAACCTCTTTTCCATTTTAAAAGCTGCAACCCAGTCCAGGAGAGAAAAGCACAGCTGGATAACAATGGCATTTTTATCCGGATCTGGGGAGCAGAGGGTGCGTGGGTGTGAAAAGTTACAGCAGAGCGCTGGTACAGAGACAGGCGTGTTATGTATGGAGCTGTGAGTGATTGACCTTGTTAAGAAAGTAGACAGGCTTTGAGAGTGGATACAAAACACAAACAATTAGGACTAATGAAGCTCATTTCGTTGTTTATCTGTGGATGAGCATCTGTTACCTGGCAAAGGTGACTTTAGGGGAAAACTAATGGGCTCTACTGTGGAGGAACAACATGGGGATCTTATACCAAGAGCATTTCATCATCTGTTGGAAGAGAGGAAAACTGATTCAAAGAAAAACAGACATGATTCACATACCGCTTTGAGGATCTCCAAAACAGTCCAGAGAAACATAAATTATATGATTCATGAAAGGCTTTGAAGTGGATCGGCTGCAAAAAAAGCACATAAAGTCACATATAAACATGTAACTTTGAGTGTCCTCATGATAACCTCTGCTCCATGCCTTTCACTTTCTTCTGCTGTTTTCATAAAACTGCCAAACACCCGAAATTGTCTGGAAATTTCTGGTGTGGGCTGCATGTGTGAATGCCAAAAGCCAAATGTTTCTCCGTCTTCACTCTGACTTTGTCCCAGCTAACACTATGTTGTCAACATGAAGTCAGGGAGAGCTGAAGTGTGAACGCAGCAGCAGGTAAAAGTCAAGAAATTTCCCAGCAAGCTAATGGGCAGGACCCAGAGCTCTGAGACAAAGGTTAACAATTAGTCATCTTTGGACTCTTCCTTGTTCACCATCTTTGATATCTTCCAAACGTTACATGGTGACTGCTGCTGGGCCCTATTATGTCATGTCCTGCACCCCTCCCCCTCCACCAGGAAGTACTTTACTACAGGGACATGCCAGGATGGGACACTGGGTAATTTCAGGGTTGAGCTGTACAGAAATTTCCTCAAAAAATTTTTTTTAAAAAGGATCTCCATTTCCTTTTTTCCCGGCTGTTTTGGGTAAAATGCTCTCTGAAATAATGAGCATTTTAGGTTTTAAGTTTATCACAAATTGATATGTCATCTTTTATTGTATTTTATTGTTTAATTTAATTTCATTTATACTAATTTAATTAAAGGTCCTGTGAGGAAGTTTCCGTTTGTGTTAGTTTTGGCGCCCCCTGTGGCCAAAGAAATCTTAGCCGATCTTGTCATCTACACATTTAAATAGTGCAGCCTAACAAAAATCTCATCCTGCCGACTTCTGACAGTCAAATTGAACATTTATCGTGAATATTCCATTTATAGTAGAAAATGTACAAACTGAGCCCCTTTTTGAGCTATATAGGAAATAACAAAATATTAATTTCATTTCTGGTGATCGTGTTTGCTATTGTTTATCATTCAAAAGCAGTAATAACAATTTCAGTCTATTTCACAAATATATAAAAAAAATCCTCAAAGGGGCATTTATTTTATTTAAGTTTATGTACGATTTTCTCATTTTAGTTAATTATATTGTTTTTTATTTAAAATTTAATTCTATTAAAATTTAATGAATATTTTATCAGCCATGACCCTTTTTGAATTGTTGTCAGGACACCTGTTCTCAAGATTCATGGTGCTGCAGTGTTTGTTTTGTGTAAATACTGTAATGTCCAAAAGTCTACTGAAGACGTTTCGCTAAGTGAACTTTGAAGATCCACAGAGGAAACAAAAACTTGTGACAGAGGAACAAACTTGAATCATGATCATGAGCCAAACTTCTTACTTACCCTAGTTGAGTACTTAGATGAATGATGGTGAATACTATGATTATAAATAACTGACTGTACTCCACAGTACACTGTTGGTTAATTGATGTGTGATAATGTCATTAAAGGCTCCACACAGGGCGGTTCAGTTCAACCCCACAGGTAGGTAATCACATGCCACCTTGACTGACAATATTCGACTGAAATGTTTAGAGAAGTTAAATACATGCTCAATCTTCTCTGTCCAAACAGGATGGCACAGCACAGCTTTTCTATAAAAAGTGAGTTATTTCTGTGAAAAAAAAAACAAGAATTGAACAATTGTCAAAGTTGATTATTTAAAGTTCTGATGTGGAACTTTTTGTTTACACTGGTTTTGGCCCCCCCTGTGAAAAAAAGTGGTACTTCTTGTAGCTTTCCTGATTTTGTGTTGTACATGTTTGGACGTGTTTTTCATGCTCATTTTCAGGTGTAGACACAATACCAAAAACTCAAACAGGAAAACATGTTAAATTTATTATACATGGAACTTTTTTAATCCAAATACAAGTAAATAAAAAACAACAACATACTTCAGCAACTCTTACCTTCGACTTTTGACCCCTGGGTCTGACATTGGCTGTGTCCAAAATGAATCACTCAACCCCTAACCCCTAATCCCCATATGGGATTTCACTATATAGCTGACTATGTAGTGAGCTCAATCACCAGAGATTTCGAACACTACATGGCGCACCGTTGTGATATCACTGCTCAGACTGCTGCGTCTGAAGTTGCGGCTGTTGCTTTCACATCACTTGAATTTTATGATGTTGTATAGATGCATTTGTTATTCCAGGATGTTCGTGAAATAAAATAAATAAATAAAACAATAAATTAATAATTTATTTAAAAGGCCTTATATTTTCATGCCGAATATTGTTTGCTGTGTCATATTGTCCACGAGACTATATGACGCAGCAAACAATTGTTTTTCAAAAAATGTACGGATCACTCGTGAGTGAAGTGAAGATAAAAACTTGCGCCGAAAATGGCAAATAGAGCTCAGGTTCTGGAGCTACTGGAGACGCAATGCATGACAGGATGCCCACCGCCGGTGAGTGACCTTCAGATGGTCACTACATTTTGCAATGCTCAATGGGAAATTTTGAGTCGTCTATATGGGGCATTGGAATTGATCACTCAGGTTTCAGATGCCCCAGAAAATGGTGCTAACACCCATATAGTTGCTTATATAGGGGTTAGGGATCCATTTCAGACAAAGTCATTGACCTAGATGGTCAGGCGACACATCAAATATGTAATGACATTTAATTAGACTGTTTTCTGTTCAGATGCTCCAGTAGCTCCTTGTGCTCAGCATGCTTACTCTCTGAGCTGAGCTGAGCCTTAGATAAGGTTTATTAACTATTTGATACAGCTGGTTGTTTTATTTATTGGCCCTGGGCTTCACTGGTGGACAGTGGAGATAAAGCTACTGGGTTTGGCTCCAAGAGTTCCACACCTCCAAGAAGAAGCAGAAAAAAACTAAAAGATGGATAATCTTGGTGAGTAGAGTTACACTCACAGAAGTCAGCTGAGTGGCAGCAGCAGATACACTTTCAGTTTTTAATTAGTGTCCTTTCAAATATCCATCACTCATCCTCTAGTCCAAACATTGGAGCTGGACTCCAGTTTTCACCACATTTCAGGATGAAAATCAAACAAAATAAACCAAACCATTCAAAAATATGACATCTTGTTAAACAAATATTACAAGAACAAATGATCGAACACAAGATCCAGACTTTTTGACTGTGTGAGCCGATGCAAACTTACATT